ACGAGTCGCACTTGCATACAATCTTCAAAAGTTTGGCTCACTGCCCGCAGCGTTGTCATGTACAAAACCACCTTGCCATCCCCTCCCGGTGGGCAATTCACTGGAAAGCTCTCGAGCAACATCCTCCCACTCCCGTTAGGCGCCTTCATAACAGCACACACAGTATCAGCTTCAGCCACCACCCCAGAGCCTCCAGATTGTGTCAAGCGGCCCCTTTCCACCGAAGACGAAGCCACATCTCTATCGCCTGTGCCAGTTACTGCCACATCAGCTGCTTCAGCTCCTGGTCCCTCAGCTCTGGATCCAGCCTCAGCAGAGCACCCAGCACTCGGCTCATGGCCCCTAGAAACGCTGCCTTGGCTTGCATCGACTCTCTCAACGACACCTGAGTCTACTGGACCATCCATCCCAGCCGGGGTTACAGTCTGAGTCACACCATCGATCACCCTGCCCGAACCGCCTGTGTCGTTTTCTCCCTCCCCTTGCAAACCACGCCCAAATACTTCTGTTCTACCCCCTTCAACACTCACCATACTGACCAAGCCCACCACACCTCCACTCCCGGACTTCACCAGCCCTGGAGTCAACCAGCCCCGGCCCGAACCTCCAACACTCCCCGCCCTTTGCCCGTCCCTCCCCACAGCACCATGAGGAATCTCACCCGTTGATACCCTGCGCGCGGTTTCACCCATCACCCCCCTGCGAGGACTCATGCTGCTGAACGACCTGCGTGGGCTAGGAGCCTGGGGCCGAGGGCTGGTCAGCCGAGCCCTCGGACTCTGCAACGGCGGCTTGCCCCGCCGAGGACTCTGCCCTGCCCGAGCAGGAATTCGCATTCTCCCCACAGCGGCAGCCATGGCGTCGACTGCAGCGGCAGGCGAGCCAGGAGCAAAGAGGGAAGCTCCAGGCGAGTTGGGCGCAGGGGAATTGGGTGCGGGAGAGTTGGGTCCTTGGCGCATGGGGCTGGACAAAGGGGTGAGGCGGCGCCAGTCAGCGGGATCATGCCTGTGGAAAACTGCCTCCATGGTGGCAAGGAGCTCCGGATCAAACAGAGAATTCTCATCAAATCCCACTTCCTGCGTATCACCCACCCATCCCAACCCATCGTCTGTTTCGCTTCCCACCATGGGAGATTGATGGACCTGTGCTCGAGCTTGATCATTGTCTGGTTTAAAACCACCCTGCTGCTGTTGCAGGAAAGCCGCCTCTTCTTCATCTGCCTCCATAAGAAAGTCCTCAAACCCATCGATGATGATACCTCCGTCTGAAGTCACGCTCATGCCTGATATAGTCCTCTTTGGAAACCCAACTGCAGGATTTCTTCTCGCTGACCCCAGCTGTCGCTCCTCCTGCTGCTGCTCCTGCTCCTGTTTGTCCTTCCTCTGCTGCATACGCTCTTGCTCCCCTACCTCATCATTCAACCCCTCCCTTTTCGTATCCTGCAAGCCTCCCTTCACCAGCTCATGCTGCTCTTCCCGGTCACACTGTCGTGACCGTGGCTCCTGGTCCGGCTGCTCATTCTGCACCTCTTTCGCATCCGCCTGCTGCTGCCGCGCCTCTCTGTCCAGCTCCTCCTCCTCCTGCTCCACCAGCTCCGCCAGGGAGACCCTGTACTCCCACTCCCTCCTCAAGTCCTCTTCGAAGCTTGCCAGCACATCCGGGTCAAACATGGAGTCAAGCCCTCCCCATTCCCCCACTCCTGCCGGCTCTTTGCTGTTGTCTCTCCCCTCCTCTGCCTGCCCACTGCTCCCCAACTCCCCCACTTTGCTCTCCGTTGGTCCCACATGCTCTGGTTGGACAGCCAAGCCCGTACTCACAGTCTCAACCTCAACCGTCTCACGAGAGTTAGTTTCCACAACCCTGTCAGGTTTGTCAGTACGTTCAGTTCCGACAACCCTGTCTGCATTGTCAAGCTCACCACCAGCCGGCGCATCCGCTGCTATGACTCCGGCCTCCTCCTCCAGCATTCTCAACACGTCCTCCACCTCCTTATCGTCAATTCTCCTGGAATGTACACTCGTTACCGCTCCCTCGGCCACACTAGAAGCACCACGGTCTACAGATGTGGACCTGCTCGTAGCTTCGACTTCGGAAGCGCCAGCGTAGGGGTCAGTCGCCGTCAGTGAAGGATGATCCCCAGACTGAGCAGCACCTGAAGGTTTTCTCTGTTGAGCATTTCCCTGCTCAGCCTCCGATGCCTCGTCAGTCCTGTATTCGAGTTGATCTGTTTGCTCCTCCAGTTCTTGTTGCTGCTCCTCCTGCTCCTCGTGCTGCTGCAGATTCTGCGCCTGCTGCTGCGACTGCAGCTGCTGGTGCTTTTCCTCCTCTTCCTCCTCCTCTTCCCCGTCCTCTTCCTCCTCCTCGTCCTCATCCTCCAGGTCCATCATGATCGTCTGCACGTCAATCAGCTCAGCAACGTCATTTCCGTCCGGCATCACATCCTCGTCCGTCACCAGAGGAGGCAGCTCAACGCTCAACTTTCTGTGCTTCTTAAACGGCTCACGTGCGGCTGTATCTGACTCCCGTCCAGCCGAATCTGCTTCCGGTGCCGCCGCATCTGCCTCACGTGAGGCCAAATTTGCCTCACCAAGTGATTCTGAACTCGTCGTTCCGTTTCCCTCAATGACCGCCTCGCTCGTTTGGCATTGCGAGCCTTCTCTAGGCTCAGCTTCACCATTGACGTCGTGAGAATTCACCACCGGTACTGAACTTTCCACTTTATCGTGATTGGGACACAGAGCCGATGGAGCTCGCAATTCAGCAGCAGAGGGAGCAAATTTGCCAGTTTCTGATTCCGCTGCGTTGGCTGTACTGTGTCCGCATTCCTGCGCCGTGGATAGTATAGCCACGGAGACAGTGGCGTCGCACGCATCTGCTTCAGTGGACTGGTCCGCTGCCGATTCTAAGGCTAAATCGTCCACAGCTGCCGTCACGCTGGCTGACGATGGCTTCTCATTCGTCTTCTCCTTAGCCTCGTGACTGGCCTTATCATTGGCCTCCTGCTCCTCGGTAACATCGTTTTCGTCTACCTTCAAGGCTTCTGCGCCTGAGCACAAGCACTGAGAAGTTATGTCTGCTCGTATTCGTGGCTTTTCCCCTGGCTTCGCTTGCAATTTCGGTGCAAGGTGAATTGGCAGGCTGAAGCAGCCAGACGTGTCGGAAGGTATCGCAACTGGGAGCGGTTTCGGTTTCTTCGAGGACGTAGACCGCTTGACCTGCTTCTTGCTAGAATCGCCTTTTACCGCGGGCTTTGAAAATGAGCAACCCATGGCAGCTGACGCCAACCTATTTTGTCAATACGTTGTGAGCCCGAGCAGCCTGGGAGAATCATAAGACACGCGAAATGGCTAGGTAGAAGTTAGTTATTTACAGCTTGAAAACACAGGATGTCGAAAGTTAGTAATTGTGAACCACACAAAAACAACCTAGGTAGTGTCGAAAAACATTTATGCACGTGCTCCACATTCTCGGAAAGGGTGCTGGCTGGTTTCTGAACAGCGAGCGACTCGGGTTGCAGCCAGGCGACACGATTCCAAACAGGCTTGGCTATTGGCTGGTTCGTTCGAAGATAGCGACTGGTGACCGTAGCACGCAACCAAGCAGTCAGTCGCTTCCGTCCGTCAGTCACTGCTGGAGCGTTAGCGTTTAGGTCAGAACGGAAAACGGAACTGGCTGACCAACCGCACCCACAGTGAAGGGACGAGTGGAGGTGAATGAGGTTGGATGAGGGGGCAGCAGACGGAATAAGTGCCAAGATGGGAAAGCTGGCTGGGCAGCACAGAAATGTTATCCCAGCAGCAGAGCCAAACAGAAACATGCCTTCGGTCGCTAGGGGTTATGAGGATGAAGTTTTTGGGTTGCTGTATCTGTCTAGGGTTTCCCACTTTCCAGCGATGCTTGCCCAACGGGACGTGGGGTCATGACTTTGTGATTGGACATTCTGATTACGCATCCACTAACTTTTGTACACATGTCTCTGACAATGGGTGGCTGCATGTGGGAGGATTCACAGGACACCTCACACACCAACCATCCAAGCTGACGTCTGGGAACTGTTTCCGCCGCATCCCTCGACGGACGTCAAAACACTGTAACGAATCGCGGGCAGAGAAAACGAACCAGCTAGGGTTTCGACCTCACCAAACTTGGGACTCCAAGACCCACCCAAGTGGAACTTTACGAGCCAGCGTCCCTTTACCCTCAACCAGTGTCCCTCCGTCCGTCCGTTCCTCCCCATCTCCCCTCCCCAGCGTTGGCGCGAATCACGCCTGGTACGCACACCACCACCCCACCATAGCCCTATCCGCTGTACCTTTGACTATGCCATGCAGTCTGTCGTCCTTGTCTGGTCTCTTCTTTGTGGGTCGTCCTGGATAGGGAGCCGTCGAAAGTCGTTTGGACGTGCGGCTTGTTTCCGTTCTTATAAGATACCGAGTTCTGGGCGTTTCGGTGATCCGTGCATTGTCCTCCACTTCCAAGGGCGCATCCGATTTTCCAGCCAGATATACGAGTTTTTAGGGTTCCTCATGCTAGTTGGTCGCCATGGAAACGATGTGTATTGTGTCAACAACTCCCGTTGATCCTATCTTTGGGTTACATGCACGCATGTGGTGTTTTTGGGCAGTACATCGGCGTCATATATGCGACATCTTAATCGACCATGGATGACAACAATCTTCGAGTTGTTTTGAAAATACACAAGCGATCTTCCTTGGAGGCCTCTCCGTCTCGGACTTGGAAGGCGCAGGAGACTTCAACAGACCCCTCAGTCCCCAATCCTAAGAGACAACGAACGAAGGCTATAAGCGAAGAGCATAGTATAGTAATCCCGTCACCGCCAAAACCCGATTCAAAAGGGGCATCACCACCTGCTGATGAAACGGTAGCGCATCCAATTTTTTCGTCGAAGCGAAAGCGACAGGTCAGCTTCACTTTATTAGATTCTGAGCCTTCTTCCTTGTGCGTGTTCGGGTGTTGATGGAATTTCGTGATAAATGCAGCTATCCGACAGCGGAATAACGGACTCGAGACCGGCGGAGCAGACAATTTCAGGCAATGAAAATAGATCCTCCTTACCACTCAAAGGTAATTCAATGTTCAGTTGCAGCATGCTTCTGTGCGTTTTTTTGGTAGTTTTTTTGCTGACTTCTGGAGTTTTCACTTGTGAATCCAGATGGAAAAAATCCGCTGCCAGAGAAAGCGCTTTGTGAGATTCTGGACAAACTGCAAAAGTGAGTGGTTCTGCGACAGTCCAGTTGACGGTTCTGCTTCATTAGGAACGACGAGGCCCTTTGTTTTCTTGTGTCTTATGGAACCCCACGTCGCTCTTTTGTTGCAGGAAGGACTTGTATGGGGTGTTCTCTGTTCCAGTGAATCCTGCTGAGGTACAATATCAGTCTGTTTTATTCTGTCATTTTCCTCATTTGTTTTGCTCTTTTCTTTACTGATATCATGTTTTTTTTTTTACACTACGGATCGTTTTCCTCCCAAACAGGTTCCGGACTATTTTGACGTCATTTCTCACCCCATGGATTTCAGCACCGTGAGGGGAAGGGTCGCAAAGAAACTTTATACGTCATGGCGCCAATTCGAGGTACTTGTGTATAGGTCCCGTAGTTTCATTGTTGTTGGATAGGCGACTTTTTGGTGAGGTCGTATGGTTGCATGTATTCACCGTCTCGTGTTTCCTTCTTTCAGGATGACGTGTCCTTGATCTGGAAGAATGCCATGATCTATAACGCCGAGGGGACCATTTATTACAAGCAGGCTAAAGCTATGCAAGGAATGGCTCAGAAGATTTTTCCAGCAGCAGGTTCCAACGAGATTTACCCAAGATCTGGATTTGGAAGGGGATTTCGAGGTCGTGGAAGGGGAAGAGGTCAACCCGGTCGTCCTAAAAGGATTCCTCTATCTGATCCTGCGCAGAAGGACACTCAGTCCGGTAAGCTAACTACAATTTACAGCTTCATCTTCCTTTCAGGCTGTCTGCTGACGTCTGTTTGTTTTCCCCTTGAAGGTCGTAGATTTTTGGGCCAGAGAAAGGATGCCGTTCCGTTGGTGGATGACAAGCAAGATCGTCTGGTGTTTGGGATGGATGAACGATCGGAGGTATCACTGTCAGAGGACATTGCGCAGACTAAGCCTGCACAGAGGATATTGGGGAAAGGCATGGAGAAAGGGGAGCTATTGAATAGCCAGAGCCAACCGAAATCAAGTTACCTAGGAGGCGATGATTCTGGTAACAAAGGTCAGTTGGAGTTGCTATTTCCTGTTGAATTCTGGGGCTGTTCAATTTATGCTGCTAACGCTTTCCTGACTTGCTTTTCCAGTGTCCCGGTTGAAGAACTACAAGGTCTGCCGCAGAGCAACATCCCCAAGTGGCGGGAAGCACCTATCCTTCCGCTCCTGGAGACAGTCAAGGTCTTGTCAGACGAGCAGAAGTGCAGTGCCCGAGAGCTTCGCCCTGTGCTACTCTGTAAGCACTTTGAATTCGCTCTCAGTTGTCGTTTTCACTAAATAGCCTGTTGAAATTGATCGATTGCTGTTTCCATATTTGCAGGCTGATCAAGACCCTCTCGCTTACGCCCACAGCTTAGCGCGATTTGCGTCGCCCCTTGGCTCGTTGGTTTGGGAAGTCGCTGCAGAGAAAGTCAAGCAGACCCTTCCTTCGGAAGTTCCTTTTGGTAGAGGATGGATTGGCCTGGATGACCCCTTGCAGTCATTGCAGTCATTGAATCATGAGGGCGAGTCGGCAAGGAGGGTGTTGAAGGGCCAGAAGGAGGGGGTCCCTGACGTTTCTGTGGATGATGTAAAGCAAGCCTCGAAGCAACCTGTGAGGACAGCAGCTAAGACTTCTGCAAGGCCCGCCAAAGGTCTGAGGAAGTCTGCCTCTCCACATCCTGGATCACTGACTAAGTTGCAGGTTTGTTCTGAGGCAGCTGCGGCAGCTCCCATTGAGACCGCCCACTCAAAATCCGTTAGCGATGGGGCTCCTGTGTCTTCAACCTCGGAGTCTGTCCATGGGCCCAAAGACATTGACCGATCGTCAGGCATGCTCCACATGCCACACTGGTTTAACGGTGCAAGCAGACCTGGAGCAGGATTCTCTTCGCCTCCACCTACAGCAGCTGTAGTTTCACCGATATCTGCACAGGAGGCCTTAAGCGGGCCGCGTGGGGTTTCTACAGGAAGCCCCTCTGAAGCTGGGTCTCTTAGTCTGAGCAATGCAGCGATCCAGACGCTGCTGAATTCATGTGCAGGTGCTGCTGATCACGTTGATCGCAGCAGCGTTTTGGCAATGCGTGCTTCAGCTGTTGCTGCTCTGCAGGCTGCGAACTCTGCCAGACAAGGCCAGTCAGTCCTCTCTGCTCAGGCTCTGCAGTCGCTCATGCATGCACCTCAAGGCTCTGCTGATGTCGAAACTCCCACAAAGCCCCTTGGTTCGGCCCTTATGGGAGCTTTGAATGCCCTGTGGTCTCAGAATGCGTCCACCTCATCACCTGGTGCTCCTGCAATCACTGCAGCTGCTTTTGGGAAGCAGGGTCTGAATTCGCTGCATCGGCTTGGTGGGTTGTCATCCCCAGTAAGAGCTGGTTCAACCTCATCGTCTGACCCTGGAGACAAGAACGCTGCAGACCATCTGAACAAAATGGTAGAAGGCCATCATGCAGTGTTTTCTCAGAATGGCTTGAAAAATAGTCCCCTCTGGGCGGCTCTTGAGGCTGGAAAGATTGATGGTCTTCTGGGGAGCCCTCTCAATTCAAGCAAGGGTGCTTCTGTTGGAGATGGCAGTGGAGCCCAAGCTGTAGCAACCTCCAACCAAGCTGCACAAGCCCTGGCTGCCTCTGTCTCAAAAGGATCATGGCCGGGTGGTCTTCCAGGCAATGCATGGCTTGCTGAATTTTCATCCCAGCAACAGCAAGCAGCGAACGCGACTGCGTATGGATCTCTCAATGCTCTTACGCCCGCAACACTTGCTGACGTCCTGCAGCAGCAACAAGGGACTAATCCATCAACATCCTCGTTGAGACCTGGTTCTTCATCAGCTGCTCGGAGCATGATGGCTGCCCTGGATAAACTGAAGGCTCATCATGGCCTTCACAGCAATTCGGCTGGGTCGTCGTTCTCATCTGCTGCATTCAGTGCAGCAGCTGCAGCTGCGTCAAACCATGCTTCTGCCTCTGCATCTGCTGGTTTACCCGTTGCTGATGGTAGCATGGCTGCCGCAACTGGTTCATTTGCCAACATGTCAAGCATGATGAGTGCCATGACAAAGCAGCTAGATCCACGGTCTCCACCAAGTCTCCAGCAGCAGCGTCAGCAGCAGCAGCAACTGAAGCTAGCTGAGCAGCAGCATCAGCAGCAGAGGCAAAAACAATTGTTGCTTTTGCAGCAGCAGCAGCGATTGCAGCAGCAGAGGCAGGAACAGCAACAGCAGCTGCTGCATCAACAGCAACAGCAGCAGCAGCAACGTTTGCAGCAACAGCGGCAGCAATTGCTACTCCGGCAGCATCAAGCATCTCTTTTGCAGAAGCAGCCGACTCAAAACGGTGCTCAGCAGCAGCAAGAGAGCCAGCGGCAACAGAGTACTCCAGCACAGCAGAGCACTCCAGACAACCGGTTTCCACAGGGCTGGCTTTCACCACAGGACCAGCAACAGGCATTTCAACTTCTGGCTCAGGCCCAGAAAAACAAGGAGCTTGCAGAGCTTCAAGCTAATAAGCAAATGCCAGTTTGGGAGCAGCAGAAGCAGCAGCTTGATGACCAGTCTGGGCAGTTCCAATCTAGGTCAGTTACTTCTGAGCCAGAGCTTAGACTGCAGCTGTAGGTTACGGTATATCTTGTACAGAACGTTACCCTGTATTCTTCATTTACTAGTCTTAGTATGTTCTGTTTTTTCAAACAGGCAACCATGTGTTGACCTTACGAATATTTTACGAATATTTCTGGTTACCTAAAGCCATTCTGGAAATGTGGATGTGCCATGTCTTCGCCACAGGTTTCACCCTGAATTTGAACTCAGCGACGATTGGAACCACAGGTGCCCAGCCCATCTGATGTGGACATTTTTACCTTGCCAGGTGTGTCGATGTTTGTGACGTGTCAACCATCGCATGATCGATCTCCAGGACTCGATGGCTATCGATCGTCCCAAGACCACAAGTTTCCGTCGCGCACCGCACGAAATATCCCGAGAGTTCCTTCAATCCCACTCCACACAGCAATTAGCGAATGGGACGCCACGCCATAAGCTCAAGATTTTGGCAGGAGCATTCAGCCTGCTCTGCAGCACAGTTCCCAGAGTTCAGAGTCAGAGCGCCTCGCAAATCTCTAGGGAAGTTCCCTGACCTCACGAATTTCCGTTCCTCCCTCCGTCCTCACATTTCCCCCACTCAATATCTGATTTTTATTTTCACAAGGTGGTCTAGGGGGAGCAGCATTCCCATGTCCTGTATTTCTTTGTTCTCTGCGGTATAGTAGCATTTCTGAGAAGCAGTTCTTCAGTTTGCTGGCTTGCTTTCCTTCGCCGCCGGTGCTGCATTAAGACTTAATTGGCGACGAACTGTATCTGCTGATTGAGAGATAAGAAAAATCTTTATCTCTATCGGTGCCGACCGTGAATCTGCTCAGCATGGCGTCATTAGCAAACGCTGCGAGCGTTTCTATCTCGTCACAACTTCGTTCGGTCGTTGCGAAACCGTCGCACGTCGCGCGCAACTACTCTCGCTCCACTTCCTTCGCTAACGGCTCCAAAACCAACCGTCACAGCTCAAGACCCTTTTCCCTAAAAGCATCAGCACAGCCTCCCGCGTCGTCCGGTCAAAACGAGGATGCGGGCCCGTGGACCGTTTCAAACGATTATCCCGAAGATTACGTCCTTGTGTCGACGGATCCTGAAGATCTCGAGGCGACGCTGAGGCGAATCGCGGAGGAGAATGAGATCCTCAAGAAGAGGGTCGAGGAGGCGACGGCGGCGGCGACGGCGCAAGCGGTCCAAGTCGCGGGGGAGCGCAAGGCGGGAGTTGACGTCACTCGGCCGCGAGCGGGTGCTGTGGCTCCGTCTGCTCCGCCGCCAGACGTCGCAGCGGTAATCGCTGCGTCGTCTGCGTCGCCTGCGACGGCTGGTGCTCCCGCTGTGGCGCCTCCTCCCCCGTCTCCATCTCCTGCTGCTCCTGCTGAAGAGAAGACCATGCCAGTCGCCGCATCTGCCGGTAGGTGGCATGGCATCGCGCTTCAGTACGTCTTAAGACTGACGTCACGACGAGATGTTTTGTTCTTTCCGAAGGTTGGATGGTAGTCAACTTTCAGGTTCTCTTCCAATGTAGGCTCCTCGCGTGTCGTCCTTGCAACACTTCTATTGATGTCCTTCCTCCACCGCGTTGCCGCCCTTCTTCCGTCTCATTACCGGCCTTTTTCCTTCCGTTGCGTTCCTTGCTCCCTCGTGTTGCCCTCCATTATTTCTCGCATGGCCGTCCTTTCTCCTTCTCCTTGCCGTCGCAGAGTCGCCGGGCGACGCAGCGACGGCGTCGCAGCGGAACGCGGAGCTGGAGAGGGACAGGGAGAGCGCCAAGCACACGGCGGAGGGGAGCGATGGGCCAATCAAGAAGACTGAGAACCCCATCAGGTGAGCAGAAAGGCTCATGGCAAAGTGCAGGAGGTTTACGTGTGCTTATAGTAGTGGAACTCGCGAAAGGGCTTCCCGTTCGTCAGCAACACGTACCTATTTATGCTTATTATGTCTGAATTCTGCATCAATGAATGCTTGGGTCGTTAAAGTTCTCGTTGCTTCGACAAGGGCTTCCCGTTCGTCTGCAACAAACGCAAAGTGGGCCATGTTGATGCGCTCGATTACGAAGTTATTGGGGTACGTGCGCATTAGGGTATTGTTGGTGCACGGGTCTGATTGTTTTTGTTTTTTGCGAAAGTACAAGATTGTTCAGAGCCCCATCTCCGTATTGTCATGTTCAGCTGCACTTCCCTTCCGCGCACCACCGCCCCACTTCCCCACCCCCAGCAAATCATTCTTCTTTCTTTCTCTCTCCCGGCCCCTCATCCTCCATTCCCTTACCACCCCCCCCTCCCCCCCCCTCACGCCCCTTCTCCACCTGCCCACCGCCTTTCGCATCCTCCCTCCTCTCTCCCCGTTCACCCAATCAGCATTGTCTTCGTGGCATCCGAAGTGGCGCCCTACTCCAAGACAGGAGGCCTTGCTGACGTCACGGGCTCGCTCCCATTGGCTCTGGCGGCACGTGGCCACCGTGTGATGGTGGTGGCGCCTCGTTACATGAATGGCGTCACGGACAAGCTCTACGCTGGCGCGTTCGATTGCCAGGTAACGTGGTAACCAGCTTCATGCACAGCGAACATTTGTATGACTGAACGAATGAATGAATTGAATGACCGGCGACAGCGTACATGATGGCGTCACGGACAAGACAAGTTCTATGCTGGCGCGTTCGATTGCCAGGTAACACCTTATTTGCCTGTATGCACAGCGAGTACTAGTTTAAAACGAATGAAGAATAGCGTCATGGTACTTTTACTGGCGTCACCAACAAGCTCTACGCTTTGCCCCTGACATCCCTCTCCACCCCTCTATACTCGTGCATATACCCGTGTGTGCCATCAGTGCCGTATTAAGTTTTTTTTTTTCCGAGGGAGAGCACAAGGTTCCATTCTTCACCCGACCCGTGTCCACCCGTCTCCACTCCACCCCTTTCCACCCCTCTCAACCCGTGTATTCTCCATCAGTGCCGCATCAAGTGCTTCCTCTTCGAGGGCGAGCACGAGGTGGCCTTCTTCCACGAGTTCCGTGATGGGGTTGACTTCGTGAGTGTCCAGACCGCTCTTGGGTGTGTGCTGTGAGGGTGTGCATGTTCGGGTCCGAGTCCCTGAGAGGGGCACGAGGTCGCCTTCTTCCATGAGTTCCGCGATGGGGTTGACTTCGTGAGTTTCTAGACACGAGGTGTTATTTTTGGGTGGCCGTTTTAGTTTGGGGTTGGACGTTCTTGGGGTGGGCGCTCTTGGGCTGTTCTTCTGGGTGAGCGGTTCCTCTGTGGTGGTGCATTTTCCACTTTTGCTACTTATGGAGTAGAGTATTTAAGTTTCCCCGAATAGCATAACAGAGGTCGCCTTGATAAGGCTCAAGTTATTGACGATACATTGTCCCTTTCTCCTCGAATCCCCTTGTGCCACGTGGCAACATGGCAGGTGTTTGTGGACCACCCGTCCTACCACCGCCCAGGCACGCCCTATGGCGACTCCAGAGGGGCGTTCGGCGACAATCAGGTGAGGGCGAGGTGTGGTGTGCGGTGGAAAGTGATGAGGTGGTTCAAGTGGTTTGGTGCAGTGAGGTGCGTTGGGATGGGATGGGAGTGCTTTGGGTGCGGTGAAATGGGATGGGAGGATCTTAGGGTAGGCGCATATGTTATCAAATTTTCCTCCTGAATTCCCTTCACCCTTCCCCAAACATCCTTTACCCTTTCTCATCTCCACCTCCAAACCTCCACACCTCACTCCACTCCTCACTCCGCACCTTAATCTCCCAATCACTTACCCCATCAACGCCCATTCCTCTCTTCCCCCTGCCCCCTCTCCTACAGTTCCGGTTCGCGCTGCTGTGCCATGCGGCATGTGAGGCGCCTCTGGTGCTGCCGTTTGGAGGGTTCACGTACGGGGAGAAGGTGGTGTTTGTTGCCAACGACTGGCATGCCGGGCTCGTGCCTGTGTGAGTGGCTGGCACTGGTGGGGGAGGGGAAGTGGTGAATGCTGGATGTATTGAGTGCCTGATCAGGAATTCACGTATGGGGAGACGGTGGTGTTTGTGGCCAACGACTGGCATGCTGGACTCGTGCCTGTGTGAGTGACTGATGGTGGGGGGAATACAGCATTTCAGGTGGCCTTATCGCATGCCAAGTGCCCGTAGCGCATCCGCGGGGTTACTTTTGAGAATTCTCAAAAGTCACTCCAATTTAGTATCTGCCTTTTTCCCTTGCTCTGCATCCCCCTCTCTCCCGTGGCTCCCCATACATAACCCCGCTGAATCCCCACAGCCTCGTGGCCTCTAAATACCGCCGCTACGGCGTGTACAAGGACGCGTGCACCATCATCGCCATCCACAACCTGGCCCACCAGGGTGTTGAGCCCGCATTGCCTCACCCGATGCCCCTCGCCCTCTACCCACTGTGTCCCATGCCCATTCATGCCCATGCATACACACAGCCTTGTGGCATCCAAGTACCGCCGCTATGGAGTCTACAAGGACGCGCGCACCATCATTGCCATTCACAACCTGGCCCACCAGGGCGTGGAGCCCGCTTACACCTTTGGCAGCCTGGGCGTGCCAGGGGAGTGGTACGGGGCGTGCCCCGGGCCTGCTGCCCTCCCCGCCCCTGCCCCTTATTTTTGCCCCTCATTCCTCCCCGTCTCCTTCCCCTTTCTCCATCACCCCATCCCCTGCACCCCATGCATACACTCAGCCTTGTGGCATCTAGGCATCTAAGTACCGTCGTTATGGAGTCTACAAGGATGCGCGCACCATCATTGCCATTCACAACCTGGCCCACCAGGGCGTTGAGCCCGCATACACCTTCTGCAGCCTGGGCGTGCCTCCCGCTCTCGACCCAATTCTCCCGTCCTCTATCCCTCATTCCTCCCCTTCTCCTTCCCCTTTCTCCATCGCCCTGTTTCCTTTCAACCCTTTTATTCTCCAGCCTTGTGGCCTCTAAATACCGCCGCTACGGCGTGTACAAGGACGCGCGCACCATCATTGCCATTCACAACCTGGCCCACCAGGGCGTGGAGCCCGCATACACCTTTGGCAGCCTGGGCGTGCCCGGGGAGTGGTACGGGGCGCTGGAGTGGGTGTTCCCCGAGTGGGCGCGGAAGCACGCTCTGGACAAGGGCGAGGCAGTGAACATCCTCAAGGGGGCCATTGTGACCGCCGACCGCGTGCTCACTGTTAGCCAGGTGCGTGGATAGATGGATGGGAGGGTGGGTGCGTGGGTGGGTGGGTGCGTGGGTAGGTGGGTGTGTGGGTGGGAGGGTGCGTGGGTGGGTGGGTGCGTGGGTAGGTGGGTGTGTGGGTGGGTGGGTGTGTGGGTGGGTGGGTGCGTGGGTAGGTGGGTGTGTGGGTGGGAGGGTGCGTGGGTGGGTGGGTGCGTGGGTAGGTGGGTGTGTGGGTGGGTGGGTGTGTGGGTGGGTGGGTGTGTGGGTAGGTGGGTGCGTGGGTGGGTGGGTGCGTGGGTGATTGGTCGAGTGGGCAAGGAAGCACGCTCTGGACAAGGGCGAGGCAGTGAACATCCTCAAGCGGACCGCGTTCTCACTGCCGACCGTGTTCTCACCGTCAGCCAGGTGCGTGGGTGTTTGTGTGGGTGGGTGGGCTCCACTTTTCTATCCTCCCGTCCCTTACTCCCACCCCTTCCCCTCCCCTCCCTTTTTTCTCGTGGGTGAGCACCACTCTTCTCTCTCACACCCCCTACCTTCTTTCTCTCCTTCCCAGTTCCAGCCTCCGCTATACCCCCATTTCCCCCTTTCTGCCACCCACTTGCCCCCCAATTCGGTAAGAGTGCACATCTGGAAACCCTTGTTTTTGGCTCACACTTGGGTTCTCCTTTCCTTCCGTGCTGCAGGGTTATGCATGGGAGATCACGACAGGGGAGGGCGGATGGGGCCTAGATGGACTGCTGCGGGGAAGAAGCATCGTGCTAAATGGTGGGTACATCTCCCTCCCTCACACTAATATCTCACACACACTCTCCGTCACACAGCTCCCTCACACTCTTCCTAACACTGCTCTTTGGCGCTGCTCCCTCACACTCTTCCTAGCACTGCTCTTTGGCGCTGCTCCCTCACACTCCCCATCACACTGCTAATCTTTCCTCAGCAGTCTTTGCATTCACGCTCCTGACACTCACACCTGTCCCTGCCTCCTCTCAACCTCCTCCCTGTCTCCCTACGTGCTCCCCCCCACAGGAGTGATGAATTGCATATACTGGACCCCTTCCACGGACAAGCACATTCGTTCACAGTTCACAGCAGCCCCACCCCACCCCACCCCCCTTTCCCCCCCTCCTCTTGTTCTCTCCGGCAACAGGAGTGACCAACGGCATAGACACAGTGGATTGGAACCCAGCCACGGACAAGCACATCCCCTCGCAGTTCCCAGCAGAGGACCTCAAGTCACTCACCACACCGCCTTCCCCTTGCTTCTCCGCCCTTGCTCCCCTTGCAGGAGTGACGAATGGCATAGACACCGTTGACTGGAACCCAGCCACGGACAAGCACATTCCCTCACAGTTCACAGCAGAGGACTTAGAGGGCAAGGCGGAGTGCAAGGCAGCGCTGCAGAAGGAGCTGGGGCTGGCCGTGCGGCCTGAGGTGCCCCTGGTGAGTTGTGCTATTCAAACAACTCACTGTTTTGGAGAACTGAACCTCCTTCTAGGAAAGGCACTGTATGCACATGGCAGTGCTGCCATGTGCTGCCTCTCAAAACATCACTTTTAACACGTCAGTCAAACATTGTAGTGTTGTGAACCACTTCTTGCTTGCCCCTCTTCCCCGTTCTCCCCCTTGGATCTCTATTTCTCTCCATCAGATTGGGTTCATTGGGCGTCTGGACTGGCAGAAGGGGCCGGACGTGATTCAAGCAGCGCTGCCTGAGCTTATGACCGACAACGTGCAATTCGTGAGTGCATGGGCTGATGGGGCGTTGTGTGTGTGGGGATGGCAGTGGGGGTTGGGGGTTGCGCGGTTGTAATGACACGAAGAGGCCGAACGTGATTCAGGTGGCGCTGCCAGAGCTGATGACAGAGAATGTGCAATTCGTGAGTGCACATGCTGATGGGGCGTTGTGTGGTGATGGGAGTCGGTGCTGGGGGTTTATATTGACTCAAAGGGGCCGGACGTGATCCAAGCAGCGCTGCCTGAGCTGATGACAGACAGCGTGCAATTTGTGAGTGCACATGCTGATGGGGCGTTGTGCGGGGATGGGAGTGGGGGTTTGCGGGGTCGTAATGGCATAATGACACAAAGGTGGAAGTTTCGTGTGTGTGGATGAAGTGGGTCGAGGGTGCTTTGCTCGATAAGTTCCCAAGGGGGTTTGGGTTTCTCAATAAAGTCACGCACATTATTCTCCCACTCATCCTTTTTTCTTCCTCCATCCCTGCTCGCCCCTCCTCTCCCTGCTCGCCCCTCCTCTCCCTGCATCCCCTTCCGCTCCCTGCGTCCCCTTCCTCTCCCAGGTGATGCTGGGCAGTGGAGAGCCAGACCTGGAGGCATGGATGAAGTGGGCGGAGAGTGCTTACCCCAACAAGTTGTGATGAGGGTGGAGTAACCATAAAATCGCGCACTCACTTCTGATGCTCATCCATCCTTCCTTCCACCCTTCCGCTTCCAGGTGATGCTGGGCAGTGGAGAGCCGGACCTGGAGGCATGGATGAAGTGGGCGGAGAGCGCCTACCCCGACAAGTTCCGAGGCTGGGTGGGCTTCTCTGTGCCCATGGCGCACCGCATCACTGCTGGGTAAGGCTGGGATAGGTGCAGGGATGTTTGAAATGAACTTCTTACATTGCATCACCTCCCTTCACCTCCCTCTTGCTCCCTGACTTCTTTCTCTCTCCCCTTCCTCCCTTCTCCATTCTCCTCTCCCCCCCCCCCCTCCTCTCCCCCCCACCCCTCTCCCTCCCCCCCCCGCATCTCCTTCGCCTGCCTGCCATGCCAGCTGTGACATCCTCCTCATGTCGTTGCGCTTTTTCCTAAGCTTTCCCTCTCCACGTTTCCCCCTTCTATCCCCCCTCCCCGCTCTGCGCCTTCCCCGTCTGCTCCCTCATTTCCTGCCTGCTTGCTATGCCAGCTGACATTCTCCTGGTGCCGTCGCGCATTGAGCCATGCGGGAACTTTTCCTCCCCCCCCCTCTCCTCTCTTCCCCTTCCCTTCCCCCACCCCCCCTCTCCTCTTCCCCCACCCCCCCTCTCCTCTTCCCCCATCCCCCTACGCCCCGCTGCCATGCCAGTTGCGACATCCTTCTCATGCCGTCGCGCTTTGAGCCATGCAGGAACTTACCCTCCCGACCCTCTCCTCTCTTCCCTGCTCCCCTCCTCCCCCCACCCTTCCCCCACCCCCCCACCCCTCTGCCATGCCAGTTGCGACATTTTCCTCATGCCGTCACGCTTTGAGCCGTGCAGGAACTTACCCTCCCGACCCTCTCCTCTCTTCCTCCCCCCAACCCCTCCCCTCTCCCCCCCTCTCTCCCCTCCCCCATCCCCCCACTGCCATGCTAGCTGCGACATCCTCCTCATGCCGTCGCGCTTCGAGCCGTGCGGGCTGAACCAGCTGTATGCAATGCGGTACGGAACGGTGCCAGTGGTGCACGCAACAGGCGGGCTGAGGGACACGGTGGAGGATTTCAACCCGTTTGCCAACGGGGGTGCAGGCGCCGGCACGGGGTGGTCCTTCTCACCTCTCACCCAGGAAGCCATGATGGGGGTACGTTTCAAAATTGTCCTGTTTTTGTGGTTGGCGTGAATGGTTGGGATGGATGGTTGCGATGGATGGTAGATGAACGGTTGAGATTGTTTAGCTTTGATTCGAAGCATGACGGGCGGGCTGAGGGACATGGTGGAGGATTTCAACCCGTTTGCCAACGGGGGTGCAGGCGCCGGCACAGGGTGGTCATTCTCACCTCTCACCCAGGAAGCCATGATGGGGGTACGTGCCTATAACATTTGTTTTGTGTGCTTGGAATGGACGGTTGGGATGGCAGTTGGAATGGATGGCTGGGATGGATGGTTGGGATGGGTGTCTGTGATCGATGGTTGGGATGGATGTCTGGGATGGACGGTTGGGATGACAGTTAGGGTGGACAACTGGGATGGGTGGTTGGAACGAACAGTTAGAAAAAGCTCTCCCTGCTGTTCTCCCCTCGTAAGGACTAGCCTTCCAGTTAATTCGGCCAACTCCCACTAATGTGACCTTTTCTGCTTCCTTGTCATGCACACAGGCACTGTGGACGGCCATTCAGACGTACCGTGAACACAAAGACTCGTGGCAAGGCCTGATTCAGAGGGGCATGACTCAGGACATGTCGTGGAACAGGGCGGCGCAGCAATATGAGCAGATCTTTGAGTGGGCTGTGAAGGACAAGCCATATGCTTAGGTTTTGACATGGACCTTTAGCACTCCCATTTGTTTTGCAAATGTTCAGAAAATTGCTGCTTGGCCCACGAGGAGAGGTGTCACGTTGTTTTTAGTCTGCCATTGATAATTGCTTGTAGAAATAATTCTGTTATGTTTTGAATACAAAATGATTATGTAGAAAATCCATTTAGGCTTACACTGATGAACTGAACTGTGTTAGGCCCGACGGCCTAAGTCCGCTAAAGAATTAGCGGGGTCGACTAAGTCGAGGATGAAACGTGGCGGAAGACTTTGGCGAAAGAACTATTGGCGAAATAGGCGAAGAAGTTACTGAGTAATTGAAGAAGAGTTGAATAAGAATTGATTGATAATGGCAAGTACAAGCAAGGTTTATATAGCATGCAAGAAACAAGGTTGGAAAGTGGAATGTGGGACCAAGAATTGGAGTGCAAGAAAGGTAGAGTGCCACGTGGCACTAGAGAATCTGAGAAGATAAGGATAATGGTGACTAGGAATGTACTGTTCGGAATGAACAGTAAACACCCCTCTAACACTACCCCCCGCCCAAGGAGGCGACGTCCGCGGCGCCTGCAGACTGAAGGTACGCTTGGAGGCAAGCGTTGTCAGGAGACAGCGAGGACGAAGGAACCCAGCTGTCGTCTGCTGCGTCGTAACCACGCCAACGAACCAAGAAGTCGATGAAAGTGACACCCCCCTGGAGACGGCGACGGTGCCTGAGGATGCGCCGGATCTGGTAGTCGGGCTCGTCGGTGTCAACAGCTACCAGCAGTGGAGTGCGATCACGGCCCGAGAAGGTGGCATTGGGATCGGTGTATGGGCGAAGGAGAGACACGTGGAATGACGGGTGCATGCGGAAATGTGCGGGAAGGCGAAGGCGGTATGCGACTGGACCTAGTGCGCGCTCAATGACGAATGGACCAATGAAACGTGGACGAAGCTTGCTGTCCTGTGGCAGTCGGAGGTTGCGGCTATCCAAGACAACACGGTCGCCGACTGCGAACGACACCTCACGACGACTGCGGTTGGTGGTGCGTGCCATGCGTGCATTTGCGAGCTCAAGGTGCTTCCTCACGTGATCATGAATGAAGGTGAGATGCTGGTGGAAGTTGTCCGCACGAGGGACTGTGGGTGTGAGATCGACACGAGTGGGGACATTGGGGTGCTGACCGTAAAGTGCAAAGAACGGTGACATGCCTGTGGCGGAGTGGTGCGTGTTGTTGTAGGCGAACTCTGCCATGCTCAGCTTCTTGTCCCATGCGGCTGCGTCGTGCATCGTGATGCTGCGAAGGATCTGCTCCAAGGTCTGGTTCACACGCTCGGTCTGTCCGTCTGTCTCTGGGTGGTACGCAGACGACATGGCTAAGCGAGTCCCAAACAGTGCGAAAAGCTGTTTCCAGAACTTCGAAGTGAAACGAGGGTCGCGGTCTGAGATGATGGAATCTGGAACCCCGTGCAGTCGGACTACGTTATCTACGAACAGCGTCGCGGCTTCCTCTGCTGTGACCTTGCCGTGCGTGGGGATGAAATGCGCTGCTCGAGAAAACTTATCCACTACTACGAAGATGGCGTCGTGACCCCTAACTGTGCGCGGTAAAGCCATGATGAAGTCCATGGTGACTACCTGCCAAGGGCGGTCGGGCGGTGGAATCGGCTGCAAGAGTCCTGCTTTGCGCTGGCGAGAGGACTTCGTACGCTGACACGTGTCGCACGAGCGAATGTAATCCTCTACGTCTGCTGCAAGCCCGGGCCAGTAGTACGTGCGACTAAGCGTCTTAGCCGTCTTATCTGCTCCGAAGTGCCCTGCACTAACTACGTCGTGCGCCTCTGAGAGAAGGAGCTGTCGAAGAGGGCGGTAGGCTGGAACCCAAATCCGTGTGGTACCCTTCCGTATGTAGACACTACCCTTCACCTCTGCTCCTGCGGGCGGCTGCGGTGTGAAGTCGGGATCTACTGTGTAACCGTGCTCGAAGAGTGCTGTGAGAAGTGGGTGGCCAGCAGTGACTGTGAGACTGGCGAGCTGACAACTAGGGCGAGTGAGCGGATCTGCTGGGTTGCGCACGCCTGGCTTGTACTCTATCCTGTAGTGAAAGCTCCCTTCCATGAACTCCATCCACCTAGCCTGGCGACGACTCAGCTGCGGCTGCGACTTGAGGAAACGAAGCGAACAGTGGTCCGTGCGTATAACACTATCTGCCCCCTCTAGGTAGCACCTCCAAACCTTATACGCATGGATGATCGCGAGCGCCTCCTTGTCGTGTATGGGATAGTTCAACTCCGCTCCCCTAAGCTTACGCGACTCGTACGCGATCGGCTGCAACCCGCGTCCCTGGTCCTGAAGAAGCACTGCTCCTATGGCCTGATTGGAAGCGTCGGTCACTACAACGTATGGGCGAGTGGGATCGGGGTACGACAGTGTCGGTGAGGACGTGAGCGACTGCTTCATCTGCTCGAACGCCTGCTGCTGCGCTAGACCCCAAACGTACTCTACGCCCTTCCGAAGTAGGTCGGTGAGTGGACTAGCGATCGATGCGTAACCCTGAACGAAACGACGGTAGTAGTTCGCGAAACCGAGGAAGCTCTGCAACTCCTTGACTGAGGTCGGTGCTACCCAATCCTGTACTGCTGCGATCTTCTTCGGGTCAGTCCTAATGCCACTAGCGGATACGACGTGTCCTAGGAACTCGACCTCTGGAAGGAAGAACTCGCACTTCGACTGCTTAGCGTATAACTGCTCCCTCCGTAAGACCTCGAAGACCTTCTGCAAGTGCTGCACGTGCTCATCTTTCGTCTTAGAGAACACTAGGATGTCGTCTAGGTAAACGACAACGAACGACCATAGGAACTCGGAGAGGACTGTGTTCATGAGCGTCTGAAACGTCGCTGGGGCGTTGGTCAATCCGAACGGTAGAACCCTAAACTCGTACAACCCCTGCTTCGTACGAAACGCCGTCTTGTGCTGGTCCTCTGGAACTACTCGAATCTGGTGGTAACCCGAACGAAGGTCGATCTTTGAGAAGACTCTAGCGCCCTGCACTGCATCGAGAAGATCCTCTACTCTCGGCACCGGGAATCTATTCTTGACGGTGGCGGCGTTCAGTGCGCGGTAATCTATGCACATCCGTAACCCTCCGTCTTTCTTGGGTGCGAAAAGTATCGGTGCGGCCCAAGGCGATCTAGATGGCTGTATGAAACCCTGTGCGAGAAAGTGCCTAACTTGCTGCGTCATCTCCTCTGTCTCCGCTGGACTCAACCTCCACTGCGGCTTCGCTACTGGCCTGCTCCCCGGCTCCAATTCTATTCGATGGTCTACTGCTCGGCTGGGAGGCAACCCTGGGGGCAACTCGTCGGGGAAGACGTCTGCGAACTCTGCTAACAGTGCACTCACCTCAGCAGGAAGAGTCGCCTTCTCACTAACTGCTGCACTCCCTCCTTTCCCCTCCTCAGCTTCCACCTCCTCAAGAAAAACCGCGAAGATCCGTGCCGCACGCTTCACTAACTGTCGCACACGAACAGCATTAATGATAGCTGTGGATGATGTGGCCCCATCGCTCCACTGTGGCAGCTCCCGGAACTCCCCGCCTACCTTGACGCTGCAGCTTCCCTGAGCCCAATCGAACTGAGTACTAACCGTCCGTAGCCAATCTCTCCCGAAGATAAAATCGTATCCGTCCAGCGTCGCAGAGTCGAAATCACGTCTGACTGTGATCGGTCCTAGCACTACGCGCAACTTGCGGATGATCGGTCCTATGTGAAGTGGCGTCCCATCTACCATGCGAGCGTCCTTGAAGTTGACTGCTGAATCTGCTTCAAGATGGAGACGAGAAACTAACGATGAAGAGACGAACGAGTGGCTAGCTCCGCTATCTACGAGAATCTTAACAGGAACTCCGCGAAGCTTCCCTAGAAGCACGACTGGACGATCAACAGTGTCTACCTCGTTCTCCGTAGATGACTGCTGCAAAGCCGTCTCCTCTACGTTGGTAGACGTGGCGGGTACGGGAACCTCCACACCAGCTAGCGACCCGCTATCTACTGGCGGTTTCCGTTTCCCTGCTGCCGCTCCTTAAGCTGTGGGCAGTCTCGCTTCATGTGTCCCGGCTTTTTGCAGTAGTGACAGTTCCCCCTAAATCCCATTTTCTGTGAGCCGTCACTGTTAACTGCACCAATCTCCATGGGCGATGGTCCGTCCCTCGATCGAGCGTCGTTGATCGGTCTGTTGTATCCCCTATCGCGATCGTCACGACCCCGTCGGCTTCGTACTGCGTCGACGCGTTCTGCTGCTGCGACTACCGACTCGAAGGTGGACAACCCGTGAATCGCAATAACTTCCGCTATGTCCGGCTTCAACCCTTCGAGGTAGCGATCGCGCATCTCTGCTTCCGTGATATCGTCTATCTCGTTGCAGATGCCCAAGAACCGTCGTGTGTACTCCTGGACGTTGCCTATCTGTCGGAAATGACGCAGACGCTTCCTAGCAGCTTCGGAGGCGTTCACCAAATCGAACCTACTTTTCAGCGCCGCTTCAAATCCTTCCCATGTGGTCGGAACCGTGGTAACATCCAAAGCTAAACTCCCTAAGCTCGAAGTTGCAGCTGCATGCCCCACGCCCTGTTGATGCCCGTCCGTCTGAGCCCTTCTTACAGCAGTTTGAGTGAGTTGGCGCCACCACTCCAAGGCCGGGCCCCTCAGCAGTGTAACAGCGTACTCGATCCGCTGCTGCGCGTGCGCCTCTTGCACCCCGCTCGCGGCGAAATAGTTGTTCAGCATGAAGAGCCACGTCCGCACGTTCGCGTCGCGTTGACTTGGGTCAAACGACTCGGGTTTCTGCGGCTTGAGTGCGCTTCGACATTCCGGCAGCGCTTCCGCGCCAGTCGACGTGTTCGGCGCAAGAGTTGGTGTGGCATGACCATGGGGGTTAGAAGCCAATCCACGAAGCTGTTGCATTTCAGCTCGTACCTGTCGATTTTCCAGCGTGAACTCTTGAAGTTGGCGCATGAGTTCGGCAAGCGTGTTGCCCATGTCGTGGGGGAGAGCGTGCATGGTTTCGTCCATGTTCGCTCAACGACTCCAAGTCTGCAAGTCGGCACCGCGGGACGATGACGTCGTAGTCTCGTCGTCGACGGTCGCTCGTTGGAAGTCGCTCCCCGCGAAGGCTCTGATACCAAGTGTTAGGCCCGACGGCCTAAGTCCGCTAAAGAATTAGCGGGGTCGACTAAGTCGAGGATGAAACGCGGCGGAAGACTTTGGCGAAAGAACTATTGGCGAAATAGGCGAAGAAGTTACTGAGTAATTGAAGAAGAGTTGAATGAGAATTGATTGATAATGGCAAGTACAAGCAAGGTTTATATAGCATGCAAGAAACAAGGTTGGAAAGTGGAATGTGGGACCAAGAATTGGAGTGCAAGAAAAGTAGAGTGCCACGTGGCACTAGAGAATCTGAGAAGATAAGGATAATGGTGACTAGGAATGTACTGTTCGGAATGAACAGTAAACACCCCTCTAACAACTGAACAATTTGAAACGATGACGTTTCTTTCTAGAAAGTAGCACTCTTTCCTGCACTAAGGGCGTGTCCAGTTCGTTCATTTCGGGATTTTTCGTGCCAACACACGTATCGAGGTTCAGAAATGACTACTGTACCTAGAAACGAATGCATTGTGAGTGGAGTCCAACCATCCTGTAATTTCAGAAGCGCGGACACATTCCCCGCCACACGAATCATCAGTGCTCTGACCACGTTGAAAACGAGGTAACAGTTTCCCTCGTCAATCATAGCTTGAAAATTTTTGTGCAGGCGCAGGGGGCGCTGGCGAGTGGAGCGAACCACTGACGAAATCGTGCAAGCGATACAAGGGAAACGAACTGTAGTGGCCAGGGACGCGGTGCTGACCCTTGTTCGCGTCCCTGCTGATTCCAGTAACGTGAGTCAGACGACTCTAGGTACGTGCATGGGGCGTGCCGTCTTGCGAACAGAAGCTGTTTGTGTCCGCTGGACACGTTCAATAAAGGGTTACCACAAAAAATGTGGTAACTGAGGGAATTAACGAGCAGTAAATGTACGAGCTGGACCCCCCCTAACCACTCATTCACTACTAGTCATTCGTGCTCGACGGGAAATCCGCCTTGCGTCGCGGCTTGTCTTTCTCAATGGCGTTTTCTGCTTCCTTGTTGATCCCGTCCGCGTCAGCGAAATTCGTTGCCGTTTCACAGCAGTGTCCTCCTCCTACCGTATCTCTCCGTCGCGATGGCTTCGTGCGATTTACCAGCCACGGACCCTCTTCGTCGAGGCACGTCGTGGAGGCAACTCGTAACGCCTTACTGTGGGTCCTTTTCACCTTATGCAACGCATTTACAGTGATAATCAAGAGGTCTTTTAATTCTTACCATTGTTCTTACGTTCGTTCGTGCTACCTTGCGAGGCGTCCACTTGTGTCCTGCTCGTACGCGCAGATCACCTGTGACTATATCGAAGGCACACAAGCGAACTGCTCGGCGGAAAATCGCTGCAGCGGCGGCAGAAGCGGGAGATTCGGCGATCGACGTAGAGGCCGAGATTAAGAACGAGAAGGTGAGCGAATACGAGCATGAGTAAACGCGAATGTGAGAGATTCAGAAGGTGGGGGGATGAGAAGGAGCGGGAGCAAGACAGTTGAACGGTGAAACCCAGCCAATGCCGAGAGCGGCAGGGCGGGCAATGGCAAGGGCGGAAGTGTGGTCAATGCCAAGAGCGTTGGGGCGAGCAACACCTAAAATCCTTAGTCCGTTGATTGAATCCCAGTACCTGTGGATGTCTCGGCCTCAAACTCCTACGTTTCGGATTTCTCAGATGCTGGTGCTTAGTGGGAGTGGTTTTCATTGATCAACTTGAAACGTCTCACCTGCATCGAGTTTCCCCCTTGGAATCCCCCTGGGTGCTAGTGCTTGGTGATAGCGGTTCATGCTAACTCAACTTAAAATGTCCCACTCACCTCGACTCTCCCCACCTCCCCTCCGGATTCTCCCAGGTGCTGGTTCTTGGTGGGAGTGGATTTGTAGGCTCCGCTGTGGCAAAAGCAGCGGCTGACAGAGGCATTGACGTGGTCAGCCTGAGCAGGTGCGAATATCGTAATCTGAAAGCACTTGGATTTGAAGGTCTTCGGTAACAGCATCTGTGCCGTCAACAGCAAGCGAACAGCAGCTAACAGGGGAACTGACATGGTCAGCCCGAGCAGATGCATGTCTCTGGTGTTGGAGTTCTTTGTTTGAATGTCAGCTGTTTCTGCCACCACGATCAGACATTCCCAGCATTCTCTTCCTGACAAGGTGACCACCCCTTCCCTGTCTCAACCCCCCTCATGCCCCATTTTGCCTCAACCATGTGTGACGTTCGAACCTCCTTCAGGTCCGGCCGACCCTCCGTCTCCAACGAGACGTGGGTTAACAGTGTCACATGGGAGACTGGCGACGTGTTCTCCGCCAACTGGCCTGTGCTTCTGACGGATGTGACTGTAGTGGTGTCCTGCATCGGGGGGTTCGGCTCAGACGAGCAGATGGAGCGGATCAACGGAGATGCTACAGTGGTTGCGGTTGAAGCAGCTAAAGACTGTGGCGTGCGCAAGTTTGTGTTTGTGTCAGTGCACGATTACAACCTGCCCGATTTTGCCAAGGAGAATGGATATTTTAATGTCAAGAAAAGAGCCGAGACGGCGGTTCTTGATGCGTTCCCCAACACAGGTGTGGTTCTTCTTGCTCTCTTCTCGCTTTCCTGTGCATATCTTCAAACCCAACCCCCTGTTTATGTGCGGGCTCACTCAACCTTGACAGGTTCCCTTTCCGTTCTCTTTCCTCCAGCTTGTAATCGTTATCCGTTGCTGTTACCCAAAGCCAATCATGTTATTGTCAAACCTTTCCCCTCACCCGACGCGCCAGGAGCTGTGCTGAGGCCGGGATTCATCTACGGAAAAAGGCGGGTAGCAGGGGGTGTGGAGGTTCCGCTCGATCTGATTGGCCAGCCGTTGGAGAAGCTGCTGTCAGCCACTAAGGATATCACAAAGCTATTTTCCCCTCTTCCAGCCTCCGACCTGCTTTTAGCGCCTCCTGTAGATGTTGCTGATCTTGCAGCTGTAGCGGTGCGAGCCGTGGTTGATGACTCGGTTGCAGGGGTATACAATATTGAGGAAATCAAGAGGCTGGCAGGTGATTCCAAGTAAACTATAGAAGGCAGTATGCCTTGGTGTTGAGCTACGCAATGTGGTGGTGTTTTGTTCGGTATTAAGGAAATGTATGTCTATATAATGAAAAGTGTTTTGCAATTAGTTGACTGCTGGGTGGTGGTGGGACCACTTGTGTGAGAGTGAGGGGCCAGCACCAACTGCGTGCTGCCACGGGACGACGTGACAGGTGATCTGGGCCCAAGTAACGTCAGCAACAACTCGAACTGCCCCACCTCACTCCCCCTCCACCTTTGCGCAGAGCCAGTTCCGCGGCGAATCCGCGCCTCTAGGCAGGAGGGAGTACAGTATGGGAGAATGCCAGAACTGCCTGCTATTTTTCGTGGGAATTCATTGAAAGCCAGTGGCAGTTCTTGAGAACTCCGTTCCACAATCTTTATGTCCGCCGCTGTCGCCCTCGGGACTCTTACCACGTTGTGGCGGAGTTCCGAGTGCGTTTGCCCCATGATCCGAGGCCTTGGATCCGTGTGTTCCGGATTCCGAAGGGCTTGGGCGCAAGGCTCCGCCGCATACGACACGGCCAGCCGCCCACAATTCCGCGCCCACCTGACCGTGAAAAATGTGTTCCAACCAACCTGCCCTGACCCTTTGTGCCAGTGATGTTTGTCGCGAATGACATGTTTCGCCATCGTAACTCTTTGGCCGACAAGTGACGACCGCCGGTCGCATGGCCGGTTGCGACCAACTGGTCTTCCTTGCGTCGTTATATGCTTTAACTCGGTTTTTTTTTTGCTGCCACCTTAAAGCTGCAGCACGTGTGTTCCTTTATACCATTGATGTTATGTGTTTTATAAATAACATGAGTTCAAGTGTAGCATCCTACGTTTGCTCATTGTGTTTTATAGTCATTGTTTACCAACTGTAGGTGTTCTGCACACGTGGCCATGGCAACAGTTGTTGTCAGAGTCCCAAGGCTGCAAGAGCCAATCAGCGTCTAGTAGGACCATATCCCAACTGTTGTTTTTTGGCGGGAGAATCATCCAGCCCAGGGTTGGATGACCAGATCTGGACACGGGCTTCTGTGTGTGGTGGATGGGTATGAATAGATGTTTTCGTGCTCATTTGCTCCTTTTCATTTGCATTTCATGTTCCGCAAGCTCTTTGAGATCTTTTCTTCCAGCACCTGTTAGTCCACCAGCGTAATCTTTTAAGCCTGCTTGGCCCACTGGCATAACATTGGCGATCCTCGACATAGTGACGTAGGTCGTATAGAGTGGGTTTTTTTTTTGGGTCAGCCCGGTTAGGATAACTGCAGTCGTACTTGTTAGGTCGCATATGTAGGCGCAGATGTGTGTGGTATAATATTTTGTCGGTAGAACTGTTTGTATTTGCCCGGAACAATTGTCATAGGTCGTCCGCTCTTGTAGGCGGACATCTTCGACGTTAGGCTTCTTTTATCGGTAAAGGTATTCGCTCCCAATCCATAATATCGTCGAACCCACGAAAGTTATGTACAAGCATAAGGGTTCCGTAGATGATTATATCCGTATAATGGTAGGAACTTATTTTCGTTGTTTCGTTGTAGAGAATTAAAGCGGTAAAACAAAGTGTGACAGAGCTATACGGTACGGGACAGTCAAGCGACCCTGTATACGCAAGTTGTAGGCGCAGATATATATGTAAACGCAAGTTGTAGGCGGTGTTCGAAGACCAATGTGTAGACGTCTGAAGCACAGACTCTCTTACGCCTTCTGCGCTTAGCCCACTAAGCATTCTGCCTATGTTATCTGCACACTTGCGAATCGTTACCACCTACCGCGGCTGTCACCATCCGATTCTTTCGTCTAGTCTCGGTTGCTAGCTAATAAATTAGGAATCTGTGAATGGCCGACAGCTCGGTCCACTCTCGCCCCATGGCAGCCCAGGGCGCAGAGGATGGAGAAATAGACCTAGAGGACGTTGAAAATACTGACCCAGACTACGCACAGGATCGCGAGAACGATAGCGAGTTTGAGGCGACCGAGGAGGATTTGTTTCAGGGTGGTATCTACGAACCATCCGTCCGGATTCAAGTCCAGGGGAGTGAAGAAGAGAGTGAAGGGCCGGGAGGCGATGGAGTGCGCCCACGACCCGGTGCACCCGAAGAACAGTACGAGGAGGATGGAGATCACTCTGACGCAGAAGAGGAGGGAGAATCATCGCCGGGACGACGACGACCTCCCGATTCTGCGAGCCATGTCGAGCAGGCTGTGGCCCCCGGAAATGCGCAGCGGCAGACCGACGTTGCGGAAAAGGAGAGCAGGATCCGGCGTTCAACAATCCCGCTTCGACTGATAGAGGCCGGGACGAGAAGGCACTATTGTTTCCACTTTCTACACTTCAAGTGGTGGGTGATCATCTTCATGGCAACTATGGTAGATGTCCCTGTGGCAGATAGCCTTGCTCCCTCTCTGCATGACGAGGTTGGGTTTCATATGAGCAATAACTTGGGAAACGATGGGTGGTCGTGCAGCTCTGACGAGTGGCAGATTCATCTGCACGGGCCGCGAATCACGGAATGGAGGCTCGGCCGATACATCGAGTATCTCTTCTGCGAAACTGACGAGCAGGCAAAGTTTTTGCGTGGAAAAATGCGGCCAGACGTCGAGAAATATGTGGGGAAGGAGGCAAAGGGGTGCACGGCTTCAATGATCAAGGCAAAGATGAACGCAATGGGATGCCTTGCCAGGTGCGAGGCGAGGCTCTACGGCTTCTCCATCACACTGACCAAGGACTGGATCAAGGATGCTCGGGATTTTTTCAAAGTGAAGCTGAAGGATCTGAACGACGAGCAAGTCGCGTGAGTAACGTATACGGGTGCTTTCTGTTTGTGTGAATGTTGTTCTACATGGTTTACCTAATTACTGTGCTATTCTATGCAGGGATGGTCGAGATCAAACCCGTGGATCAATTGGTGATTGCTATACGGGAAGCCAGTATAGGACGCTGCATCTTACTGTTCTGCGAAAAGAGCTCCTAGAGATCTGGTGGCGGACGCCTCCGTCACAAATCTCGCTTCCTCTCTGGAAGGCTCTGCAAGTCCCGGTTATGATGCACCTCGGACACCAATTTCTCGGAAGAGGGTGCAGCATTCGAAAGATTCGACTTGGGAACCTCTTTGTCCGCATGACGCGGAGCACATCACACCTCGACGACTATCTGGACGTTTTCGTACTCGTCGTTGTTTCCAGGAAGTCGAAGACCAACCCCAACAACAAGCTGAATCATCAGTTTCTTGCAAGGCATAGGGACTGGCGGCTCTGCGGAATGGGCCATGTGTTCCTGTGGCTTTATTTCATCTACGACCTCGTTCCTCTGCGCTACGGCCCCGGTATCGTCGAGCCTCTCGACTTTTCTGAACCGATCTTGTGGACGAAAGCGCACCTCTTCTTTTCTTTGAAGAAGGGCGACCAGGGAGAGCAGAAGCAAGACGAGATGCACTACAAAACGCATAACACCTGGATTAAGTGGGCCATGACGAAGGCGAGATGGATTCTGAGCAAGGTAACACATGCATTCCGCAGATCCGGAGCGCAACAACTCCATGACGACGGTTGCTCCGACAACGATATCGGCACTCTGGGCGGATGGGCGCAGGGGGAGTTGCGGAGGTGTTATGTGTTCGGCATACCGTTCAAGCCGGTTTGGCTGCTGGCAGGATTCAGCGGGGATCGTGGAGACTACTACATCGGCAGAGCCCGCGCCAAGCTTCCGCGGCATAAGGTTAAGGAGAAGGATGAGTGGTTGCAGCTCTTGGATCTCTTGAGGCTTCACATTTTCCCCTGGGTCGAAGAGGGTTGGAAGAAGGTACGTGCTAGTGTACAGTCTTCGCGTTCGTAGCTTAAAATTGATACGCAATGATGAACCGTCCCATTTCTCCTGCATACTCGTCCCGTCAGGTCGAAGAATGGAACGCTGCGCAGACCGATCCGCTGAAGAGGCACTATGCGGGGGCGAGGTTCCTAGACACCCTCGCCAGCATCGGACGCCTCGTTGTTGCACAGGATCTGGCTATGATGTGGGCGTTCTGCCATCAGCACGGCGTGAGAAACCCGCGGTGCAATTGCGAGAGGCATCCATATGTGCAGATGAGCCCCTTGTGCAACCACCCGCTGTTCCAAAAGTGGGCGTACCTGGTCGCTATTTCTCACTTCCAGGGCGAGAAGCTTCGGGCAACCGGCCAAACCACCGCCAAAGCAGTAAGTGCCTGCTATTAGTGGTAGAGAGGAGTTATTCGTTCATGCTGAGTTCTGCCGTGCTGGTTTCTGCAGGACGCTATCTTTCGCACGACCGCAGAAGAGAAGCTGCATAAGATGCACCTCACCGCCAATATGCTCAGGGAGGAGCTTGGGATTTTGAGAGGACGTGAAATGCAGTTGGCGATGGAGAACGCTGAACTGAGGGAGAAACTCGCCGCTGAGCGAGAGGACAAGGCTCGGGTCATTGCAGAGTTCGAAGCATACAAGAGGTCTGTTGCGGCCAGGGATGACGCGGCAAACACCTCTGCAGAGATCGACGGATCGTCGAAGAGCGCGGGAACAGGAGGAAACCAGGCAACGGACGCATCCAAAGCACCAGTTGCCGTCCAAGAATTCTTCGTCGTGGTCGTTGTGTCTTGGCGCGAAGCCACCACTGTTGCTGCTGCCTGGAAAGTGTGGGTGCAGCCAAGCCTCATCATGGGCGGCCGGTCACTGCGCGAAGTCTTTGCAGAGTTCGACCGGTATAAGAAGAAGGACAAGAATTCCAGCTTCATCACCGCATATTCCCGGTTCGCTGTCAAAGGTACGCCCGGGATGGCTGTGGGTGCATGCGAGCGAAAGATGCGTCGCGTGCATCGTGTCATGGTTTCCGTGGAGACGCTAAGAAAAGACAGCTCCGAGGCGGCGACCGCAACGGCCATTAAGCTGCTGGACGAGGTTTTACTCGTGTGCAACTTCACGGAATTCACCAACGGCCTGGCTGTGCTGCATGAGACTCCGACCATCAAGAAACAGAAGACCGGTTCGTCGACGGAAAAGAGGACCGTCAACGACCTGGCGCAACGCAGAGTGGGCTGGCTGTTAGTCAAGAAGGGCCTTCGCGACCAGGAGTGGGCAACTTCGCTGTTTGGTGATGATGAGTGGGAGGAGATCCACAAGGAACACATGGCGCAGAAGAAGGCGGAAGAGGAGAAACAACGAACCGCTGCGGCGAAGAAGGCGGAACGGGAAAAGGCGACGGGCGAAGCGTCGAAACGCAAGGAGCAGAAATGAGGGGGCATGTACCTTAAGGGTGGGGCGGTTTAGTTATTTGGGTACTTTATTCCGGTTGTACCGAATATGCACTACAGGCACTTGTCTGTCTATGTAGAAGCCCGATTTGGGGCTTGTATGCCACCTTATTCCCTGGGCGCGCTGTTTTTCGTAGAATGTTTTTCTGGTGTATGCAATGAAGCACACATCGATGGTATACACCGGGCGAAATTCTGCGGAGTCATGTCGTATCGTATACGATTTTATTCTACAGAGCGGCGTCGATGAATTCACTCTCACGATTGTAGATGTGTGTTCTTAGGTCACTCGGTAGACTTTTGCGTGGATTTATTCAGTCTCAGCATATGTTTCTGGGCAAAGCAGTGTCATATTTTACTAGTAGCAACGAAGATCCTATCCATGACGGTAGATATTATCAACACGTCGGTTTTTCTGCGGTATAGTGGCGTTTCCAATTTGCCTCCAGAATTCGGCGTCGAGGAATTCAATCTCCATAGCAGAAAGGTCTGTGCATATGAATACCGTATACGTTCTTAACAAGGTGCTCCCTTAGACAAGATGTTATGCGATTGTTTAGCCCCATACTTCTACCTCTTCGTAGAAGCCGAGTATTAAACGTAGATTAAGTGTCGTAGAAGGCCGTCCTGTCGTCAATTTTTTTATTCGCCTGGCCCTCCCTTTGATGGCGAGTTCTATCGGCTGCATTGCTAGCTCCATACGCGCCCTACAAATTTTGCTAGTGTAGTGAAGGTTTGCATAGCAAAAATACATCTCTCATTGTATTGTATACAACAACACCTATATTTATACACGGTTAAATAAAAAAAACGAAAAGGAAAATCTATTTCTACTGCGGTACTAACAAGACCTCCAAAGAACCCGTCTGCCTCTATCAATCCTGGCCGCCAGTGCCGGTGTTCTCCTCCGTCGACGCATCCTTCGTCGCGTTCCCCTTCGCGGACGATTTCTTGGTTTTCTTCTCCTTATCCGCCCCTGTTGTGGTATCCCGGCCGCCCAACTTCTTCTGCAGGACTCCGAGCCAGACGCCCTGGTGCTGGCGAAGGCCTCTTGATGCCATGCTGCATAGGCACCAAGAGGTCACCACCTTTGCCACCACCCTCGTCATCCGCTTCGCATCCTCGGCCGCTCGCGACTCTGCCGGAAGCGCTTTCAGCAGCGCATCCGACAGGGGCAGAATCCACGCTTCCTTGTCATGCTCCTGATCCTTTACCGACCTCATCGCCTCAACCGCAACGCAAGCAACCGAGGCTGCAAGCGTCGCAAGGGCATTGTGGACGGCAGAGGGCACATCGGCCGCAGAAGATGACGAGGCATCCGACGAGGCGGTGGCAGCAGTGGACGATCTGGCAGCAGAAGATGCTATGGCCGTAGAAGTTCCACGTGCAGCTGTTGTTGCGCCCGTCTCCCACTGGGTCTGGTCCACATTCGTGGATGCGGCCCACATTACAGACAACGTGGCGGCAAGTCCGATTGCGTGTTCTTCCGTCGAATAGCCGTTTTCACCCTCCACGCCTCCCACCATCTTCTGCCACGCAGTTATTCCGACACCAGCGCAGGCAGCTACCTGAAAGCCATCCCCCTGCTGCTGCCGAAGAGCCGTGTTGGTTTGAACGAGTGAGAATCTGCACAAGACACCAGTGTCGCAAGATCAGAACCATCGAACTTCGCGGGTGTTTAGAAGTTGCAACTGTACATCACATAAACACTCACCCGTCCGGTTTGTCCAGGTGGAGTTCGTTGATGACGCTCCACACCCCTGTTGGAAGCCACGTTGTGAAGTCGAGGTCTTCCCGCCACTTGTTTATACGGTTTGGATTCATGCCGTATGCCTGCATGTCAATATCCGGGAAGTAGAACTTCCAGCAGACTGCGACCGTGTATGCCCTCTCCCACACCGTTTTGTGAGAGCCGAGGTTCCGCTTCCGGCCGCCGACGGTCTGCTCAGACGTCCACTTCTGCAAAGCTCCCTCGCCCCGTTGAGAGAACCCGCTTCCCCTGAACGGCAGGCAGACACCCAAAGTCTTACCCTTGTCGTCCACTACGGCGTTTTTCCTGTTGTCACACTTGTCGATCTTCATCCCTTTCTTTTCCCCTTGGATTATGGGTATCAACTCCTGTATTCCAGCTGCACGCCGTCTCTTAGCCGCATGACCCTCCGGCTCCCTGTCCTCTTGTCTAGGCCGCCTCCTGGACACCTCTACATTCCGTACAGGAACACTAGGCACGCCCTCTGCTACATTCGCCTCCCCGCTCTCAATCAACAGCAAAGTCCCCAACCCCTCAACTATTTCCTCCTCGACTCCTGTCCAGGTCCCCTCCCCCTGCATGGTCAAATCCTCCTCGACTCCTGTCCAGGTCCCCTCCCCCTGCATGGTCAAATCCTCCTCTTCCATCTCCCTTGCCAATCGTTCCGTCTCTTCAGCCATCGCCTTTGCCTTTGCCTCCAGTTGCCGCTGCTGTTCCGCGTAGGATGCAAGTCTGGCCCTCTTCTCTGCTCGGCATTGCTCCGCCTTCTGCAGGCGCTCCATCTCCTGCTGTTTCGCCCTCTGCTGCCGCTCCGCCTCCTCTGCCTCCTTCTTCTGCGCTTCCTCCTTCTGCAGGCGCTCCATCTCCTGCTGTTTCGCCCTCTGCTGCCGCTCCGCCTCCTCTGCCTCCTTCTGCGCTTCCTCCTTCTGCAGGCGCTCCATCTCCTGCTGTTTCGCCCTCTGCTGCCGCTCGGCCTCCTCTGCCTCCTTCTTCTGCGCTTCCTCCTTCTGCAGGCGCTCCATCTCCTGCTGTTTCGCTCTCTGCTGCCGCTCGGCCTCCTCTGCCTCCTTCTTCTGCGCTTCCTCCTTCTGCAGGCGCTCCATCTCCTGCTGTTTCGCCCTCTGCTGCCGCTCGGCCTCCTCTACCTCCTTCTTCTGCGCTTCCTCCTTCTGCAGGCGCTCCATCTCCTGCTGTTTCGCCCGCTGCTGCCGCTCGGCCTCCTCTGCCTCCTTCTTCTGCGTCTCCTCCTTCTGCAGGCGCTCCAATTCCTGCTGTTTCGCCCTCTGACGCCGCTCTACCTCCTCTGCCTCCTTCCTCTGCCTGTCCTCCTCCTGCAGGCGCGCCATCTCCTGCTGTTTCTCCCTCTCCTGCCTCTCGGCCTCCTCCGCATCTTTCCGCTGCGCCTCCTCCTTCTGCAGGAGCGCCATCTCTTGCTGTTTCTCCCTCTCCACCCGCTCTGCTTCCTCTGCCTCCTTCCTCTGCGCATCCTCCTTCTGTCGCCGATCTCCCTCCGTTGCCTTCCTACCCTGCTCCTCCTTTTGCCGCCGCTCTGCGTCCAATCTCAGAACCATTGACAGCCGCTTTTCCACCTCACTTAGCATCCCCTCCTTCCACCCCGTAATCCCCGTCTTCATCTCCTTCACAGCCTCCATCACTTCCTTCATTCCCGCCTCCACCTCCTTCTGCCGTCGCTCTTCCTCCTGATGTTTGTTCTTCCTCCGCCGCTCTGTGGCCTCTACGTCCTTCCTCTTCACCTCCTCCTCCTTCCGCCATTGCTCGTCCAGTTGTATCCTCTTGCGTCTCTCCTCGTCGTCCGCCACTTGTTTCCTCTTCGCGTCCTGCTGTTGTCGCCGCTCCGCGTCCACTTGCCTCTCCTTCTTCTGCCGCTCGGATTCTTCTCGCAAAACCGCGCTCAACCTCCCCACAATCTGGTTTACCATCCCATCCTTCATCTCCTTCATTTCTGCCTTCATCTCCTTCATCATCGCCTCCTTCATCTCCTTCATTCCCTCTCTCATCTCCTTCTGCCGACGCGCTTCCTCCTGCTGTTGTTCCTTCTTCCGTCTCTCTGCGGCGTCTGCTTCCTTCCTCATGGCCTTCTGCCTCCGCTCCTCGTCCTGCAGTCTATCCCTGTTCCGCCGCTCAGACTCTTCTCTCAGAACCTCTCTCAACCTCTCTTCCACCCCCTTTAACGTGCCCTCCGCCATCCCCCCTCCCGACTGGCGAACCTGATCACTCACCCTTACGATACTCTCCTGCAAGTTGGAGAGTCTCGTGTCCACCTCCTCGCGAAACCTGGCCGCCGTTTCAGCTTGGCGCCGCCGTTCCTCGTTTCCATGGCGGACTTCTTCCAGGTTGGCCAGGGCGTCGCGACAGTAATGGACGGTCAGATCGGCCACGTCGCGACTGATGCTGCTGTTGCGGGCCGCCAAGTTGCAGAACGTCTGCGTCACCATTCGGGCTAAGAGCGTCAGACGACGCGTTACCTCTGCCGGGCTTATGTCCCAGCTTTCGGCCTCGACGAACCTGTCACCTTGTTCGACCAGGACTGTACTCGTCCGATGCAGCATCCGCCGAATTGCCGTCTCTGCCTCGACCCACTCTACCTGCCAAAACGCTTCTGCCACCCCGCCTTGGCCGAGATTCCTCTCCACTGCTCTCTGGTGAAGGGTGGGCCGCCTCTGCCTGTTGAGACCCACTGTATCCCTAGGCGCCCCATCGTCTGCCACCCTCCATGGCCCCTCTACCCCGGTTCCTGGTCCCCGCGTCGGACTTCCTCCCAAAAATATCCGTACTGCCGGATGTACCGTATCCTCCTCATTCTGCTCCTCTTCTGTTTCCAGCGCATCTCCCTCGTAGTGCCCCACTCCAGCCTCCGGGACGACACGAACCTCCTCCATAGTATTTTGACGCCCTGTCTCTGCCATGCTCTGCGTCTCTCGGTATGCGAATACCTGCGACGCTGCCTCCTCGTTATGCTGCCCCTCTTCCTCTGCGATGATGTGCCCCTCAGCACCCGCCGTCTCCCGTCCCTCTGTCTGTACCATTTTATTCCCATCTGAACCGTCCTCTCCATCTGGCTTCCTTCGTGCGTCTGCCTCAGCCTGCTTCTGCTCCTCGGCCTCTGACATCTTCTGCGCAACACCCTCCGCCTTCTTCTGCGCCTCTACAACAGCCTTCTTCCGCGCTTCAGCCCGAGCCAGTTGTAGTGCCTCTTCCGCAGCCTGTTTCTGCTCCTCTGCCTCCGCCTTCTGCCGCGCCGCTGCTTCTGCCTTATTCCGAGCCTCTCCTTCCTTATGTGCGTCTGCCTCCTCCATATGCAGCGCCGCTGCCTTATCCTTCTCCCTCGCCGCTGCCTCTGATTCCTTCTGCGCCTCTGCCTCAACCATGTTCGACGCCGCACCCTCCTCCTTCTGCAGCGCCGCTGCCTCTGATGCCTTCTGCGCCTCTGCCTCAACCATCTTCGGCGCCGCACCCTCCTCCTTCTGCAGCGCCGCTGCCTCTGATGCCTTCTGCGCCTCTGCCTCAACCATCTTCGGCGCCGCACCCTCCTCCTTCTGCAGCGCCGCTGCCTCTGATGCCTTCTGCGCCTCTGCCTCAACCATCTTCGGCGCCGCACCCTCCTCCTTCTGCTGCGCCGCTGCCTCTGATTCCTTCTGCGCCTCTGCCTCAACCATCCTGGGCGCCGCACCCTCATCCTTCTGCTGCGCTGCTGCCGCTGATTCCTTATGTGCGTCTGCCTCATCATTCTGCTGCGCCGCTGCCTCATCCTTCTGGCTCGCCATTGCCTCTGATTCCTTCTGCGCCACTGCCTCCACAACCATCAGCTCGACTGCCTCCGACGTCAGCTCTGCTGCTGCACCCGCTTCTTTACGCGCGACTGCCTCCGCACCCTTGACCGCCTCTGCACCCACCTTCTGCTGCGCCGCAGACTCTGCTTCCTTTGGCGCCCCGTCCTCTGCCGTAAGTACCGCCTCTGCATCGACGAACCGATGGGCCGCATCCTCTGCATTCTGGTGCGCCTCTACCTCCACCATCTTATGAGCCTTAGCACCCGCGTTGCTCTCCTCCTTCTTTTTCGCCTCTCCCGAATTCTCTGGCACGTCGACGTCCCCTCTCCGGGCCTCTTCTGCCGCCTTCCGCTTTAGGCTGGGCAAGCGAACTTTCACGTATCCCCTATCCTCCTCGATATGCTGCCGCACATTGCTGGCGAGCTCCTCTCCTGCCTCTCCCACGTGTGCCCTTGCAGCGGCTCGTGCCCCACGCTCCCATGCATCACGTATGTCTCCAGTTCCCGGGAAAGAGACGGTAGGATCGGTGCCGCCATCACTGCGCCGCTGCATCTCTTCAGCCCGTCTACTCTTGGCTTCTGCTTCGACCATCCGCTTTTCATCAGCCACCTTCCTCCAGTGCTCCTCTGCCTGTTCGACCTGACTTGGCAGCTGTGGATCTTCTACACCCTCCTCGCCTTCATCTGCTACGCTTGCCAAGTCGGTCTCCGTCCGTGCTTCGCGTTCCTGCGGCATCCTAACCCGATCAGCAAACCTGTGCTGCCTATCTCCAGACCTATCACGCTCGTCAGCAGTGGCTGCCCTTGATGTCGGGCCACTGAGTACTGCATCCCTCGGTGCAGGTCGGCGGGAATATGAAATAAACCCAACTCTTGGATTTGCGTCCCGGTTTGCGGCAGGTACGTCTATCTGTCCCTCTACCGCTTCGGATCTGTTCTGTGCGGGTGCGCTCTCTACCACTCGAGCACAGTGGGTCGTCATGACTGCATCCGGGGCGGGACGGAGCTGGACTCCTTGCAGGTCGAAGAAGGCCCTGCAGGTCGACTCCAGCATACTCCGAATTTCTTTCGCGCTGTTTTTCCCCTTCCCTAAGACCATCATCGGCTCTACAGACTGAATCGCCATGACATCCCCCCATTTGTCCAGCAACTTGCTGAACACATGGGTAACATGCAGCCCGGAACCCACTTGCCTCTGTCCCTGAACCTTGTTGATCTGCAACATGTGCGTGAAAAGGTGGTTGTCAGACACTCCCGTTACTTTGTACAAGCTTGATATCATACAATGCTTAAATCATAAAAATAGAGGCTCCTTCCTTACCCTGCCTTCCTCCAGAATCAGATCATTTAGGCGAGCCCTCAAATCTTTCTGCACCGCTTCGGCGTGGCTGCCAGAGACCCTGCGACCTCGGCTGTATTCCACATCTAGTTGTCGGATAAGCCAGCTGCAGGGCAAGGGGGTCGCAAATAATCAATATCATGCGTCCACACAAACCGCACATCTGCTTAAGGAGTGATACCTACTCGAACACCTCCTTGGCATGCTCGCTGTGGCGATGGGTTGGGATTGCAGATTTAGGGTCGAAGTGTAGCACACGCGTACGGTACTCTCCGCGGGGATGTGCTAACAAATCTTGCGGGTTCATCAGCACCATGAGACTGATCGCCGTCGAGCGAACAACAGCGACTCTGCGGTACATGGAAGTTTGGATTAGCAAGATAGCTGGTGTCATCGACACACGTTGCGGATACATGTCAGGAAACTCACTCTGATATCATGGGTATTAAAACCATCTGGTAGTCCAACAGCGACCGATGTTCGCTGCCACAACTGGGGACACGCGGGACAGCAGACCTCAAACGCCGATGCTCGGTAGGAGCCAGAATCTTTATGTCTTTGCGAACGCGAGGATCCCCAATCTTGTCCTTGGCAACCTCCCTGCATCCAAGCCGACATGTCGCAGAGGTAAGAAGATAGCAGGTGCCTGTCTAAAAAACAAGGGTTCAACGTGTCGATGAAGTCAGCGTGCGTTACAAACCGCGCTTGGATACATACACTAGGCCGAAAAGTAACAACGCCTCGTTCCACTCTTCCTGACGAGCGATTAACCTTTCATAAGACTCCCGCCCTAGTCGTACCGACAATCCGCAGCCGTCTGTGATTAGCTGGGACGACATCGCGTAAGTATGCCAGAAGATGGCAGGTAGCTAAACGGTTACTAACAAACACTCTCTACCTGCAGGATAAGAGGCCGACACTAGAATGAGAGGGAAGCTTGTGAGACTAGTTGTGGAACCTCGACTCAGATTGGAATGGCGAGAATGACGTCGAGCTTTGGTGCACCCACCCTGATCCCAACTTCTGCTTCGCTGGTAGAATTGGTTGTGCTCTGTCCTCAAACGCCAGGCGTAGTAACAATTTTCTGCCCCATGGCTCAAAATATTAGGCTTCTCACCATTTCCCTTCGACCATTTGCGAACTACTCTTTGCCATGTTAGCATATTGCATGTTCTGCGGTGCCATTGCATGGTCTCAGCTTTGCCTCGACCTCGTACGAAATGGTGACGGGCAGCCCCTAAAAAACGAATGGTGTCCTGTGACAGGTTAATGACAGGCTGCCACGTATAGCTATCCCATCCGCATGGTTCCCTCCGCAACCTGGAAATAGAGCTGTCTCTGCGACCTGTCACACGTGTCAGAAATCGAATGACACCCTACATCCGAGAGTACCGCTATAGGGGTACTTGTGTAGCACGTATAGTACTAGTTTTTGTAACCCATAATTCAAACACAAGCATGAACTTTGCATGATTAGCACACCCAATACTATAACGGGTAATCCTATAAGTGTGAGATGAGTGCCCTATCATTAGCACCCGTATAACAGTGGCATTGGAGTACAAAACAAATGTTGTACATTTCACCAAAGTGCTCTGCTCCCGCCTGCAGAGGAGAGAGTAAAAAACATACTACACGTCTACGAAAAAAGATGAATTTCAGGTGGGGGTCTGGAATATGTGTGGTGAGAGTCCCCTATAAAAATCAGCTCATTTGCTCAAAGAGAAGTGGGTGATTACAATTGAAACCTGATTGCAGGCAATTCTGCACAGAATTCTGCAGACTGCTGCACAGCAAGGCTTAAAACACATATCAAACCTTGGGCAAATGAGGTGAATTTCATGTGGGGGTCTGGAATAAGTGTGGTGAGAGTCCCCTATAAAAATCAGCTCATTTTCTCAAGGAGAAGTGGGTGATTACTATTGAAACCTGATTCCAGGCAATTCTGCACAGAATTCTGCAGACTGCTGCACAGCAAGGCTTAAAACACATATCAAACCTTGGGCAAATGAGATGAATTTCATGTGGGGGTCTGGAATATGTGTGGTGAGAGTCCCCTATAAAAATCAGCTCATTTTCTCAAGGAGAAGTGGGTGATTTCAATTGAAACCTGATTCCAGGCAATTCTGCACAGAATTCTGCAGACTGCTGCACAGCAAGGCTTAAAACACATATCAAACCTTGGGCAAATGAGGTGAATTTCATGTGGGGGTCTGGAATAAGTGTGGTGAGAGTCCCCTATAAAAATCAGCTCATTTTCTCAAGGAGAAGTGGGTGATTACTATTGAAAACTGATTCCAGGCAATTCTGCACAGAATTCTGCAGACTGCTGCACAGCAAGGCTTAAAACACATATCAAACCTTGGGCAAATGAGGTGAATTTCATGTGGGGGTCTGGAATATGTGTGGTGAGAGTCCCCTATAAAAATCAGCTCATTTTCTCAAGGAGAAGTGGGTGATTTCAATTGAAACCTGATTCCAGGCAATTCTGCACAGAATTCTGCAGACTGCTGCACAGCAAGGCTTAAAACACATATCAAACCTTGGGCAAATGAGGTGAATTTCATGTGGGGGTCTGGAATAAGTGTGGTGAGAGTCCCCTATAAAAATCAGCTCATTTTCTCAAGGAGAAGTGGGTGATTACTATTGAAACCTGATTCCAGGAAATTCTGCACAGAATTCTGCAGACTGCTGCACAGCAAGGCTTAAAACACATATCAAACCTTGGGCAAATGAGGTGAATTTCATGTGGGGGTCTGGAATATGTGTGGTGAGATTCCCCTATAAAAATCAGCTCATTTGCTCAAGGAGAAGTGGGTGATTACAATTGAAACCTGATTCCAGGCAATTCTGCACAGAATTCTGCAGACTGCTGCACAGCAAGGCTTAAAACACATATCAAACCTTGGGCAAATGAGGTGAATTTCATGTGGGGGTCTGGAATATGTGTGGTGAGAGTCTCCTATAAAAATCAGCTCATTTGCTCAAGGAGAAGTGGGTGATTTCAATTGAAACCTAAGTCCAGGCATTTCTGTACACTAACTTCATTGCAAGAAAAAGTCCACCAAATCAGTTTGCATATAGCTGAAAATGTTCAGGGGGGTTGGAACAGGTGTCATAACACTAACAATGCAAAAAAAAATGGTCACCACATAACACATGTGTGTGATGCACATAGAATGACTTTACATGTGCTATGAGCAATCTTAGTTGAGAGAAAAGTGACAAAATGGAACAAATTTGACAAAATAACAAACTCATGCCCGCTTGTAGAGGACATCAAGGAGATGCTGGAAATCCATATTTGTGTGCAAATGACCAACAAATGATGGAGTTATGAGCCAAACCATATAGAATTTTGACTTAGCCATTTTGACATTCTGCTTGTCAGAATTACACCAAAGTGTCAACAACAAAGTTTATATACAAATACTGTACAACAGTGGTTGCGACGTCGCTTTCGTGCGACCGTCGATAATCCAAACCGGTAGTGTAACCACTCTTGCGCCCATTTCGTTGCGCCATCAGGTGGTTTGGATTTTGTAAGGAAACCCGCCAAATGTGACCGCATCTGCGGAGGCAGGAGTTAAGTTTCAGCGTTTTTTTCGTGGGTCTGTGTCGTGCTGAGCTCATGCGAAAATCCTCGATTCGCTTCGCAAAATTACCAAAGTGTCGTCGCCGGAACTCAAACTAGGAGGTCCCCTAGCAAACCTCGCACACTTGTTTTCGTTCGTTCCGAATCAGTGACACACCACACCGCATTACGTCAGATAAATACGTCCCCTCCCCCGAAGTTGGTTGAGTTGAGACTTGTGAGAGGTGCGAGGAGGAGCTGGTTTCGGATTTCACTAGATTGAGATTCGAGCTCAGGCATCAGAAGCATTCAGCTCAGCTCTGCCTCATTTGCTTGGATCAGGAAGGAGTAGTAGACTGGTGCATCTGATTCGGTAGCTTGCTCTTCCCGACTCATCTGGATTTTTCACATCAGTGCTGGTGCTGCCTTGCTGTTCTATCATTAAGGTAGGAAATGGATGTTTTTACGTGTATTAGTGATTGCATCCGTCGAACTGACTCCCCTGTTGAACTACGCCATTTGGAAAGTTGTAGTTGTCCTGTCCACGCTTTAGCCATTCCCATCCTTTGCTCATTTGTTTCGTCTCGCCTTTTATTATGCAGAATTAAATATGGCCCGGAAAAAGATCCGAGAGTACGACTCCAAACGCCTCCTGAAGGAGCACCTGAAGCGCCTCGCGGGAATCGATCTGACTATCAACTCTGTCCAGGTGGGAGAATTATTCTCCTCGCATCTGTGCGGACGTTCCGCGTGAACCGCAGTTGCCACCGAGACACATCTCTTCTTCTCGTTTCACTCCAAGCATTTTTTGAAGTGAACTTTCATCCAACTAAAACTGCTTCGCTTGGATTTTCTTTGCGATGTCCAACCTATTCGATGTCAATAGATCACATCGGAGACGGATTTCGCGAAGCTCGCGAACGAGCAGCCATGGATGAACAGCACCCGCATGGTGGTGAAGCCGGACATGCTGTTCGGCAAGCGAGGCAAGAGCGGCCTGGTGAGCCATGTTTGCTGGTAAGCCTTTTACTGTTGGGAAGTTTTGCCATTGTCTTCTAAACATTTTGAAGCGACTCAGAAGTCTTCACGCGAGGCTAGAACATCCCAGTGAACCATTCGCTGTCCCTTGATCTTGGCGACCAGCTCCCGTTTCCGTTTCCACCACCCCTCGTCCATATGCTTTTTTTTCTTTCTCGCACCCCCACTCTTGCAGGTGGCTCTTGACCTGGACTTCGCAGGAGTGGAGGCGTTCGTTAAGAGCAAGCTCGGCAAGGAGGTAAGAGCCTGTTCTCTGTGCGTTTAAGCGACATTGAGCTTGCTTCGCTCCTGCGATGTTTGTCGTTGCAACGATTGGGTATATAATTAGCATCACCTCTCTGTCACCTCCTCTCTCTGTGTCTCTCGCTGTGCCTCCAACAGGTGGAGATGGGGCAGTCCAAGGGCCCCATCACGACGTTCATAGTGGAGCCGTTCATCCCGCACAAGGAGGAGTACTACCTTTCCATTACCTCCAAGCGCCTGGGTTGCGACGTGTGCTTCTCCGAATGCGGCGGCGTCAATATCGAGGAGAACTGGGACAAGGTACGATGGGGGCGACCAGGGAAAAGGGGGTTGGATTGGGGATGAAGTGAGATGGGGGGGAGCCGTGAGGAAGGGAGTTGAAATAGAGGAGAACTGCGATGAGGTGTGGAGCATGGGAAGGAAGGACGATGGGAGTAACTAGTATACGAATAAAGCACTGCTCAGGAGTTCGTTTTCCAGAGCATTAACACGTGTTGTACCTTTGTTATGTGTGCTTATCTGACGTGTGATGTTATGGCGTGTGCCGTTTTGGGGTATGCTGTCATGGCATGTGCTGTCATGGCATGTGCTGTCATGGCATGTGCCGTCATGGCATGTGCCATCATGGGGCATGCTCTTGTGGCGGGTGCTATCACGGAGTGCACCGCCGCGTGTGTGTGCCATTATGCCACGTGGTGTGTGTCATGCCATGCGGTGTTTGTCCTGTGACTTTCTGTGTCGGGCTGGCAGGTGAAGACCATCTTTGTGCCCACAGAGTCAGAGCTCACATCAGAGCTCTGTGCGCCGCTCATTGCGACTCTGCCCCTCGAGGTGCGTGGAACCGCTCTCTCTCCTTCCGTTCCTGCCTATCCCTCTTCAGTTGCGCCCGCCTTTTCCTTTTAGTCCATTCCGTTCCATAGCTATTTCCCTTTGTCCGTTGTTCCCCTTCATGCCCGTCCGTTCTTCCCCTTCATGCCCACCTTCACTCCCTCCTTGCCCTTGACTCCATAGCAGGAGAAATTACTCCGCTTCTCAGCTCTCAATCTAATCCCTCATCCAATCCATGCGTCTGCTATGCGTCTCCTGGCCTCTCTGCAGGTCCGAGAAAGCATGGAGAAGTTCATCAAGGGTGTCTTTGCTGTCTTCAAAGGTGATACCTTCCTCTCATGCTCCACTCGTTTTTTATTCCTCACCCTGTCGATCTGCCCCATACTCTTGACTGGACGTGGATATCACCAGTTTTGCCGACAGGAAGCCATCAATGTAAAGCCAATCGTCCTGTGCACCTTCCCCCAACCCTCATTTCCATTCCCCCCCCCCCCTCCCCCCCCTCTCCACCAGACTTGGACTTCACGCTGATTGAGATGAACCCGTTCATTGTCGTCAACGGGGAACCCTTTCCTCTGGACATGCGTGGCGAGCTGGACGACACGGCACAGTTCAAGCACTTCCAGAAGTATGTACGAATGAGTGCCCTCTTTCATGAGTTCTGAGTTGACTTCAACGTGCCTTTTGAGTTAAAATGAATCATTTCTGTCTCCCCATTCCCTCTCCACTGCACCCGAACGCAGGTGGGGCGACGTGGAGTTCCCTCTCCCCTTTGGCCGCACCATGTCTCCTTCGGAGGAGAGGATTCACGAGATGGATGAGAAGGTGAGCGTGGGGAAATTCCCCGTGTACTGCTTGTGCTCCCATGGGGCCTGTTGGTGTTACTATTCAAGGGCCCGTCAGCGTGTCCGTCTATCGCATGGTGGGGAAGGAGGGGAGGAGGCGTCAGCGTGACTATGGAGGGGGCTGTCAGTGTGATTATGGGTGAGGGCTGTCAATGACGTATGGGGTCTGTCAATGTGCCATGCCATCTCAAGCCATCCCAGCCTTCCCGGCTCCGTTGTTTCTCCCTTCCCATCTTCGCTGTTCTTCTCCTTTCCTCCCCCATCTCCTCTGTTCCCCCCACTTCTCCGTTGTTCCACTTCTCTGTTCTCTCAACTCGGCCGTCTCCCCCCATCAGACGGGGGCCTCGCTCAAGCTCACCATTCTGAACCCCAAGGGCCGCATCTGGACCATGGTGGCAGGGGGAGGGGCTTCCGTCATCTATGCCGACACTGTACGCCACTCTCCCATTCTCATTTCTGTGTTTTGAGTTGAGTAAAAAATCATCAAGGGTTCATTTGGACCATGGTGGCAGGAGGAGGGGCTTCAGTCATCTACGCCGACACTGTACACACCCGCCCCCCTCTGTCAACTGTTTTGACGCGCCTATTAAATATGCTGATGCTATTTTCTTCTGCCGTTTCTTTCATCCACTCCTCCAAAGCTTGTCTTGTGCATATGTCTTTCCTTCCTTCTTTCCCCGAATTCATCTGGGCTGTTCCTCTCTTTGGTGTCCAGGTAGGGGACTTGGGCTACGCACAGGAGCTGGGCAACTATGCAGAGTACAGTGGAGCGCCAAACGAGGAGGAGACGCTGCAGTATGCTCGCATCTTGATTGACGTGGGTCCCTCACAGTTTCTGCAAACTTAATCAGCATGCCATCTTGGTTCATGTTTCTTGATATGCTGAAGCGATTTTCTTGCCACCTTACCGATGGCCATCCAAGCATGCTGCTCACTGGTAGAGGCACAACCGAATCCACACGTCCTCCCCCTTCCCTCCCTTCCCATCTTCAGTGCGCCACAGCCAATCCCGATGGCCGTCCACGTGCGCTGCTGATTGGTGGAGGCATCGCCAACTTCACAGACGTGGCCAAGACGTTTTCCGGCATCATTCGGGCGCTCCGAGAGAAGGTAAGCTGCCAGGCGTCATGGGTGGAACGATATGTTTTGAGTCTACTCAAAACACATAATACACGTGCGCTCCGAGAGAAGGTAGGCTGCGTGGCCTCATGGATCACAGATGGAAAGTTGCGTTTTGCGTGGCTTTCAGAATTCTCACAGGTGAGTTAAAACGCACCATTCAGACCCGTACCCTACACCCCGCTGTGCCTTGTCCCTACAGCCAGGAGTGGCAGATCAAGGACGCGCATATGCGTATCTTTGTGTGTGTCTCTCACTCAACATGGCCCTACCCATATCCCTCCCTTGTCTCTCCTCTCCACCAGGAGCGGCAGATCAAGGACGCCAAATTGTGCATCCTCATGTGTGTGTCTCTTCCTCGGTGTGCCCATTCCGTGTCTTGCTCTCACCACGCTTAGCCCTCCCTAGTCTCTCCTCTCCACCAGGAGCGGCAGATCAAGGACGCCGAGGTGCGCATCTTCATGTGTGCGTGTCCCTCACTCACTCACCATGCCCACGCCCCATATTCCCCCCATCCATCATCCCTCCACCAGGAGCGGCAGATCCAGGATGCCAAAGTGCACATCTTCATGTGTACATGTCCCTCACTCACCATGCCCACACCCCATATTCCCCCCATCCATCTTCTTTCACCAGGAGCGGCAGATCAAGGATGCCAAGGTGCGCATCTTTGTGCGGCGTGGAGGGCCCAACTACCTCAAGGGGCTTGAGAAGATGCGTGAACTCGGCACGGAGATTGGCATCCCCATTCAGGTGCGTGTGGAGCAAGGATTGAGTGATTTGAGATGTCGCTAAGAACAGGGTTCTACATCCGCAAGGGGCTTGAGAAGATGCGCGAGCTTGGCACCGAGATTGGCATTCCCATCCAGGTGCGTATCCAGCATGAATGCCTTTACGGTATGTCTCAGATGCAATGGACCCAGCTTCCGGTAGGGTCTTGAAGATGTGACGGCTGGGCACGGATATTTGAGATCCGCATCCTGATGCGCGAAGCAAAAAGCAAGGGGAGAACTGAAGTGTTCCCACTTTTGCCGAGACTCATCTGCATGTGCTTGCAATCTGATCAGGCCCTTTCATGTGCACGCAACCCTTCTCACCACATTTCTCCCATCGGCTGCCCTTGCTTCTCCTCCCATGTACTCCATGGGAGCATATTTACAGGTGTATGGTCCTGAAGCCAGCATGACCTGCATCTGCAAGGAAGCGATTGATTACGTGGCCTCTGCTGCTGCCTGATTTTGAAGCTACTAAGGGCTGAATCATCTGTTCATATCGTGCATGCGTATAAATATCGGAGGAATATTTTTATGAAAGCTATGGAGATGCAGATGCCTGTGTGCAGAGCCATTACCGTAAGGAGAGAGTTTTGTGTGCATCATTTGAAGCTGAAACAAGATCTGTCCTGCTGTGGGAAATCTGTATGAAGAGTCGCTGTTGACCATTTCGTAAGGCAAAGGAAAAAGTGCTGTCTGAACCCGGAATCGAACCGGAGACCTCCAGTGTGTGAGACTGGCGTGATAACCGACTACACCATCCAGACATGTGTGACGGGTGACAAAAAACGATATATATGTTTTATCTCGTGTCAGTTCGAACACCAGTCGGCAACCTTGTCACTTCCTCAACGATCATTGAAGTATCACTGAATTCATTGATCAGTCATGGCTGCCGCCGGCCATTTGGGCCATGGGTCCTCCGCCGCGTGGAAACGCGCCGTGCTTCTCGCCGTCTGCGTCACCGGCATCTGGGCGGCGTACCTCACGCAAGGCGTCGTGCAGGAGAATCTGTAACTGTCCTCTATCAACTTGAAACTCCTTAGCCGTTTGATGTTGACAGACGACTGATTCTGGTAGTTTCTAGCCGCTCGATTCTTCAGGACGGCTGATTCTGAAAGTTTTTAGCCGTTCGATATTGCAGAATTGCACAATGACCGCTGATCCCGTGGTTTCGTCACGGATTGCTGCTATCACCATCGAGATTCCCGAGAATTCGTCGTTACCGCCGTTTGCGAAGAAGACAGTAATTTCGCATAGCGAGTTTCAGCACGAGACCAATTGCGCATTGCGACCCAAAGCCCAGTCAATTTCGAGAGTGATCTGTTCATTCCGAGGCTTAATCCAATCATGAGTATTTCTTGGTTCATTCCTTCAAGAATAACTAAAGAATTAGTTTTTCCGCGGATCGCTGTTCGCAATTCGCAACGTCTCCTTCCTTCCCTCTCACTCCCTCACTCACTCCATGCAGCTCCACGAAGCGGTTCGCGCCGGACAACAGGCGGTTCGAGCACCTGGCGTTCCTCAACCTCGCGCAGAGCCTCGTCTGCTCCGTCGTCGCCTTCCTCAGTGCGTACCCACCTCCCGATTCTTCCTAATCAACGTCCTTTTCTGCTCGCCTCTCACTCGCCTCTCACTAGCCTCTCACTCGTTTCTCACTAGCCTCTCACTCGTTTCTCACTAGCCTCTCACTCGTTTCTCACTCGCCGCTCACTCGCCTCTCACTCGCCTCTCACTCGCCGCTCACTCGCCTCTCACTCTCCTCTCACTCTCCTCTCACTCTCCTCTCACTTTCCTCTCACTTTCCTCTCACTCGCCTCTCAATCCCCTCTTCACCCCTCCCCCTCGTTAACCCCATCAGTGCTCAACATTCTGGGCACCAACATGACAGTACAGCCGCCGCTGCTGTCCTACTGGCTGCCGGGGGTCACCAACACCATCGGCCCGGCGTGCGGCCTCATTGCCCTTAAATACATCTCCTACCCTGCCCAGGTGTGTTACCTGTGCCGTTTTCATTGCCCTTAAATACATCTCCTACCCTGCCCAGGTGCGCCACGTCACCCTGTCCACAGTGTAGCGTTTACCATTCCCGGGTGTGCTGCTACCATCCCCTGACCCCTGCTTTGCCTCATTTCGCACAAATACATCTCCTATACATCTCATTTCTGCTTTCCCCTGCGCGACTATATTGAGTCAATAAAAAAATACGTGTCCTACCACCCTTGTGCCGCTCCCACACCTGTTCTGCTCTCCCACCCTCGTGCCCCGTGTATAGATTTCCCTTTCTTGATTCACTCACTGCGTTCTTCCTGTAACTCTTTTTGCAACCCTCTATCATCCGTTCCTCAGGTCCTGGCCAAGTCATCCAAGATGATTCCAGGTATGATCCAACCCCCCACACCACCTTGTAAGCTGAGACAGCTTTTTAGGCGCCTAAAGAAACGCAATCATCTCTTGTATCAGGTCCTGGCCAAGTCATCCAAGATGATTCCTGGTATGTGCCCACCACTTTGTGGGTGTTTTCTGCATATTCATGTATTACTATGTGGGTATATGTGTATGTATGGTACCTTATGTGTACATGTATATGCGTGGTCATATGATATCGCGACATGCGTTCCTTTCTGATTCAATTGATCCAAATGTTCTGCCGATGAAGACACAAGTCGGCAATTCAAGGCATACGTGTCAATGCAAGTTGCAAGGCCATGTCCTGTTGACTCGCAATCCTTGTCATGTCACGCCCAGTGCTGCTGGGAGGTGCATTACCTACAGAATGCGTTGCTGCCTCCCTTTCTCCCGGCGTATATCTGAGTCTCCTCTCCTCCTGCTGATCCTTTTTAAGCTCGTCCCCACTCAACTGCACACCTACCTTTGCCCCCATACCCGCCCACTCCAACGCACTCTCCCACACACTCCCAGTGATGCTAGCAGGCGCCATCATCTACGGGGTGCGCTACACCATTCCAGAGTACATCTGCACTCTGCTTGTCGCCGGGGGAGTTTCCATGTTCGCCCTCTTTAAGGTGGGTTGTTTCCATAGATTGACTTGGTCCAGGTGCATGACTTGGTCCAAGTGAGCGACATGGTCCAAGTGCGCGACTTGGTCCGGGTGCGTGTCTTGGTCCGGGTGCGCGACTTGGTCCGGGTGCGCGACTTGGTCCGGGTGCGCGACTTGGTCCGGGTGCGCGACTTGGTCCGGGTGCGCGACTTGGTCCGGGTGCGCGACTTGGTCCGGGTGCGCGACTTGGTCCGGGTGAGCGACTCGGTCCTGGCGAGCGACTCGGTCCAAGCGAGCGACTCGGTCCAAGCGAACGACTCGGTCCAAGCGAGCGATTCGGTCCAAGCGAGCGACTCGGTCCAAGCGAGCGACTTGGTCCAAGCGAGCGACTTGGTCCAAGCGAGTGACTTGGTCCAAGCGAGCGACTTGGTCTACACCCGCTTCTTGCTTCCTCTTCTGTCCCAACTCAATTCCCTTCGCACTCCCCTCCCTACTCCACTCTCCCCACAGAGCTCCAGCAAGGCGATGAGCAAGCTCGCCAGTCCCAATGCACACTTGGGTCACACCCTCTGCTTCCTCAACCTTCACTTTATCCCCCTTCCCTGCTCTGCCTTTCCTCTTCCCTGCCTCTCATGCCTCTCTCTCCCACAGAGCTCCAGCAAGGCGATGAGCAAGCTCGCCAGTCCCAACGCACCTCTGGGCTGCACCCTCCGCTTCCCCACCTTCCCTTTGTATATCTTCGCTGCCCTGCTTCCCCACTCCACCCCCCCTCCCTGACACACTCCTCCCTCCCTCATCTCCCACAGAGCTCCAGCAAGGCGATGAGCAAGCTCGCTAGCCCCAACGCACCTCTGGGCTACACGCTCTGCTTCCTCAACCTTGGGCTGGACGGATTCACCAACGCCACTCAGGATTCCATCACTGCCAAGTGAGTTGATTCTTGAAGCTATGCTACCTGAGGCTACTTACGAGCCCCGATGCTACTAGATCATTTGCTTCCTCAACCTGGGGCTGGATGGGTTTACCAATGCCACTCAGGACTCCATCACCGCCAAGTGAGTTGATTCTTGAAGCTATGTTACCTGAGGCTACTTACGAGCCCCAATGCTACTAGATCCTTTGCTTCCTCAACCTGGGGCTGGATGGGTTTACCAATGCCACTCAGGACTCCATCACCGCCAAGTGAGTTGATTCTTGAAGCTATGTTACCTGAGGCTACTTCCGAGCCCCAATGCTACTAGATCCTTTGCTTCCTCAACCTGGGGCTGGATGGGTTTACCAATGCCACTCAGGACTCCATCACCGCCAAGTGAGTTGATTCTTGAAGCTATGTTACCTGAGGCTACTTACGAGCCCCAATGCTACTAGATCCTCTGCTTCCTCAACCTGGGGCTGGATGGGTTTACTAATGCCACTCAGGACTCCATCATTGCCAAGTGAGTTGATTCTTGAAGCTATGTTACCTGAGGCTTCTTACGAGCCCCAATGCTACTAGATCCTTTTGCTTCCTCAACCTGGGGCTGGATGGGTTTACCAATGCTACTCAGGACTCCATCACCGCCAAGTGAGTTGATTCTTGAAGCTATGTTACCTGAGGCTACTGACGAGCCCCAATGCTACTAGATCCTTAGCTTCCTCAACCTGGGGCTGGATGGGTTCACCAACGCCACTCAGGACTCCATCACCGCCAAGTGAGTTGATTCTTGATGCCCGAGGCTACTTCTGAGTGAACTCAAAAGTCACGAGCCCCAATGCTACTACTACACCCTCTGCTTCTTCAACCTGAAGCTGCCTGAGTTGGAGACATCTCATGACTGGGAAAGCATGTCCGAGCCTCAATTCCCTCGTGCTTCGATCACCTTATACTGCACCACACGCCCCTGTTGCCCCAAACCCCTTTCCAGGTATCCATTCACAGCCACGTACCATCTGATGCTGGGCATGAACATATGGGGCACACTCTGCATGGCAATCTACATGTTTGCCTGGCCGGGCGGCGGCGGCATGGCAGCCATCGACTTTTGCCGCACGCACCCCGAAGCTGCCTGAGTTGGAGACATCTCATGACTGGGAATGCATGCGTGGCTGAGCCTCAATTCCTTTGTCCTCCAGTCACCTTATACCGCACTGCACATCCTTTATGCCCCAACCACCATCCAGGTACCCCTTCACGGCCACATACCATCTGATGCTGGGCATGAACATATGGGGCACTCTGTACATGGCTCTCTACATGTTCGCATGGCCGGGCGGCGGCGGCATGGCAGCCATCGAATTTTGCCGCACTCACCCCGAAGCTGCCGTGGACGTGTTCCTCTTCTGCCTCTGCGGCGCCGTCGGGCAGAACTTTATTTTTCTGACCATCAACAAGTTTGGCGCGCTGGTCAACACGACCATCACCACGACTCGGAAATTCATGAGTATTTTGATCTCGGCCGTGTGGAATGGAAATCCGCTTACAGGGCAGCAGTGGGCGGGTGTGGGGATGGTCTTTGCCGGGTTGAGCTATCAGATTTATCTCAAGTGGCGGAAATCCAAGGGTAAGAAGAAGCGGGCGGGATCGGATTTGGGAGCGGCGGCGGCGCGAAAGGAGGTGGCTGGTGAGGAGAAAGAGGCGCTGATGGGAAACGGCGAGAGGAAGAAGAGTAGGTAGGTGATGTATTTGAGGGGCTCTTTGGCTTCATGATGGAGAGAACGAGAGTCATTTAACATACGGTAAATGATCTGCAATAACAAAAAGAGAGTCACTTGACTATACTGCAGCTTTATGTAACTGGCATGTGTCCGTTCACCTGTGGTTGAATACTTATGATCATCATTATACACTACATATACACCACTGCCAACTGGCTCAAAAGAAGCAGGCAGGGATTCATAGAAGGCTGAACTTGAGGAATGATACTTGTAGGCACTTGCTCGACAATCAGGATTGCGAGAGCAGAAGCAGCTGGGGTGCCTGAAACAGAGTGACGTCATCCAGAATCCCCCTCAGGGCCTCCATTGCTGCTTTCAGTCGCACGTTACACCTCTTGATTTGCTGTTGTGGAAGGGGAGAGCGATTTGGGATTTCATACGATGCAGGAGGTGCACAGAGGGGAACAGCAGAGGGGGGTGTGTGAGTGCCATTGTCTGATATCCCCCTCAGGGCCTCCATTGCTGCTCTCAGTCGCATGTTACACCTCTTGATTTGCTGTTGTGGAAGGGGAGAGTGGTTCAAAGTCTCGTGAAGCACGAGCAAAGTGGGGAAGAGAAGAGGGGTTGGTGAGTGACTGAGACACATGTTACCCCCCTCAGAGCCTCTGTTGCTGCTCTCAGCCGCGCGTTACACCTCTGTATTTGCTGTTTTGTGGGAGGGGAGAGAGTGGGAGAGGGGAGAGGAGAAAATGTACAGGAAAGGTAGCATCGTACATGGTCCATCACCCATCGCCCATCATCCTTCACTCATCATCCATCACGCATCACTCATCAACCATCCCGCACCACCCACCATCAATTCCCCATCACCCACCACCCACCATCCACCACTGCGTTTAGCTGCCTCTTCAGATGCCCTAACACACGTCCCTTAAGGTTCTTCTGCTAATTTGATTAATTTTATTTGCTTAATTCTCAGTCAACTCCTCAGTGTTATGTCAGTGAACGCACCTTTCTCAGGGTCGCTGCTCGTGCAGTCAACTCCTCTACTGACGGCGACTCGTGTGCTGCAAGCGCCTCAGGTGCCGCTTCAGGAGCTTCTTCAGGTGCTGCGTGGTCATGTGCAGCATCAGGTGCAGAAAGCCCTGGGTCAGGGCCCTGTTGAGTTCCTTCCCTGTCGTTCCCTGGCCGGCCGGCCTGCTTTGTCCCTTTCTCCATCTCTTCCTGCAGCCGCAGAAGCAGGGACCGGAGCTCTGACGAGATGTTCTTATAGCGAAGGTGAGCCATTTCAATGGCGGCTGCTGCCGCATCCGGCGGCAATCCCGAGGTCCGCCGCTGCTGCTGCTCTTGCTGATGCAGCTGCTGCTCAGAGCTTGCACTGCCAGCGCCTGCTGTTTCGGAAGAAGCTTCCCAGAAGGCGCCGTTGCACATGACGAGGTTCAGCGTGGACAGCACGCCTTCCGCGGCTTCGACCAATCGCTGTGTCCCTTCCTCCCCGCGCCGCGTCAGCGACACGACCAGGTCTTCTTCGCTGCTGCGGCTCGGGCTCTCGCGCTCCGGACATCCTGTATCTGCCGCGTCGTCCGCCTCCTGTGGCTCTCGTTGCTCGCGCGCCGTCGCTGTTTGCGGAGACGACAAATCGTCCGCGTTTGGTGCCGCGGGATCTGGTGGACACATCGCCGTTGCATTGCGGGTCGAGTCGGCGTCTATGTCCATAGCGTCTGCCATGATTTGTTCAGAGAGTAACGAAAGAGAGCACTCAGTAAGAGTCACTCGATTGTAGTAATTGTCTCGCTGGCACAGACTGAACTGAATATTAGGGCGGGGTCAGCGTGTTCGTTTACAGTTTCAGTACAGTTCATTCTGAGCTCATTCTGAGCGGTTCCTCTTGTTTCGTCACGGTTTAGAATGGTTTAAATGTATAACCGCTCTAACCAGCTGGAATCGATACGAAACACACCGCACATGCATCAAGGCACCAAATAAGGATCCTTTTGCCTGCTAGGCAAATGGCCCACCCACGTTTCTGAAATATGTAGCGAAAACTTTCGCTTCGCCAAAGCAAAAGTAGCGGGGAAGCCCTTCCGCCCGAGTCCTGTAACCTAGTTTCGCTCCCAATGTGGTCATTCGCGCAACCCTCGTGTTCACCTACGGAAATGCAATGTGCGATTTGCATTTTGCAAATCTCCAGCATCCGTCGCAAACCTTTCAATCCCCCAACTTGTTCCCTCCCTCCAATCTGCCTTCGTCCCCGCCGTCACTTGAAGCATGCCCATACCTCCCTTTTCACGAAGGTAAACAGCCAGTGATCCTGTATCAGCCGCAAATGCGTTCCATTTACAAGAAGCTAAACGACATTACAATGGAGAACCAGCAACAATGGAGAAGGAACTAGCACAGCTTCAGTGCTTCAGTGCTTGCTGGGACTAGCTACCAGGAGCCACCCTGACTTTATTGTACAACACAATTCAGGGCGTCCCAAGGAACTGGTGCAAGGCAAACGAAAGAAGAAAAGTAAGGAAATCGAAAGCTAACACAAAACGAAAGGAGAGGTCCGGACGAAAGTTCTTGAGAGTGGTTGTGCGCAAGGAGAGGTGGCAGCCGATGTCGCAAAGCTTGAGGGCTGGCCACAATGATCGCTTCCCCGTGCAATCACAGCTCCGATATAATCAAAGCCCCTAAATTATTATTACAGCCTTGAGGCAGTCTCTACTAATTCCACCATCTCCGACAGGTCGCGAGCCTTCGCCGCCTCGCGAGCTTTCGCCGCTTCGCCGTGCTCCTCCAGCCACTTGATCGTCACGCTCTTGGGGCGCTCGATCGGCAATCCCAAGGCGCGGTCCCAAATCAGCTGCGACAGCACGCCCATCGCGCGGGACACACCGAACAGCACCGTATAGAAGTTCGACTCGTTAAGCCCGTAATGCGCGAGTAAAATTCCACTGTGCGCGTCGACGTTAGGCCACGGGTTCCTGACTTTCCCCGTCTGCGTCAGCACACCCGGAACGACATCGAACAGGTCAGAAACCAGATGGAACATGGGATCATCGGGCAGATGCTTTTTTGCGAACTCCCTCTGCGAAATGTATCGCGGATCGGTAACCCGTAGCACCGCGTGTCCGAAACCGGGCACCACTTTCCCCGCCTTGAGCGTCTTCCAAACGAACCCCTCCAGCTGCTCCTTCGTCGGGGTTTCGCCGAGCTCTTCGCGAACCTCGTGAAGCCAATTCAGCACTTCCTGATTGGCCAGCCCGTGCAGCGGGCCCGCCAGACCATTCAGCCCCGCAGCATACGCCAGGTACGGATCGGAAAGAGCCGTGCCGACGAGATGCGTGGTGTGCGCGCTGACATTCCCGCCCTCATGATCCGCGTGAATCGTCAAATAAAGGCGCATGAGCTCGTAAAACCCAGGGTCGTCGAATCCAAGCATGTGCGCAAAATTCGCGGCGTAATCGAGGGTGGGGTCAGCCGGTATCATACGCCCATCCTTGAACACTCGGCGGTAGATAAACGCCGCGATCACCGGTATCCCCGCTATAAGGTTCATCGCGTCCTCGTACACGGGCTCCCAGTAACGAGTCTTGTGCACGGAGCCGGAAGAATAAGCCTTGGCAAACTCGCTGGTGGACTGAAGAGCCGTTACACCAATAGACAGCTGCGACATTGGGTGGAGATGCTTCGGGAGGGAACGAAGCACCGTGAACACGTGATCTGGCACATTCGCCGCGCGCAGCCTCAGCTCCTCCGTGATAGACGCCGCCTGAAGCGACGTCGGAACCTCCCCCGTGATGAGGAGCCATAAGAGCGCCTCGGGAAGCGGCTCGCCGCCGGGTATCGCGGAGGGGAGGAGGTGCTGGCAGTCGGGGATAGACAGGCCGCGGTATTTAATTCCAAGATCTGCGTCGAGGATGGAAGGCTCCCAGATTAGGCCTTTAATTCCGCGCATTCCGCCAAGCGCCATGTCGATGGTCGTTTCGCCGAGCGACACGGAGCCATAATTGGTCTTTAAGTTGCGTACGCGGTCGCGTTGGTCCGGTATGAGGTCTTCTAAGCGGCACCGAAGTTCGGAGAGCGGGCGCACGGAGTGGTCGAATCGCTTGGAGAAGGGCGAACTCGATCGCTGGTTCTTGTTGTCGTGGGATGAAGCAAACAGACTGTACACGCGGGCTACGGCCATAGACTGGCCGCCGACGGTCAAATTAAGCCTTGGTATAGAAGCAAAGAAATTCCCTCAACTATGTGGCTTGCGCGTTTGAAAGAGAGAGCGAGAAGCAGTAAGGAAAATGCGCTACTTGAGAAAAGCGCCGGCAATGTACAGCTGAGATAGTGGTTGTTTGAGGGAGTGAGCTTGGTAGTAGTGAGGTTTCTGGAACGCGTTCCAGCGCCTTTTATCCTTAGACCCTGAAGAGCAAGGCGCTGCGTGTTTTCGGTGGCGATGGAAATTTGAGGATGCGAGTCGTTCGTTCACTCACAGACGGCCTCCCCCAGCTTCCTGCCCCGGCGAAATCGCACCTGGCTTCGCTGCGTTGCCTCCGCGAAAATGCGCTGTCGTCGAAACGCGTCCCACCTGTCCGCATTTGTGTTCCATCTTGCTTTCGCTGACGCGAGCGGCAATCACGGGCGGAACTGCACCCAACCTTGCTTCGTAAGCTCGCCGCAACTGAGGAAGAGTCGCCAATACGAAACAGCCAGCTGAGCGTCACGTGGAGGAAATAACGATAACCAGCTATGGTCAGCAGGGTAACCAGGATACGTGGCAAGACTAGCTGCACTCAACGAAGGTGAGCGAATAGCACAAGCTGGATGTGACACATCCCCGGAAGTGCGGCGAATCGCGGCCGTTCAGGAAAATTCCGAGCCAGCAGAGCCAAGCACTCAGATGCCAAACCAGCGGAGGGAGCCAGCGCAACAGAGAGGCGGAAAGAACCCACCCAACGCAGCTGATGAAGAAATCGCTCATCCTCGTTACTTACCACACACTAGAACATATTGTGCAGTCGATGGTGTTTGACCTATGATATTCAGCATCGTTCAAATCCTTTAATTGTTAAGTGCTGCATTTGCATAGTAGGTTGATTGACGATTTGAATCAGCAAATTAAGATAGAAACAAAATTTTCCACACAAACATATCAAAGTTCGAACACAGCGACCTTTACCTAATAAGGTCAATGCTGGCCTTACAAACACGTTAGTCCGCTTGCAGCCCGCGACCCCTCTTTCCAGGCTGCCCCCCATCATCATCCCCACCCCTACCACCCCCAAACTTCCTCTTTGCCTCCTTCCTGTACTTCTCCCTCTTCTCCTCACGACGCCTGTACTTCTGCTCCTCCTCGTCTGCTGCCTTGCGCTTCTCATACTCCGCTCGCTTCTTGCGCGTCGTCTCCCTCCGCTTCTTCACCTGCACAGGAAATATAATAGTGCACAACAAAAAAATGGAAACTACATAATAATAAAAGAAAACAACCATACAGACTACCACCATGATACCATCACCATCCGTATAGAACATGACGATAAAATACTTACCGTGTTAATGTGTTACCGTACTACTGTACCTTTTGGTTCTTGATGGTGTTGAGCTGCTGCACCATAGTGTGCAGCCGCCTCTCCTGAGGCTCCATCACCACTGCCGGCCGCTGCTGCTCCAGGCTCGGTGTTGTGCGCCGAGCCTCGTCCTTAGGCTTGGAAGAGAAGGGTAGAGCAGCCTGCAGCTTCGCGGGAATCTTGAGAGGGTTGAAGGAGCGCGGGCGCCTCTCGATGGGCTGTGAGGGGTTGAGAGAGATGAGAGGGGGTTACAGGAGTTGATGGGGGGTTGAGGGCAGAATGTGTGGAAGCATCTTCAGGGGGTTGAAGGAGTGCGGGCGCCTTTCTATGCGTTGTGAGGGGTTGAGCGAGATGAGAGGGGGTTAGGAGACAAGAAGAGGGGGTTGCGGGTGTTGAGGGGGGTAGCGAGCAGAATGCAAGCGGAATGTTTTTCGATTACTCTTGAAACATTCCAAAACTTCGAGAAAACTATCCTGAATGAGCAGCATATTCTCCTTCGAGAAAAATACAGATTTTTGGAATCTTATGCAAAAGGAACTGCACTACCTTGTACTACAGGAGCATTTGTGAAGAGCAAAGTACCTTGTAAAGGGAGTCCTTGTTAACGGGGATGGGCAGCTGCTGCTCCCGCCTGAGCTCCGCCACGGTCTTCATGCCTTGCCACGTGGCGCTTGCTGATTGGAGCAGCGTGCAGACAGGGTTGTATAGCTTGGGCACGGTGACCTTGACCCAGGCGCGCAGGAAGACAATGTCGCTCATCAGAATCTTGTCCTCAAAGGCGCATCGCACGCTGCCTTCTGGGCCTTGCCCGTGTTTTAGAGCCTGGTGTTGGGGGGGTGGGGGGAGGGGGAGGGGGGAGGGGGGAGGGGGGAGCAGGGGGCGGGGCAGAGGGGAAAAAGGGGAGGCGGAAGTAGAAGAGTGAGGTAGGAGAGGGGCACTGAGTGACCTTGACACACGGCCATGCCATTGACACCCCACAGCAGCGTGGCTTGGGCAGAGTGACTTTGACCCAGGCGCGCAGGAAGACAATGTCGCTCATCAGGATCTTGTCCTCAAAGGCGCATCGCACGCTGCTCTCCAGCCCCTGCCCGTGCTTCAGAGCCTGTCCTTCAGGTCCCTGCCCGTGCTTCAGAGCCTGGTGGGGGGAAAGGGAGAAAGGGTGGGGGAGGTTGCGGAGGGGAGAGGGGTGGGGGAGGGGGAGGAGGAGAGAGGGAAGAGGGGAGGGGGAGAACCAGCTAGAGCTTCTTCCAGTCTAGGGTTTCCTGTACTTACACCCACCACCCCATTCCCCCCTGCTGTTACCCACAGGAAACAGGTTTCTACTAGTGCAACAGTGCGCACCTTCTTGATCTGCCCGCGAATGCCGGACACCGTGCGAACAGCCGCCCCTTCGACTCTTGCCACCTCGAGCTGGGAGGAGATCGCGTCCTTGATGAATTCGGTGTGATGGCCGGTTGAACCACACCCACACCACACGCACCTTCTTGATCTGCCCGCGAATGCCGGATACCGTACGGACTGCCACCCCCTCGAACCGTGCCACTTCAAGCTGGATGAATGCGGCGTGACGGAAGATCTTTACGGGCGTGCCCACCCACCTCTCTCCCATAACCGAGAATTACCCATTCAGACCAGGATGTGATAGAATTGGAACTGAACTGATTGATTAGGAAAGAAGGCACTAGGCCTTAAGTACAAACGAGGTTGGGATGGGCAAGGCTAGGGAAAAGATGGGATGGGAATCCTAGCAAATCTCCAATTGGTGAGTTGGCAGATTTGCAGGATTACGAGGGAATCCCAACCAGATAGGGTTGGGATCACAAACTACACCCAACCCGCAAATAACCTACGCGATATAGAATATAGTACACAAAGTGTTGACAGCCTAATTCTAACAGGATGTACCTTCTTGATTTGCCCTCGGATGCCTGAGACGGTCCGCACTGCTGCCCCTTCAAATCTCGCCACTTCAAGCTGGGAGGAGAACATGTCCTTGATGAATGCGGTGTGACAGAAGATCCTCACCTTTCAAGGATGGGTGACAACGCGACCGACAGTGCACGCACCTTCTTAATCTGCCCGCGAATGCCCGACACGGTCCGCACAGCCGCCCCCTCGAATCGCGCCACCTCGAGCTGGGAGGAGAACATGTCCTTGATGAACGCGGTGTGACGGAAGATCTTCACGGGTGTGCCCACCAGCTTGAGCTTTTTCACCACCTGCGCTGACTGCTGCTGCTCCAACACCACTCCTGTGGCGCTAATGCGGAAGGACGCCTGGGTAAAAAGGTGGTGGAATGGGGTAGAACGGGGTGTAATGCGGTGGAACGGGGTACAGCGGGTGAGGCATGAGGGATCTTCACGGGTGTGCCCACCAGCTTGAGCTTTTTCACCACCTGCGCTGACTGCTGCTGCTCCAACACCACGCCCGTGGCGCTGATTCGGAAGGACGCCTGGGTAGAATGTGGTAGAATGTGGTAGAATGCGATACAACGGGGTAGAACGTGATAGAATGCGGTGGAATGTGGTGAAAAGGGGTGGAACATGACTGATCTTCACGGGCGTGCCCACTAGCTTCAGCTTCTTCACCACCTGGGCTGACTGCTGCTGCTCCAACACCACGCCCGTGGCGCTGATTCGGAAGGACGCCTGGGTAGAATGGACGCCTGGGTAGAATGGACGCCTGGGTAGAATGGAAGCCTGGGTAGAATGGACGCCTGGGTAGAATGGACGCCTGGGTAGAATGGACGCCTGGGTAGAATGGACGCCTGGGTAGAATGGACGCCTGGGTAGAATGGACGCCTGGGTAGAATGGACGCCTGGGTAGGATGGACGCTTGGATAGAATGGACGCCTGGGTAGAATGGACGCCTGGGTAGAATGGACGCCTGGGTAGAATGGACGCCTGGGCAGAATGGACGCCTGGGTAGAATGGACGCCTGGGTAGAATGGACGCCTGGGTAGAATGCAATTTGGGAGGCAGCAGTGGCGCCCGCATGACAGCCAGGCAGTTCATGTGCTCTGGGGAGTGCCAGCGGGCACATGACCTATGAGCCTCTCTCTCTCCTCTGAATGCGCACCTACCTGCGTGCTGTTGCCACCAGCAGCAGCAGAGGAGGGAGCCAGCAGCCCGGTGTTGGGAGGTCTTGATGAGTGTGGTATCCATCACTCCACGCATTCACATACCTGCTTGCTGCTACCACTGGCAGCACCCGAAGAAAGAGCCAACAGCCCAGTGTTGAGGGGCAGCAGCGGCGCCCACATGACGGCGAGGCAGTGCATGTGCTCGGGGGTGTCTTAATGAGTGTGGTATCCATCACTCCACGCTTTCACATACCTGCTTGCTGCTACCACTGGCAGCACCCGAAGAAAGAGCCAACAGCACCGTGTTGAGGGGCAGCAGCGGCGCCCACATGACGGAGAGGCAGTGCATGTGCTCGGGCGTGTACTTGATCAGCCAGAGCCACCCATTGCTATCCTTCATGGCAAATCAATCAGAACCTGCTTGCTCTCACCGACATGCCTCGACCCAAGGCGTACCTGCTTGCTGTTGCCCGAAGCAGCACCGGACGACAGTGCCAGAAGACCAGTGTTGGGAGGCAGCAGCAGCGCCCACATGACACCAAGGCAGTGCATGTGCTCTGGGGTGCACTTGATGAGCCTCTCAGTACACTGACATGCACAGGTCACAGCACGTACCTGCTTGCTGCTACCACTGGCAGCACCAGACGACAGCGCAAGCAGCCCAGTATTCGGGGGCAGCAGCGGCGCCCACATGACGGCCAGGCAGTGCATGTGCTCGGGTGTGTATTTGATGAGTCTGTGTCGCCCGTTGGTATCCTCCATGGCGAACACGGGCACGGACTGGAAGCGCCGCCATCCTGCTGATAGGACCAGGGGGTCGCGCGTCTTGAGGACTTTCCGGTGCCACCGGTGCTTCTTCAGCCGCACCTGGAGGGGGAAGGAGAGGGCAGCAGCAGATGACAGAGCCAAAAGTGCATCGTGAATTCGCCTTGCAGCGCGCGGAACAACAGACGCGGGTACGCCCCTTCGAGGCGCCTCAAAGTTCACCCTCAAGTACCCCAGCGTTTCCTCCGTGGGTGGAACTGCTCCGACAAGGACAGGAACCCGCGGGTCAAAGTGCAGCATGAACTCCCCAGGCAGGGAGTGGAACAGGTACGCCCCCACAGGGAAGCCCACCCTAGCTCATTTGCCCCTCAGGTTCCCCAATTCATCCCACTCACTCACCCTCAGATATCCGAGTGTTTCCTCTGTGGGAGGCACAGCTCCGACAAGAACAGGCACTCGTGGGTTAAAAATGCAGCATGAATTCTCCAGGTAGTGCACGGAACAGCAGGCACAGGTACGCCCCCGCCCCCACCCCTCTCCCTGGTACATCCCATGCCATGCCACTCACCCTCAGGTATCCGAGCGTTTCCTCCGTGGGTGGAACTGCTCCCACAAGCACGGGAACCCGCGGGTCAAAGTGCAGCATGAATTCTCCCGGCAGTGCACGGAACAGCAGGCGCAGGTACCCGCCCACGGGGAAGCCCTCCATTGCCACGCGGGTAGCCTCGTCCACCTCTGCTAGAGCCGCCTCCGTCCTCTGCTTCCTTGCTTCCAGCTGCTCCTTCAACTGGAGGGCAGACAGGGAGAGGACAGGGATCCATAGTCGGCACTTGAGCCTGCGGGACCACTCAGCCTGCCTCCTCGTCCACCTCCGCTAGAGCCGCCTCCGTCCTCTGCTTCCTCGCCTCTAGCTGCTCCTTCAACTGGAGGGATTGTGGGGGAAAAGCGGGGAGGGGCAGAACGGGCGGAGGGAAGTAAGAAAAGGGAGCGTTTTCAGCCGCAGCAGTAACTCTCCCTGCTCGAAATAGTCACACACATACATGATGACGCTCTATTCTTAGTCAACTGAAACACACCTCCATCTAGTCACAAACAATAACATCAAGTAAAGTCAAGCCCAGTCAACTCAAGTCAAGTCAAGTGCCACTCACAATATCAATGTAGTCCTTCTCCTCCGGATCCCTTCCAGGAAACTTCTTGCCTTCGCCCTCCTCCCCTTCCCCATCCTCCCCTCCCTCCTCCTCGTCCTCCTCCCCTCTCGACGTGATTGGATGTCAGGCAAAGAGAAACACCACAGTCGAGAGAAGAGGGGAGTAAGAGAGGACGAGAGGAAGGGAGGAGGTGAAGGAAGGGAGGGAAGGGAGGGAAGGGAGGGAAGGGAGGGAAGGGAGGGAAGGGAGGGAAGGGAGGGAAGGAAGATGGGGGAGAGGGAGGAGACCGTAACAGGGGGGGTTGGTTGGAAGGAGATGGTTAAGGAAAAAAACGATTATGTGAGGCGAGTCAACACCATTCGGGCGTATTTGAGAAGGCTTTGATACAAAAAAAAAGAAGGAGAACTGCGGAAACAAAAGGAGCGAGTGTCACTGAAATATAAACTGATGTGCATGACAACAAACTAAAATACGGATTCTGGAATGAGTACGAAAGGGGTGGTAGGAAAGCGTGAGAGAGGGCGTGTGAGAGAAAGCAGGTGAGAGGGCGTGTGAGAGGGATATTTGGAATCAAAGTTGGCACGCAAAGCAAGCTTCTTCAGCCGCCTCTCCTCTGCCTCTGCCTTCTCCCTCTCCTCCTCACTCATCCTCCCTCCCCCTCCTCCCCCTCCTGCTCCTGCTCCCCCACCTCCCCCCTCCCCTTTCCCCCCAGGTCCAAATTTCTCCCCAGTCTCAAGATCCTCAAAATCGCCAAACACATCATCCTCCTCATCCTCCTCCCCATCCCCATCCTCCTCCCCATCACTCCCCCCGTCCTCTCCCCCGCCTTTCTTCCCCTTAGCTCCCCCCTTGCGCCGCCTCTCACCCGCCTTGGACCAGTTCCCAGTCACAAACCGGTCCCTGAGGGATTCGACCACCTCGGGATCGTCCCACTGCGCCAGGTTCAATGCATCTGGACGCACTCGCACACAGTCCTCCGCATCTATATCATCAGTGAGTGCAGCTTGGGAAGCGGAGGAAGACCCGTCCTGCTGCTTCCTCCTTGGCCGAAAAAGCTCCTCTTCCTCCTCTTCCTGCTCCTCTTCCTCCTCTTCCTGCTCCTCATCCTCCTCCTCCTCACTTCCCTCACCACTAGCTCCTTTCCCAAAGCCTTTTCCTTTTCCTTTCATGCCACCGCTGCCCTTCTGCCCGTAAACCAGCTCCATCAGGCTCAGCTTTCTCGAAAACATTTTGGCTGCCCGAGCAGCCAAGCCTTCCTTCCACTTGGCCGCAGCCTCCCCTTTCTCGGCCTGCAAAACATCTTTTTTCAATCCCACTACCTTCCCTCCTTCCTCCTCTTCACCGTCCTCCTCCTCCTCCTCCTCCTCCTCATCCTCATCCTCCCCATCATCCTCATCTTCCTCAGAGTCTGTTCCCTCATTTTCCACGGCCTCCCTATCAGCCCACTTCTCTAGCTGCTGCCTCGTTGGCTCTTTCACACCATCCTCCTCATCCTCCTCCTCCTCCTCTTCGTGTTCATCCTCTTCCTCCTCCTCTTCCATTTCCTCATCCATTTCATCTTCCTCCTCCATTGCACCTCCCTCCTTTCCTTCCTCTTCTAGCTCCCACCCCTCTTCCTCCTCCTCTCCATCATCCTCATCCTCCTCCTCATCTTCCTCCTCCTCGTCCTCCTCCTCAGCATCATCACCACCAAACACTACAGCACGCCTCATCCTTCCCTTCGAATCCCTCCTCCTTTCCTCCTTCAGTCCCGTTTCCTCCTCCCCCTCCTCTCCCTCATCCTCCTGTTCCTCTCCCTCGCTCTCATCCTCATCACTCCCCACTCCATCCTCCTCCACCCCACCCATCTCCTCCTCTCTCCCGCCCTCCACCTCGCTCACATCTCGAATCGGGGCCGTCCATTTGAACAGCGAGATCGCACTCGATTTCAGCTTATCATCAACTGCCACGTCAGCAGCCTGCAGCGTTTTCACCATCTCCTCTCCCTCATCCTTCTGCTTTCCACCTCCCCCCTTCCCTTTCCCTCCTTTCCCTTCCCCCTCCCCCTCCTCCTCTTCATCCTCCTCCTCCTCATCATCTTCCTCTCTTTTCCCCCCCACACCCCCCTCTCCCTCATCTGACCACTCCTCGTCCTCCTCTTTCCCTCCTCCTCTTTCCTTCTCCTCAACCTTAGAATACTGCACCTGATGATCCGGAATATTAATATAAACCGCATCTTTATCGTACAGTATATCCCCTATATCAGCCATCGGCGCATAAAGCAGCTTCTCCCGCTCGTTCAAACTCCGCTTCTTTTTCGCGTCGGGCAGCGGGCAAGGGTCGGGCAGCTGCGTAATACTCTCCACTGCCACGTCACCCACCCCAGCAATATGCACCTTAAAGCCCTGCTTCAGATTGCAACCGCGCAAGTAACCGTAAATCGCGACCGTCCGATCACATTTAGGGTTTCTCCGAACATCCTCCGTCTCCGTCAGATCTTCCACCCGATCAGCCACCACATAGCCATGGGCTGTTCTCCAGGAGAGGGGACGGAACTTGGCAACTGAAATGAACCGAGCTAGATTCAGCACCTCGCGCTTGGGGTACCTGCAAGTGGTATGGCAGGAGGGCGCGGGGATACGAGTCCAGCAGCAGGGTAAGGAGGGAGAAGTGGAAAAGGTGAGTGAGCAGAGGGGGCACAGGCAGAGCAGCCAGGCCCTTGACTTCACCTCATTCCACCCGGTCAGCCACCACGTAGCCGGGAGCTGTTCACCAGGAGAGCGGGCGGAACTTGGCGACTGAGATGAAGCGCGCCAGATTCAGCAGCTCCCGCTTGGGGCACCTGAGGGTTGTATGAATGAGCGGGGGACAAGAAGTTGAGATCTTCCACCCGATCGGCCACCACGTAGCCATGAGCAGTTCGCCAGGACAGAGGCCTGAACTTGGAGACTGAAACAAACCGAGCCAGATTCATCTGCCGAGAGAGAGGCCAAGGAGACTCATCGGCCGAGAGAGAGGCCAAGGAGACTCATCGACCGAGAGAGAGGCCAAGGAGAATCATCGGCCGAGAGAGAGGCCAAGGAGACTCATCGGCCGAGAGAGAGGCCAAGGAGACTCATCGGCCGAGAGAGAGGCCAAGGAGACTCATCAGCCGAGTGGTGGAACAGCTTGGGCCCGTTGTAGGTCTCCGCTCAGAAGCAGTGCTTGAGTCTCCCCTTGGTCTTCTTCAGCTTGCTGCTGTGATGCCCTCTCAAACATGCATACCGAGCCTCACCTGCCGTGAATGAGCCCTGACAAGTAGAAAGAACAGCTTGGCTCCATCGAAGATCTCGGTCCACAAGCGGTGCTTGAGGGTCCAATGGAGCCCCAGATAGGAGCCATGTCTTTACGTGGCTGCGACTGATTCAACTTGTGAAAAAGTTTGTTAGTTAAAATGTTTGCTTGAAAATCTGGATCGTAGATCTCGGTCCACAAGCGGTGCTTGAGGGTCTTCTTGGTGTTCCTGAGCTTGCTCCTGTGACCCCTCTCGAACATACATGCACGCACAACCCATGAGTAATGATAGAAACCCCTGGTGGCACTCACCTGCCGTGAATGAGCCCCGAGAGGTAGAACAACTTTGCTCCATCGTAAATCTCGGTCCAGAAGCGGTGCTTGAGCGTCTTCTTGGTCTTCTTGAGCTTGCGCGGGTCTCTGAAGCCGTCCAGGTGCGTCAGCACGCCCATGACCTTGGGAAAGCCGTGCACCTGCAGCATGTTCAGAAACTCAAAGGTCTCCTGTAAGTGATGAGGGCGGGAGGGTGGAGAGGGGAGAAGGGAGGAGGGCACGATGGGACAGAGAGAGAGGGGACGGGGAAAGGAGTCGGGAAGGTAAGTAAACAAGCTTGCGCGGGTCTCTCAAGCCATCCAGGTGCGTCAACACGCCCATGACCTTGGGGAAGCCGTGCACCTGCAGCATGCTCAGGAACTCAAAGGTCTCCTGTGATGGTGGGGACAGAGAGAGACAGAAAGAGACAGAGTTTTGGGGTAAGAGGGATGGGTTGGGATGGGAACGCAGAGACCACGAGTTGAATGGGAAACGTCAGCACGCCCATGACGTTGGGGAAGCCGTGCACCTGCAGCATGCTCAGGACCTCAAAGGTCTCCTGTGATGGTGGGGAGGTGAGGGAAGAGTGAGGAGAGAATGGAGTGAACGGGTGAGGGAAGCAGAGGGCGCCAGGTTGGGGTGTGGTGGGAGGATCAGCACGCCCATGACCTTGGGGATCACTTTTGAGAATTCTCAAAAGTCACGCCCATGACGACGTGTAAACGGAAGTGTTTTGAGACGTCTCAAAACCCTTCTGTTTGCCCATGACCTTGGGGAAGCCGTGCACCTGTAGCATGCTCAGGAACTCGAAGGTCTCTCCTGTAAGGGAAAGGGGGACAGAGAGCGAGAGAAAGAGGAATAGCCTCAAAGCCAAAGCTACCATCGAAGAGCAGCAGCACGAGGTCTTAGACACCCCTACAACCCACACCACAGCAAGCACACGGACATGCGCTCACACACACGGACATGCGCTCACACACACGGACATGCACTCACACACACGGACATGCACTCACACACACGGACATGCGCTCACACACACGGACATGCACTCACACACACGGACATGCACTCACACACACGGACATGCACTCACACACACGGACATGCACTCACACACACGGACATGCACTCACACACACGGACATGCACTCACACACACGGACATGCGCTCACACACACGGACATGCACTCACACACACGGACATGCGCTCACACACACGGACATGCACTCACACACACGGACATGCACTCACACACACGGACATGCACCCGTGCACACCACCCTCCATTTCAAAGCCGCAGCTGCCGTCAATCAGCAGCAGCACGATTTTTGAGGCGCCTAAAAAACTGTCAATCAGCAGCCGCACCAGGTCTGCACAGTCTCTCACACCACCCACAGGCAGCACACGCACGCACGCACACACGCGCGCGCGCGCACACACACACACACACACACGCGCGCGCGCGCGTGTACACGCACCATCTCGAAGCCGAAGCTGCCATCGATGAGCAGCAGCACGAGGTCTGCAAACTTGGCCGCATCGAGCATGGCGTGCACGCTGCTGCTGCACTCAATGAAGAGCAGCCGCCGCTTCTTGCCTGGAGGGGTAAGTGGGAGAGAGGGCGTGAGGAGGAGAAGGTAGGACGGGTAAGAGCATCGAGCATGGTATGGTAGCAAGCATGCCCGCATCCAACATGGCATGCACGTTGCTTTCCCTCACAATGTGACTTTTGAGTCGACTCAAAAGTCAACTCATGAGTCGACTCAAAAGTCAACCCGCATCCAACATGGCATGCACGTTGCTTTCCCTCACAATGTGACTTTTGAGTCGACTCAAAAGTCAACTCATGAGTCGACTCAAAAGTCAACTCATAAGTCGACTCAAAAGTCAACCCGCATCCAACATGGCATGCACGTTGCTTTCCCTCACAATGTGACTTTTGAGTCGACTCAAAAGTCAACTCATGAGTCGACTCAAAAGTCAACTCATGAGTCGACTCAAAAGTCAACCCGCATCCAACATGGCATGCACGTTGCTTTCCCTCACAATGCCGCTGCACTCCATGAACAGCAGGCGCCGCTTCTTTCCCGAGTATTGGGAGGGAAAGGTGGTAAAACGGCAGAATGAGGCAGGGAACCGGGGGCAATGTAGCAAGCAAGCATGCCCGCATCCAACATGGCATGCACGTTGCTTCCGCACTCTACAAACAGCAGCCAACGATTCTTGAGGTGTGACAACCCACCTGAGACGACAGTGATGGGTCCCTTGACGTCTGGAATGTTGTGCTTGGTGTAGTGCTTTATCAGCGAGCGGATGAGCGTCGTCTTGCCCACCTGCCATACAGGGGCGGATTAGAACACAGAGAAAGGATATGAATGAGTTTCAGGGCGTCTCAAATCCACAGACAACAGATACAAGGCTCTTGTCTCTAGCGAGCAGTAGTGCCTCCACTGCCAGCCCGTGGCAGCTTCTGCTTTTGAGAATTCTCAAAAGTGATTTCAATATAGCTAGCATAATGCCTCCACTGCCAGCCCGTGGCAGCTTTTGCTTTTGAGAATTCTCAAAAGTGATTTCAATGTAGCTAGCATAATGCCTCCACTGCCAGCCCGTGGCAGCTCTTGACGCGACTCTCCAACCAAGCACCAAAGAGAGACAACCGTAACCGTTACAGGGTTCTTGACTTTTGAGACGTCTCAAAAGTCGTTACAGGGTTCTTGACTCGACCATGCGTAGTGCCTCCAATGCATGTCCGTGGCAGCAGCACTTGGCACGTGGATGTGATGCACTCGAGCAACCATGCTTTTTGAGTCGACTCAAAAGCAGACTTGGCACGTAGATGCACTCGAGCAACCACTCACCTTGGGGGGACCCTGCACCAGCACCACGAACGGTGGTGGTTCCAGTGCCTGTGCGCGCGTGGCAGCAGCGCTGGGCGCATGCATGCATGCGCCGCTGCTGCATGAGCACCACAGCCTTTCATAAACACACTCTCACACACAACAAACACCACAGCAAATCACTCACCTTGGGAGGACCCTGCACCAGCACCACGAAAGGAGGTGGTTCCAATGCCTGTGCGCGCGTGGCAGCGGCACTGGGCGCGTGCATGCGCGTCCCTTATTCTCACCTTGGGAGGACCCTGCACCAGCACCACGAACGGAGGTGGTTCCAGCGCCTGTGCGCGTGTGGCAGCAGCACTGGGCGCGTGCATGCGCCGCTGCTGCAGCTCCACCCGCCTCGCCACCTGTAGCTTGGCTCGACGCGACGAGCGGAAAGCAAACGCCTGGCAGGTGGGGAAGAGTTACAGGGGAGAGGGAGCGGACATGGGGGGAGGGGAGGGAGAGAGAGGATACAAAGCTTTAGGACACCAGGGTAGAAAGGAGGGAAGGGAAGGCGCAGCAGCTGCTGCTGCTGCTGCAGCTCCCCCGCCTCGCAATCTGCAGCTTCACTCGGCGGCGCGACGAGCGAGCGAAAATGTAAACGCCAGGCAGGTTTAAGCGAGAGCCAGCAGCAAACAGAAGGTCAAACGGTGTCTGCTGAGGAGGTTGAAAACTCAGGGTACAGGGTACAAGGTTTAAGCACAAGGCAACTTCCATCTGTAGTAGCCAGGTTGCTTGTGGTAGACACGAACGCATAAGGACGAACGTTGCGACGTAGCCATCGCGGGGCGTGGCACGTAATCACAAGGTAAATCGAACCCTCTCTCTCTCTCCTGGGCTGAGCATACGAACCCCGGGTTATAACATACTACCCCGACATAAGTCTATTCCAGTCTTCGACTAAGCCTGGAATCGTCTTACTCGCGAGCACTCGCGAGCTCTTATCCGTCCTCACTCCGCATGATGCTATCAAACCTGATTCTATTCCTCCTCGCATGCTTCGAGGTACTAATGCACGTGTCCCTGAGGTAGCTGCTTAGGTGCTTACTCGGGGGTTCTCGCGTTCCTCCGCGTCGTCGTCCACGCCGCGTTTCTTCTTATCTTTCTCCTTCTAAACCCGAAATCTCCCTCTTAGCTAACAAGTTAGTGCTTACGCGCGGGTTCTCGCGTTCCTCCGCGTCGTCGTCCACGCCGCGTTTCTTCTTATCCTTCTCCTTCTTGCGCTCCGCCGCCGGCCCTGACCGCGCTGCGCGATGACTCTTCTTATCCGCGTCCTGCAACGACACGGACGAGCCACCGCCGCCACCCGCGGCGGCAGCAGCGGCAGCCATCGCCTTCCCCGCGCGTCCTCCAGGAACAACGTCTGAACGAGCCATGATGTCAATGAGAGATCACAAAACATGTTTCATCAAAGGTCTCATTCTAAAGCTGTTAGAATTTTAGTTGTTCATTTCGATCGTGTGCCGATTTAGCTCAGTGGTAGAGCGCGTGGCTTTTAACCACGTGGCCGTGGGTTCGATCCCCACAATCGGCGTACAATCTACGCGTGTTTCTGATGCTGTGTGAATTGGTGCAACAGTTTTTTGAACGAGTTGTCCAGGAAACCACATGGCTCAAAACGCTTCTACTGAGTTCTTTTAGCTTTTACGAATTGCGCAGTGCGGTACTCTTGAACGATGTTGTCTTCAACGGTGTTTTGAACAACAATGTTCCACACCCTGAGATCCATAACCTATCTTGCTTTTCAATTCCACCTTCTCCTACCCCCTAAAAGTCGTTGTTACTCTTAACAATCTGTTGCTGGTGTACCTCTTCTTGCCTCCATGGTCAAACCCCCTTCCTTCTTAACTTTCTCGACCTCGCTCTAGCCTAGCTCCTAAGCTACTAAGCAAAGCACAATTTTGACATGGTATCAAGGCCTTAGGCTTACGCCACTACGATCCTCATGTGGCGCCTGCCTCGCTAACCTCGTCGTACAGTACCACGATTCCATCGTCGCTGCCGCACTGACTCGCCACGCTGGCCCTGCTTGCCTCGTCGCGACAGCGAGATATGCGCAGCGCTTCATCAGCTCCATCGCACCCTCCTGTAGACTCGTCGCGCCCCAGCAACGGCCTTGTCGTGACCCTAGCAGCGCCCCCTGTTGTGCCCTAGAATCGACCCTGCCGGCCCCGTCGGCCCACTCGGTCAGAACATTATAGCTTATATATATTTGTGTGTAGGCTATAGTGGGGTATCCCATAGGGGGTACAACCCAATCAGGGTTTCCTATATGTACTCACTTCATTCATAGTTCATTCATTCTCGTTCTATTCTTGTCCGTACTGCTTACCCCTGAGGGAGACCCGGATGCACTTGACATCCCGACTCCGCGCTCTTACGCGGAGGTGATAGAGGGTCCCTACTCCTCTCAGTGGCAGGCAGCTATGGATGCAGAGATGGCTTCCTGGAAGTCCACAGGCACCTACGTTGACGCTGTTCCCCCTCCTTGGGCGAACATCGTCAGTGGCATGTGGATCTTCAGGGTGAAGCGGCCGCCGGGTTCTCCGCCTGTCTTCAAGGCGCGTTACGTGGCTCGTGGCTTCAGCCAGCGGCAGGGAGTTGACTACTTTCAGACCTTCTCCCCCACCCCGAAGATGACCACTCTTCGGGTACTGCTGCACGTTGGTGCTCACCGTGACTACGAGCTGCACTCTCTCGACTTCAGCACTGCTTTCTTGCAGGGCAGCCTGCACGAGGAGATCTGGCTGCGCCGCCCACCTGGCTTCACTGGGTCTTTCCCTCCTGGTACCCAGTGGAGTCTCCGGCGTCCAGTCTACGGTCTCCGCCAGGCGCCACGTGAGTGGCACGACACACTAAGGAATACGCTGGCGGCACTTGGGTTTGCTCCCTCTACTGCCGACCCGTCGCTGTTTCTGCGCACCGACACCTCTCTGCCGCCGTTCTACATCCTCGTGTACGTCGACGACTTGGTCTTTGCCACTGCTGACACTGCTGGACTCGCCTACGTGAAGTCCGAGCTGCAGAAGAGACACACGTGCACTGACCTGGGTGAACTGCGCAGCTACCTTGGCTTGCAGATCACCCGGGACAGAGCACGCCTCACCATTACCCTGACTCAGTCACACATGGTGCAGCAGGTCCTTCAGCGCTTCGGCTTCACGTACTCCTCGCCTCAGGCCACTCCTCTGCCTACCCGCCACTCGCTCTCAGCTCTGCCTTCAGATGAGTCCGTAGAGTCGAGTGGCCCGTATTCTGAGCTTGTTGGCTGCCTCATGTACCTGATGACCTGCACTCGACCTGACCTTGCATACCCTCTTAGCATTCTCGCACGCTATGTTGCTCCTGGGAGACACCGACCAGAGCACATGGCTGCAGCGAAGAGGGTGTTGCGCTACTTGTGCAGTACGTCGGGCATGGGGCTAGTGCTTGGAGGGCGGAGTCCAGTGGTCCTCACTGGGCACGCGGACTCTTCTTGGGCTGACGACCAGGCTACGCAGCGGTCGTCACAGGGTTACACCTTCAGTCTTGGTTCCGGCTCTGTTTCATGGCGGGCTACCCGCTCCTCTTCTGTTCTCGGCTCCAGTTGTGAGGCTGAGATCTACGCCGGGGCTATGGCTGCCCAGGAGCTTCGCTGGCTCACCTACCTGCTGACCGACCTTGGAGAGCCGCCTCGTTCTCCTCCAGTCCTGTACGTAGACAACAAGGCTATGCTGGCCTTGTGTCGAGAGCAGTGACTGGAGCACAGGACAAAGCACATTGCTCTCCGCTACTTTCTTGCGCGTGAGCTACAGCAGCGTGGACAGTTGCGGCTTGCGTACGTGGCCTCTGAGGCCAACACTGCTGATGTCTTCACCAAGGCACTTGCGCCTTGTGATCATCAGCGCTTCTGCACTCAGCTGGGTCTTGTGCGTGTCTTGCCTCACTTGCTCACTTCTTGACCTTGCTTGTACTGACACTTATATATACTCTTGCTCTTACTTGCTTAGCCTCTTTTATATATATATGTGATCTTGCATGTGAACTGGCCTTTTGGCCTTTGCACTTGTGCTCGGAATGTGTGGTGACTTTGTGATCCACCCTGAGCTTTGCTTTGCTTTGCTTGACTGGTCTTGTGACCCCTTGTTCTCCCCCACTTTGCCTATGGGGGTGTGTCAGAATATTATAGCTTATAAATATTTGTGTGTAGGCTATAGTGGGGTATCCCATAGGGGGTACAACCCAATCAGGGTTTCCTATATGTACTCACTTCATTCATAGTTCATTCATTCTCGTTCTATTCTTCTCACACTCTCGCTTTGCCCCATCGAACACGCTGTTTCGGTGCGTGCAGCTACTGCTTGCTGCTTCCACAACTGGAGTTGTCGTGCCTGTTGCTGCCATGCCTTCGCAGTTGCACTTCCACCTGCCGCACCTACGCTTGCAGCTGTTATGCCCCATTTCAAATATTCGTGCTGATCCGTCGTCCCCGCTCCTCCAAAGTCCTTCCTCTGCTATGTTATTGTCCTCGCACATAGCTCCAAAAACGGTCGCATAGCTCAAAGGTGTCTACCTCGTACGCGTAAAACCGTGGCAGCGCCTGCAACCACTGAATGCATGTCTAGGCCTATTGCCAAGCCAGCAAGGACGTGGGAGGGTTGCGAGCATCATTGGTCATCGGCGCCCGCGAATGAAGAGCGCCCACTGCACTTCCTCCACATGTGCGGATCCTTGCGCATTTTGAGGCTGGAATCACTCGTTCCGAGCGTTTTTCTTCCACAGGGTCACGTAGCTGCGCTTCTCTGGGCCTATTACCAAGCCAGTAAGGGCGTGGGAGGGCTGCGAGCATCATTAGTTATCGGCGCTCGCGAATGAAGAGTGCGTGCTGCACGTCCTGTATATGTGCGGATCCCTTCCGCGTTTTGAGGCTAGAAGCGCTCGTTCCTATTGCTACTCTTCCACCGGGTTACGTGGCTGCGCTTCTCTGGGCCTATTGCAAAGCCAGAAAGGGCGTGGGACGGTTGTGAGCATCATAAGTCAATGGCGCTTGCAAATGAAGAGCACCCGCCGCACTTCCTCAACATGTGCGGATCCTTGCGCGTTTTGAGGGTTGAAGCGTTCGTTACGAGCGTATTTTTTCCACAGGGTCATTTGGCTGTGCTTCTCTGGGCCTATTGCCAAGCCGGCAAGGGCGTGGGAGGGTTGCGAGCATCATTGGTCATCGGCGCTCGCGAATGTAGAGCGCCCGCTAAACATCCTACACATGTGTGGAACCTTGCACGCTTTGATGCTAGAAGCGCTCGTTCCGAGAGTTTTTCTCCCACTGGGTCACGTGGCTGCGATTCTTTGGGCCTATTGCAAAACCAGCAAGGGTGTGGGAGGGTTGTGAGCATCATTAGTCATTGGCGCTCGCAAACGAAGAGCGCCCGCCACACATTCTCCACATGTGCGGATCCTTGCGCGTTTTGAGGGTCAAAGCGCTCGTTCCGAGCGTTTTTCTTCCACCGGGTCACGTGGCTGTGCTTGTTTGGGCCTATTGCCAAGCCAGCAAGGGCGCGGGAGGGTTTGTCAGAATGTCGATATTTGTCTAGCCTGTAATGGGGTACTCTATAGCGAGTACAACCTAATTAGGGTTTCCTATATGTATCTCAAATGCTGCTAGTAAAGACCCCTCTTTAATGTTTATCGCTTTAGCATGCTGTTTCGACAGGGTTGCGAGCATCATTAGTCATCGGCGCTCGCGAATGAAGAGCGCCCGCTGAACTTCCTGCATGTGCAGATCCTTGCGCGTTGTGAGGCTAGAAGCGCTCGTTCCGAGAGAATTTCTTAGACCAAGTTACGTGGCTGCGCTTCTCTAAACCAATTTCCAAGCCAGTAAGGGCATGGGAGGGTTGCAAGCATCATTAGTCATCGGCGCTCGCGAATGAAGAGCGCCCGCTGCACTTTCTCCACATGTGCGGATCCTTGCGCGTTTTGAGGCTGGAAGCGCTCTTTCCGAGCGTTTTTCTTCCACCGAGACAAGAGGCTGCGCTTGTCTGTGCCTATTGCCAAGCCAGCAAGGGCGTGGGAGGGTTGTGAGCATCATTGGTCATCGGCGCTCGCGAATGGAGAACGCCTGCTGCACTTCCTGTACATGTGCGGATCCCTTTCGCGTTTTGAGGCTAGAAGCGCTCGTTACAAGTGTTTTTCTCCCACCGCGTCACGTGGCTGCGCTTCTCTGGGCCTATTGCCAAGCCAGTAAGGGCGTGGGAGGGTTGCGAGCATCATTAGACATCGGCACTCGCGAATGAAGAGCGCCCGCCGCACTTCCTCCACATGTGCGGATCCTTGCGCGTTTTGAGGGTGGAAGCGCTCGTTCCGACCGTTTTTCTTCCACCGGGTCACGTGGCTGCGCTTTTGTGGGCATATTGTCAAGCCAGCATGGGCGTGGGAAGGTTGCGAGCATCATTGGTCATCGGCGCTCGTGAATGAAGAGCGCCCGCTGCATTGCCTCCACATGTGCGGATCCTTGCGTGTTCGGAGGTTGGAAGCGCTCGTTACGAGGGTTGTCTTCCGCCGTGTCACGTGGCTGCGCTTGTCTGGTCATATTGCCAAGCCAGCAAGGGCGTGGGAGGGTTGCGAGCATCATTGGCCATCGGCGCTCGCGTCAGAAGAGCGCCCGCTGCACTTCCTGCACATGTGTGGACCCTTGCGCGTTTTGAGGCTAGAAGCGCTCGTTCCGAGCGTTTTTCTTCCACCGGGTCATGTGGCTGCGCTTGTCTGGGCCTATTGCCAAGCCAACAAGGGCGTGGGAGGGTTACAAGCATCATTGGTCATCGGCACTCGCGAATGAAGAGCGCCCGCAACTTTTCCTCCACATGTGCGAATCCTTGCGCGTTTTGAGGTTGGAAGCGCTCGTTCCTAGCGCTTTTCTTCCACCGGGTCATGTGGATGCGCTTGTCTCGGCCTATTGCCAAGCCAGCAAGGACGTGGGAGGGTTACGAGCATCATTTGTCTTTGGGGCTCGCGAATGAAGAGCGCCCGATGCACTTCCTGCACATGTGCGGATCCCTTCCGCGTTTTGAGGCTGGAAGCGCTCGTTCCGAGTGTTTTTCTCCCACCGGGTCACGTGGCTGCGCTTATCTGAGCCTTGCCAAGCCAGCAAGGTCGTGGGAGGGTTGCGAGCATTATTGGTCATCGGCGCTCGCGAATGGAGAGCGCCTGCTGCACTTCCTGCACAGGTGCGGATCCCTTCCGCGTTTTGAGGCTAGAAGCGCTCGTTACAAACGATTTTCTCCCACCGGGTAACGTGGCAGCGCTTCTCTAACCTATTTCTAAGCCAGTAAGGGCGTGGGATGGTTGCGAGCATCATTAGTCATCGGCGCTCGCGAATGAAGAGCGCCCGCCGCACTTTATCCACGTGTGCGGGTTCTTGTGCATTTTGAGGGTGGAAGCGCTCGTTCCGAGCGTTTTTCTTCTATCGGGTCATGTGGCTGCCCTTGTCTGGGCCTATTGCCAAGCCAGCAAGTGCGTGGGAGGGTTGCGAGCCTCATTGGTCATCGGCGCTCGCGAATGAAGAGCGCCTGCTGCACTTCCTGCACATGTGTGGATCCTTCCGCATTTTGAGGCTTGAAGCGCTCGTTCCGAGCGTTTTTCTCCCACCTGGTCACGTGGCTGCGCTTGTCTAGGCCGATTGCCAAGCCAGCAAGGGCGTGGGAGGGTTGCGGGCATCATTAATAATCGGCGCTCGCGAAGGAAGAGCGCCCGCTGCACTTCCTCCACATGTGCGGATCACTGCGCGTTTTGAGGGTGGAAGCGCTCGTTACGAGCGTTTTTCTCCCACCGGGTCACGTTGTGAGAATCATAAGCATAGTGAGGAGCCATAACTAGGGTTAGCTATATAGGCAAGAGAGAAATGAAGAAAGGAGGCGTTTTACTAGCAGCAGTTGGGATACATATAGCAAACCCTAACAGGGTTGTACTCTCTATAGAGCACCCCACTACGGGCTAGATAATAACATTCTGACACACGTGACTGTGCTTGTCAGGGCCTATTGCCAAGCCAGCAAGGGCATGGGAGGGTTGCGAGGATCATTGGTCATCGGCGCTCGCGAATGAAGAGCGCCCGCTGCACTTCCTGCACATGTGTGGATCCTTGCGCGTTTTGAGGCTAGAAGTGCTCGTTCCGAGAGTTTCTCTTCCACCGGTTCACGTGGCTGCGCTTGTCTGGGCCTATTGCCAAGCCAGCAAGTGTGTGGGAGGGTTGCGAGGATCATTAGCTATTAGCGCTCGCGAATGAAGAGCGCCCGCTGTACTTTTCCTCCACATGTGCGGATCCTTACGTGTTTTGAGGCTAGAAGCGCTCGTTCCGAACGTTTTTCTTCCACCACGTGGCTGCGCTTGTCTGGGCCTATTGCCAAGCCAGCAAGGGCATGGGAGGGTTGCTAGCATCATTGGTCAACGGTGCTCGCGAATGAAGAGCGCCCGCTGCACTTTCTCCACATGTGCGGATCCTTGCGCGTTTTGAGGCTGGAAGCGCTCTTTCCGAGCGTTTTTCTTCCACCGAGACACGTGGCTGCGCTTGTCTGTGCCTATTGCCAAGCCAGCAAGGGTGTGGGAGGGTTGTGAGCATCATTGGTCATCGGCGCTCGCGAATGGAGAACGCCTGCTGCACTTCCTGTACATGTGCGGATCCCTTTCGCGTTTTGAGGCTAGAAGCGCTCGTTACAACTGTTTTTCTCCCACCGCGTCACGTGGCTGCGCTTCTCTGGGCCTATTGCCAAGCCAGTAAGGGCGTGGGAGGGTTGCGAGCATCATTAGACATCGGCACTCGCGAATGAAGAGCGCCCGCCGCACTTCCTCCACATGTGCGGATCCTTGCGCGTTTTGAGGGTGGAAGCGCTCGTTCCGACCGTTTTTCTTCCACCGGGTCACGTGGCTGCGCTTGTGTGGGCATATTGTCAAGCCAGCATGCGCGTGGGAAGGTTGCGAGCATCATTGGTCATCGGCGCTCGTGAATGAAGAGCGCCCGCTGCATTGCCTCCACATGTGCGGATCCTTGCGTGTTCAGAGGTTGGAAGCGCTCGTTACGAGGGTTGTCTTCCGCCGTGTCACGTGGCTGCGCTTGTCTGGTCATATTGCCAAGCCAGCAAGGGCGTGGGAGGGTTGCGAGTATCATTGGCCATCGGCGCTCGCGTCAGAAGAGCGCCCGCTGCACTTCCTGCACATGTGTGGACCCTTGCGCGTTTTGAGGCTAGAAGCGCTCGTTCCGAGCGTTTTTCTTCCACCGGGTCATGTGGCTGCGCTTGTCTGGGCCTATTGCCAAGCCAACAAGGGCGTGGGAGGGTTACGAGCATCATTGGTCATCGGCACTCGCGAATGAAGAGCGCCCGCAACTTTTCCTCCACATGTGCGAATCCTTGCGCGTTTTGAGGTTGGAAGCGCTCGTTCCTAGCGCTTTTCTTCCACCGGGTCATGTGGATGCGCTTGTCTCGGCCTATTGCCAAGCCAGCAAGGACGTGGGAGGGTTGCGAGCATCATTTGTCTTTGGGGCTCGCGAATGAAGAGCGCCCGATGCACTTCCTGCACATGTGCGGATCCCTTCCGCGTTTTGAGGCTGGAAGCGCTCGTTCCGAGTGTTTTTCTCCCACCGGGTCACGTGGCTGCACTTATCTGGGCCTATTGCCAAGCCAGCAAGGTCGTGGGAGGGTTGCGAGCATTATTGGTCATCGGCGCTCGCGAATGGAGAGCGCCTGCTGCACTTCCTGCACAGGTGCGGATCCCTTCCGCGTTTTGAGGCTAGAAGCGCTCGTTACGAACGATTTTCTCCCACCGGGTAACGTGGCAGCGCTTCTCTAACCTATTTCCAAGCCAGTAAGGGCGTGGGATGGTTGCGAGCATCATTAGTCATCGGCGCTCGCGAATGAAGAGCGCCCGCCGCACTTTATCCACGTGTGCGGGTTCTTGTGCGTTTTGAGGGTGGAAGCGCTCGTTCCGAGCGTTTTTCTTCTATCGGGTCATGTGGCTGCCCTTGTCTGGGCCTATTGCCAAGCCAGTAAGTGCGTGGGAGGGTTGCGAGCATCATTAGCGAGTGAAGAGCGCCCGCTGCAACTCCTCGTTGTGTGCGGATCCTTTCGTGTTTTGAGGCTAGAAGCGCTCGTTCCGAGCGTTTTTCTTCCACCGGGTCACGCGGCTGCGCTTGTCTGGGCCTATTGCCAAGCCAACAAGGGCGTGGGAGGGTTGCGAGCCTCATTGGTCATCGGCGCTCGCGAATGAAGAGCGCCTGCTGCACTTCCTGCACATGTGTGGATCCTTCCGCATTTTGAGGCTTGAAGCGCTCGTTCCGAGCGTTTTTCTCCCACCGGGTCACGTGGCTGCGCTTGTCTAGGCCGATTGCCAAGCCAGCAAGGGCGTGGGAGGGTTGCGGACATCATTCATAATCGGCGCTCGCGAAGGAAGAGCGCCCGCTGCACTTCCTCCACATGTGCGGATCACTGCGCGTTTTGAGGGTGGAAGCGCTCGTTACGAGCGTTTTTCTCCCACCGGGTCACGTTGTGAGAATCATAAGCATAGTGAGGAGCCATAACTAGGGTTAGCTATATAGGCAAGAGAGAAATGAAGAAAGGAGGCGTTTTACTAGCAGCAGTTGGGATACATATAGCAAACCCTAACAGGGATACATATAGCAAACCCTAACAGGGTTGTACCTAACAGCGAGACATCCCACACCTCATCCAGGCGGAGACTTGCTCGTGCGGGAAGGACTTATCCACTTGTAATGCGGCGGGGCATGCCCTCAGGTGCTCCACCAAGTACGCGCCGTCTATCCCCCACAATGCCATCCGGGACCATGTGGCGATGGTCTGCAGGGAGGTGGGCATGCAGACGACGATGGAGGATAAGGCCTTTTTCGGTGGGAAGCCGATCCCGGATGTCGTGAGCCTCCACACGGACAGCGGGAAGACCTGGGTGATGGATGTGGTCATCGCGGATCCGCATGATAACAATGCCAACTGCCCGGAGACCAAGCCAGGAGCGGCCCTCAATGAAGCTGTTCGTCGGAAGAAGGCGACCTACAAGGAGGCGGTGACGAAAGGAGGGAAGCGGATGGAGAAGACCACCAAAGTGATTCCGTTGGCTACGGAGATCTATGGGGGTTGGTCCAACAGCTTCTCCGACTGCGTCAAGGACATTGCAGCAACCACTTCGAAGCGGCTTGGCAGACAGTCGGGGCAAACCACCGACCTCAAATTTCTCATCTGCCGGAGCATCGCTCAACGCATTGGAGTGACGCAACAACGTTCTCAAGCGGTCATGATTCGGCACAGGTTGCGCGCAGCAGTAGAGGCCAAGGGAGAAACGATGTACCAGGACGCAGGGAAGACTTTTGACTGGATGGGCTCTCAGCCATCCGCTCCCTGCGACATTGTGGTAGGAAGGGCAGATTTCTGAATAAGGGTATGACCTTGCATGCTCTGTAGTCGGGAATAGGATAGAAGGGGTAGGCTTGGCTTTGTTGTAATGCTCTTTGCTTTATAAACCAATGTATGCATGTGCTTTTTCAATGAGAATAAAGTTATCACCCTATCTTGTCGTTAGGTGGTCTGCCTCCCGTAACCACCTCACATCTCTTATATCTTGTACTCGCATTCTATAGTTCAACCCCCTTTCTTGGCCAAACTCTCTCTTCACACATTGCTTGCCTCAAAGCCCTAAGCTACTATGTTTGACAGTATGCATAGACAGAAGAATATCGAAGGATGACCATGGTGATACCGAGGTCACCCTCCGTATTGTTAGGCTCCACTACAACATGTCATTGATCGACTGTCCGCAAGAGCATTGACTTGCGACGGCTATGTGGGGAATTAGGCAACTGAGGCATAAAAACTTCCTCTCCGCCTCTAGAATGCGCAGGAAATCAGCCTAAGGCACTGTTAGACTCAGCGCATGTAACTAAATATTAAATTTGAGCTCCCCACATCAGAACCAGCCGATTTAGCTCAGTGGTAGAGCGCGTGGCTTTTAACCACGTGGCCGTGGGTTCGATCCCCACAATCGGCGGAAAGAGACCTAATCGTTTCTCTGTTGAAATATACCTTTTAATCGTGTTGGTAGTGTCTTGGTTCGTCAACGCTGCTGTGCACTCTTCCGCGATGTGCAGTTACGCAGTTTCGTTTCCGTGGCTTCGACTTCGCGGAGGTCGCCATCGCCAATCTTCTCACACCTCCTCCCAGTTGTCGTGTGCATGACAGCTTCAGCTCACTTGGCCTTCATCCAATGGATCACAAGTGGAGTGGACGCTGGTAAACTCGGCCCTTTCACAGAGTTTTTACACGATAACAGTAATCCTTAGTGCGGTGTAGTGCGGTACATTCGAATGGAAGCTCAAGAAGCCTTGCCCATCATCATCAACTTCGAGTGCATCTGCTGGTGGGTGTTCGGTTGTTACACCAAGTCCGCGGTATTTTAACCAGGTAAACTTTGTTCTTTCAAACCCCCTTTGTTCGTTTCTGGGTAATGTTATTAGCACCCAGAGTCATCGAGGCTACGATTCTGCAGCCGAAAGCACTTCCGTCTAAGGAACTCACACTTAGTGCTCCAAGATAGACGGATTAACATTTGTCACACTCGGCATTGACCGAGTTTTTCCTGCTGTTATCTCGCGAAGGGAATGCTAGATTCTACCCTCGTAAAGTTTAAAAAAACCCGACTAAATAAGTTTGATAAAGGAGAAGTACCCTCGCGTGGTTAAGATAGCGGCGGTTAAAATACCGCGGACTAGGTGCATCAGCAATCTGGGATTCTTTGTGCTGCTGGATTTGTGCTCGCCATCACTTTCACGCGTATTGTTTTGATTGTTTGGTCACCGACCGGAACCATCAGCGATGTTGAAGCGGAAGCGAGCTGTTCTCGTTATTGACCCGGAGGACCTATCTGACGGTAGATCTGAGTCCGATTCAGTACATGGCGACACGTCAGACAGCGATTTTCGCTTACACGAGGATGGCACGGCCAACGACACGTCATCTCGCGACCGTTTCCCGCAGGAGCCTTCGCGACGGAAATGCGACGACGACATTCCCGCAGGAGCCTCGGCGCGGGAAGTTGACGGCCATGCGAAAGCTGATAGCGGTTTCCGTTTTCAGAAGACTGACGGTCGTTCGAACGTCGTTACCAGGCCTGACTTGGACTCAATCGACAGGACGAAGAGCAGTGGTGCGATTAGAGCGAATAATGCGACTGAAGCAACTGACGCGACTGAGTTGGTGAAAGAACAAGGAGGGCCGGTTTTGGCTGTCCAGTCAGCAGGAGGAGAAGACGCGACTCCGCCAGAGGCGGAAATGGACGACCTGGATGCGCTCGCGGGTGAGCGGGTAACCAGCCTCCAGGTCGACCTTGAACTGGTGACGACCCTGGGGGTGTTAGAGCATGATAAAGAATGATACAGAATATCTCTCCTGGCGCGAGATGAGTCAGGTAGGCTAAGGTGTGAACATGAACAATATGTAGTCGCCAAATCACCAAGAGCTGTCAACTCACCATGCCATGATTTTTCTGTTGCAACGCGTTCTTTCCACCTCGCCTCCTCTCCCCCTCACCTCCTTCCCCCCTCATTTGCTCCCCCCTTCACCTCCTTTCCCTCTCACTTTCTTTCCCCCTTGCCGTCCCCCCTCCCCCCCCCCCCCCCCCCCCCCCCCCGTGTAGCGGACATTCCTTGCGACACGCTTGCAGCCGTTCATTTCCTCCGCGCCTCCTTCCCTCCATCACTCTCCAAGGTACCTCCTTCCCCCTATCATTCTCTGATGAACTGGTTTCATTTCATGGCATCTGTTGTGGCACTTCTCCTTTCTGTGGACCTACCATGCGCAGGTCGCTTGTACCGGTAAGCCCGACTTACTCACTGACTGATTGGCCTTCTCTCTTTGCTCTTTGCTCGTCATTCCTCCCCCTTGCAGGTCGCATCCTCCCTACCTCCCTTCGCCCTTCTCTCCCAAATCTACACCGTGGTACCACACCGAACCACTGTGGACCGAGAGCTTGAGGTCAGAAAGCCCCGATTCTGTGCCCTGTTATACCTCCTCAGGCTGGTTCCTTCACCCTTCTTTTCCTCGCTGTTTTCCTCCCTGCTTTTGCTTCCTGATGCCTTGCCGTGTTCTCCTCCCCTCGTTCCCCTTTCTCTCCTCCCCGCTTCTCCTCCGCTCTGTTCCTTCCCGCGGATCCCCCACTTTTCCCATTCCAGGGCTGGTTGTGGATGCTGCAGAGGAACATGCCAGCGTGGTTCATCTGCCTCATGTCATTTCAAATTAACCCTGCAGTGCTGGCACAGATTAGCAAGGAGATTGTGCCTCACAGTCCACAGTTGCTTGTTTTCAACTCCAGATGCTGCAAAGGAGTGGGTCGGTGCGGGTGATTCGCCTCATGTCGGCTCGAACTGACATTGCTGTGCTGTTGTCTCAGGACTACGCCCAAGTGGTGAGAGCATCACTGCTATGCTTCTTGCCTGAAAACCCAATGTCTTTATGAAGAGTGGGTCGGTGCGTGTGATTCGCCTCATGTCATTGCGGACCGACATTGCCGTGCTCCTGCCTCAGGACTATGACCAAGTGGTGGGAGCATCGCTGTTATGTTTCTTGCCTGAGAAACCAATGTCTCTCTCAAAGGGCCTGCCTATGCTGCTGCTGGGAAATACTTGGATGAAACGACTCAACCATCGGTACCAACGGATATCTTTTTTCGTGTGTGTCATCGTCATCATCATTAACATCCACCATCATCATCATTGTTTGCAGGTTGAAGCTGCCAGGCAACAGTTTCTTCAGCGCGCGTCAAGTCATGCTGGCAATATAGCCCCCCTCGCACAGAAGGGTGATAGCAGCAGCAGAGGGAACAGCGGGGGTTATAGGAACAAGTCCAGCTACAGGCAGGAAAACAGCAGGCGAAAGCGCGGTACAAGTGAAACTGAGAGCAGCCAGGTGGCAGTTTTTTATTGGTTCAGAGACCGGGTTCTTCCACAGTGTACTGAGCATGGCATATCAAGGCAACAGCTGGTGAGTCCTTCAAGGAAAATGCACACATTCTTTTCGAAATTGGTAACAGATCCGTGTACTTATTGTTTCTGTGCTCCTTTTTTGCTCTCTCCACAGGAACGCCTCTTATCGAATGCTGGCAAATCACGCGTGACAGACAGTCACATCTGCATTCTCGTGCAAGCAGGGTTGCTGGTAGGCATCTATTCTTCCTCCCCTTCTGCTTGTCTGCGTTGCACATACTTTTTAGACACCTCAAATTGTGGGTATAGAGATGGATTTTGAGGCGCCTCTAAAGCAGGGTTGCTGGTAGGCATCTGTTCTTCCTCCCCTTCTGCTTGTCTGCGTTGCATAGGCTCTCGCCAACCTTCTTGGTTTACACTTACTTAGCGGGTTGCAACCATTGTATGCTTAAGTCAAGATTCTCAAATGCGTGTGTGTCTGCCACCAACCTTCTACCCTTAACTGTGTGTCTCCTGGCCTTGTGTCTTTCTCTCCCAACAACAGGTTGCACAGGTGGCACATGTTGATTCGTACTGGTTCTCGCTTCCTAACATTGGCTCATTCACCCAGCATCTTACCAAGGTGAGTCTTACCAAGATGAGGCTACTCTGATTGCGCTCATGATATTGTGTTCGAATTTGTCTATTCTCCCATCTACAGGTTTCTCTGCAAGATGACATATTTCCTGATTTTTTCTTCAGGGACGGTCTGATATCATTGGTTTGTTACAGCACAGCAAGTTCGGTGAGATGTTAAAATCAAAGTTGGAGGTCCGAAAGAAGCACAAAGCTGTAATTCCTGTCTCCTTCATACTTCGGGACCTTATGGGCCAAGGTAGAATAACGAGACGTGACAGCACAGTTGGTGAAGTATTGAGGCTTTGTAATTGGACCAGGAGGTGATGAAATCATGTAACATGTAATCATGTTCCTATATTAGGGCGTATTTCGGGTTTGGGGCATGAGCACTGTTCAGGCACTGTACAGGGCATCCGCAACAACCGCATGACCCAAACCCAAGCACCAAAGCGCGCGCGACTCGAACTTCGGGTCATGCTCAACATTGCATGCGACCGTCAAACAAAAGGTGGAGCGCACCAATCACAGAGCTGCGCGACCCCATGTAGAGCAACCTCTGTAAATCGGCCGTTCGGCGCGATGTGCACGCCCGTCAATGTGGCGTGTACACCACACCCTTGTAAAACAACTTAATCCTCGTAACAATCACAACATCCAGAAGCCAGACCAGCACACTACATGCAAAGACACACAAACCGCCCTGCTAACAAGCACAGCCACCACCACGCCCGTGTCGCCAGCTCCGCCAGCAAGGATGCAGGCAAGACACCGTACTGAACCATCTCTAAAGGGCCGCCAGGAAGCCAGTCGGCCAAAGCCGCTGTGGCCATAAAACATGCTTACCCCACAGGTACTCATTCTATGTGTAGCATTGCACCTCTGGCATGAGTACGTGCTCAACACCTGGCAGCGTGTAGTATCCCTCGCCGCACTAGAGTGGATAACCACTATCCTACCGATGGCCCAAGCCGAGGATGAGGAGCGCCAGCGACGTGCGACTGCGCGCCGCGAAAGCCGCCAGCGCCGTCGAGAGGCACGTGTGGCGGAGTGGGTGGAGGAAATTCGCGCTATGTTTGACGAGGAGTTCGAGGACACCTTCCGGATCACGCGGGAGGTGCTCGACCTCATCGCGGAGAAGATGGCGCACCCCATGTCCCGTTTCGTCGAGTACAACAACGTCCCGTTATCTCTCTGTTGCCTGATTCCCATCAAGTACTTTGCAAGTGCCATGACATATCACGACATGAGTTTCATGTTCGGTTTGCCCAAGGGTCTCATTCATCGCATTGTGGACTGCTTTTTGGTGTGGTTCCCCCGCAAGTTCAAGCGTGACTGGGTTCAATTCCCTTCTGAAGAGTTGCGTGAGGAGATGGCGCTGGACTTCCGCGCCATCAAGGGCGTGCCGAACGTCATTGGAGCAATCGACGGCACACAAATCGAGATACGCGGTCTGGATGCTCACCGCAGCGACTACTACAACCGCAAATCTGTATACAGTGTACAGCTACAGGTCACTTGTGACTCGAAAGGGATCATCTGGGACTACACAGTGGGCAACCCCGGGTCTATGCATGATCAAGGTGTTTTCTCTACCTCTGAGCTACATGGCAGGCTAGAGAGCGGCGAAATCGCCCCCTATCAGCTGGTTGGGGACGCGGCATATCCTCTGAAAAGCTACATGCTAACCCCCCTCCATGCTCCCCGCCGCCGCCTAATGAAGAAGTGGGAGAACACCTTCAACTACGTCCAATCGGCGACGCGGATGGTGGTTGAGCGCACGATCGGAGCACTCAAGGGTCGATGGAGGCTCTTCTCACGCTGGCACGAGAGCAAGCTCTGGCGCGTGTGTGGCGGGACCGCCTGCATCATCATCCTGCACAACATGCTGCAGGTGGTCAGCACCCCAAGGATGAGGACGTTCAATCCCCGCCGCTTCATTTGGGCGGGGCTACCAAATGGCTGGTGGACAAGAAGCGGCATGGATCGCTACCAATGGGAGAGCCTGGACAACCCGACTCTTACCGAGCTGCGCGTCAGGCGCCGCCACTTCGGCAAGCATATCCACAGGGCTTACCTTAGGCGTCGCCGAATGCCCAAGAGGCAGCGCTAAGGCGCTGGCTGCTCGCCCGCCTCATCTGACCCGGCCATGGTTGCGTCTCCTTCCTCCGCTGTCGGCGGCGGAGGTGGGGTGGTGGCTGGCGCATCTTGAGGAGCTTGCTGGGCGACCATCTGCAGGCGCAAGCCTGCCTGCAGCGCCGCCATGTTCATCGCGGCGACAAGGACCTGCGTTGAATCCTGGAGCTGGCGCACCACGTTCACGTTGGTGGAGTTGATCGCGTCGGTCACCAACCTAGCTGCCGCCATTGTCGCAGTATCCTGTACCCGCCGTCGTTTCGGTGGAGGGGTGATTGCCGTTTCTGTAGGGGTGGGAGTAGGGTGTGTCGGTCATAAGGCGGCCTTTCATGTCGTTGTTTGCCTGTACCTCCCTTGTCTGTCAATGTTTTGGAACATTGGAAACTTGACGTTTAAATGAGTGTGTTGTATAAGAGACACACTAAACCGCTCGAGTATTAGCACATTTGTCGCATTGGTAAGATATAACCTAATCAGTAGGCGCATACATGAAATCAGAGCACTGACCGATGTCTGGTGTTTGGCGGCGTGTTCCACGCTGTTGCGCCTGGGCCGGCGGAACCAAAGTCTCCCGGTCGTTGGAGCCGGGGACAGTTGCGTACGCCGCGACGTCAACGCTGGCGGCGCCACCGCCGTCCAAGGCGTGGGGCTTAGCTTTGGCCGAGTGTTTTTTCAAGTTGTACACGTACTCCCACCAGGGCTTCTTCTTCACGGCTTTGCCTCCGCTTGCCGATTCTCCCCGCTTCGTTTTGAAGTAAAGCTTCTCGAGGCGTTTCCACGCATTAGACATCTGCCCCTCGTCGCGGTTCCACCCCGGTTCCCCCTCGACGATGTGGGCGTGCAGCTTCCTCCAATACTGGCTGCCCTGCTTGCCCTGCATCGCTTTGAGATCGTCCTTCGTAGTCCACTTGGCGGCGGCGAGGGTCGTCAGCTCCGCATCTGACCACTTCCTCTTGTTGCTTGACGGTTTAGGTCGTTTCTCCTTCTTCGACGCTCGTGTGCTGCGATCGTGGCGACTCCCTTCGCCGTCGGACTCTCCCTCCTCGTCGTCCGTTGTGTCCTTGTCGTTACCGGAGTCGTCATCGCTTTCCGATTCCGAGACGATCTCCTCGAGGTCGTCATCGCTGACGTCGGTATCGGCGCCATCCTCGTAAGCAAGCCGTGACGCGCCGCTGGTGGATGCGGCCGCAGAGTCCCGTTTGGTCTTGGATATGCGTTTGATGGAGGGGGGCGACTTCCCCTGTTTCTTCTGCTCCTTTAACCACACGACGTAAGGAGGGTCCGCCATAGGCTCATCGTCGGATGCTGTCTCCTTTCCCTTGCTACGGGTGCTACGGCGTGGCGGCATGGCTGCACGTTCTGTGCTTGACAGATCTGGGTGATGAGGCTGTTGGTGTTCGTCGGTTGAAACTGTGTCATGCAGATCTGGAAGTTTGTTGCGCTTGTGTTTTTGTGGGATGCAACAACCCTGGTGTGGGAAGGACGCTGTTGGGATGGTGGGTTTGGCTGGGAATGTGGAGCCGCGCAGATCTGAATGTGACCTTTCCCGACGGGAATTTTGACGGTGGCTGGGGTGGGGTCAGACGGACTCTCGGCTGATGGCTGTTCGTGGGGGTACATGTACGACTCGGCCGTATTGGCCGCGACGTGTGTTACCAGTATTTTGTTTGGCGCGGATTTTGGCGCCCAAACGAACTGTCGCATGGGGCGCATGCCTCGAGGTTGGTGTTGCGTGTTGTTCTGGGCATCCGCAAATGGCGCATGCCCGGAACAGTGCCCATGCCCCAAACCCGAAATACGCCCTTATACTAATGATGGGTGATGTGAGCACAAATCTACGTCGTTCCCGTAACAACCAGATGCGGTGTACGTACAATGTCGCGTTAGCTGTGGTGGATTTCATCAAATATTTCGTTCTCGCGCCAAGCACTGTGTGACAGCACCAGCTGTACAAATGTTTTCGTCCACCAAAAGCGGGGGAACGAGCGAATTCACTCGTGCCAGTGACCCTGCCCGCGTTTGCGATTGGTCCACCGGAAATTTCACCGAAGATCGTCGTCGTACAGACTCGTGGTAAAATCGCAACATCGACTAGACCGAAGTTTGTGCGACGTCGCCCCTCGCCAATCTGCTTATCGTTGGAAGCGCGAGAATTTGTTCGCACACATCCCTCGCGCGGTCCGTGTTAGCGCGCTTCGATTTCCCAATGCCCAAGAAATTTCCCAATGCGGAAGTGCGCTCTCTTCCTCCCCTACCCTCTCTTGGTCTCGCTACCTGCCCAGAACATTGATAAGCTCTGGATAACTATCGGAATCAAGCATAGTCTCGTTCCCTGAAGCCTGTGTGTTAGCGATTCCCTCGTCGACGAATCTGCCGTCCAGTCCACCCTTTGAATTTCAATAAAACCACTTTGTTTATCGTTCATCTGCCGTGCGTTATCGAATCTCCACGACAACAGTTGAGAATCATGGGGATTCGTAAAGTAGCCATCTTGGCCGCTCCACTCCCCTTACTCTCTCTCCTCCTTGCCACCCTCGCCTCGCAAGCTTCGGCGCGAGGCCTTCAACTGCGACACGACTGGTCCGCGATGTTTAGAGGTTCGGCGAAACCAGTCGCACACCACCGGGACGACGAGCCCGAATGGGAGGGCCTTGTCATTCCGCGACGAATGTTACAACTCGCAACGACTTTGGCGACGGAAACGCCTGAACATAAAGCCTCACGAATGGCTGCGAAGAAGGCGCAGAAGGAGGAGCAGCAGAAGCGGCATGCGGCCATGCAGGCAGCGAGGGACAAGAAGAAGGAAGAGCAGGAAGAGCGTAAAGAGGCGAAAGCTGCGAGGGATGCAGCGAAAAAATCAAAGTCGCCTTCTTCGCCACCGAAACCAGCCAAGTCGCCCAAGTCGCCATCACCTCCCAAGAAATCGCCATCTCCCTCTCCCGTGCCGCCCAAGAAGTCACCGTCACCGTCTCCTCCGAAATCTCCCGTTAAGCCGACAACTCCCACTCCTTCCACGCCAAAGCCGACTACTCCGTCAACTCCTTCGACTCCGTCAAAGGGTTCCGTCAACCCTGCTGACGTGTCCGTCATCGCGAATCTCCAGGCGGCGGCAACGTTAACGGCGGACGCGGCCGACCTGCTGACGCCCAAAAATCAGTACTACGCGAATCTAAAGAGCACCGAGCAGGCTCTTCAGAACGCGGTGATTCTAATCAACCAGGGTCAGCGCGCGCTGGTGGCGACGCAGGTTGACAACTCCGTCGCGACACTTAACGGCGTGTCGGTGATGCTTAACAAAGTGACGTACAAAGACGCGTTGGACCTCATTAACCAGGCGAAAACCAAGGCTGCTACTGCCAAAACGGACTTCAAACCGTAAGGTAATGGGCGAAACGGATAATGAGGAAAAACGGGAGCGACAATGAGCGTGTGATGAGTGATCAGGGAGGTACTGGGAGGAATTAGAAGGTAGTGAATGAAGAACGAGCCGCGCGATGGATTAAGTAGGTTAGAAGCTATCCACTATTTCTCGTGGATTGGTAGATTGACCTTGGGTCTTGTGTCTCTCAATTCTGCGTGATTCATAGCATCACCATTTTCCAATTCAGTGCATCCGAGAACCAAGGCAGGAATAAAGTTCAGCATACTAAGACGCATGTATTTAGCACACACAAAGAAAAGGAGCACACACAAAGAAAAGGAGCACACACAAACAAAAGGCGCTCACACAGTTCTACCATCAAAACTTCACTCTAGCACTGCTGCGTTTTCAACCACGAGTGACGGAAGAAAGAGTTCCATGTGCCAGATATATTTCCATTCATCAAGCAACAATATATCTATCTCCATAAATCTATCTTCTCCGCTAGCTGTCTCTCCCCCGCCCCATATGTGCTTGCCAACCCTCCAATCATACAACTCTCTCCACGTGCTGCTCTACAACTCTGTACCATTCCCTCCTGCACCCCGCCTGTCCACTCGTTCTGGGATCTCCTGCCTGTTCCCTGGCTTTCATTTACGCCTTCCCCTGTTTCCGCCCCCCCCCCCTGTTTTCACCCCGCCCTTCTCATTCTCATGCAATCAGCTGCTTGTGAAACAGGAAAGCACGCAATTCTGCAAGAATCCAAGCATGCATACATACCCACAGAGTAATGTTTCCCCCCTCCCCACATCTCCCCCGCTTACTAGCCTACCCCTGTCTCATGCTTCCCCTCGCCCCCTTTCCCTCTCCATCCCTTTACGGCACGAAGAGCTGCATGTTGGGTGCGAGAGTGGCATCGGAGCACAAACCCATGGTTGAGATCCCGCATCATGGCAGCCGACCCGGTCGAGAGGCCCCCACCCCCACACATGGCAGCTGATCCGCGGAAGAAGTTGTAAGCGAGCCCCTCGCACGTGTCCCCCCCTCCCCCTCCCCCCTCAGCCTCCCCCGCCTGCCCTTACGGCACAAACAGCTGCATGTTTGGCGTGAGAGCGGCATCGGAGCACTCAAACCCGTGGTTGAGGTTGCGCATCATGGCAAGCGATCCGCGGAAGAAGCTGTAAGCGAGCCCCTCGCACGTGTCCCCGTCCTTCACCACATACATGCTCGTGGCCTTCAGGCCGTGACTCCAGTCCACCCCTCCCTCCTCTCCCATCCCCTCTCCACTGCCACCAGCAGCGCCAGCACCATTGCCAGCACCACCAGCACCAGAGCCATGGCCTTGGGTTGTTACAGCAGCGTCAGTGGCCTGAACACGTTTCATCTGAACCCTCGTGCCATCCTCCCCTCCATCAATTCCCTTGAGTATAATCCGTGCTTCTTCCAACGTGTCCACACTCACCTTCTTAGCCCTCTCCGGCTCTGCCCCTGCCCCTGCACCTGCCCCTGCCCCTGCCGCTGCCCCTTCCCCTGCCCCTGCCCCTTCCCCTTCTCCTGCCCCTGCCCCTGCTCCTGCCCCTGCGCCTTCTCCTGTCCCTGCCCCTGCCCCTGCCCCTGCCCCTGCCCGCCCCCCTGCTCCTGTCTTTCCGTCTGCCCCTGTCCCTGCTCCTGCCCCCGCAGTTGCGTTTGAAACCGAGCCAGTGCCATCTGCTGGCCCTTCTATTGGGCCAGCCACACCTGCTCCTGTGGCTGGCCCTGCTCCTGCTCCTGTCTTTGCCTCTGTCCCTGCCCCTGCTCCTGTCTTTGCCTCTGTCCCTGCCCCTGCTCCTGTCTTTGCCTCTGTCCCTGCCCCTGCTCCTGTCCCTGTCCCTGCGCCTGCCCCCGCAGTTCCGTTTGAAACCGAGCCAGCACCATCGTCAGGGCCATCTGCTGGCCCGGCTATTGGGCCAGTCTCACCTGCAGCGATCGGAACAGGCCCAGTCTCCTCTGCTGCGTCAGAAACAGTTTGAGCCTTTGCCGTTATCCCAGACGCATCCTCCTCCTCACTCCCATCCCCTTCCTCACTCCCGTCTCTCTCCGCATGTTCATCATCCTCCTCCCTCTCCTCACTCTCACCCCCCTCCCCAATCCCTTCACTCTCCTCACTCCCAACCCCCTCCTCACTCCTCTCAATATCTTCAATTCCATCACTTGAAACACCTTGAGTACTAATATCAGCCCTGGGGGCTGCATGGATAGGGGCGGTAACTGTTCGATAGTGAGGCGTACGGAGGGTTGGAGATACGCTGGGAGTGGCAAAGCCAGGATTTGAACCCGCGTCTCCAAGTTCACCATCAGCTGCTTCGGTTGCCTCTTTCACCAAGCCTGGACCAACACGAACCTGGACACCACTGTGCTGGCCCTGCTGCTGCTGCCCGGACCAAGGCTCGCTCGCAGGCTCGGCAAAGTTCGAAGCTGACGCTGGCTCAAGCTCGTAGACCATATCCGTACCCGCCGGACCTATTGCACGGAGCCTGGCTGGGTGTGGATCGGAGTTGGAGAATTTGTGATCGCTTCCCTGCCACTTCACCACGTCATTTGGACCCCAAGTGTACGCGATATTGCGACTTCGAGGTCCGTTATTGTGATTTCGCAACACACCACTGTATCGCAACTGAGGTGCAGACACCCGCGTCTGATATTTCGGTCTTCCTGATTCTGAAAAAACCTGCTGCGACGGATAGAAAGAGGATCCTGCGACAGGCCGGCGGCTGCTTCGATGATGTCGCCCGCTTGTTGTCGTCGCCCGGCTGTCGCCGCGACGATGTCGCCCGCCAGTCGCCCAGCTCGGGGCGCCGAGTTCGAATACAGCTGGCTCGTCGTATGCGTCCGCGTGCGACGTCTGTCGCTGCCGCATCTGTCGCCTTGCTCGCGAGGGCGAAGATGGAGTCGCTAGGGCCGCTGTGCGAGATTTGTCCCTCGCGTGGTTCCACGTCAGCACACGAATCTTACGTGGAGTTCCAGCAGGGCTCGCCTTCACAGTGACAGAATCAGCGGTATTTTCGTAACCTGGTTTCGCCTGGTTTTCGAATCCTGCCGCGTTTTCCTCGCCATGCCTCAGCATAACCGGGTAACGTTGGAGAGTGCGACCTCTCTTCGCAAATTTCGCACGTCCGTACGGAACTACGGTACTGAAACCCCCCCCACCAGCTGCAGCAGCAGCTGTTCCTGTCCTGGTTCGTAAGTCTGATAACATGAAAACGAGGCATAGAAACCCTAACATGGCGGATTTTCCCCGCCCGAAAGAGGGGGGCGGCGGCTTCATGATAACACTAACGAGCTAATTAACTAACAATTATTTGCTCTTAGGTTCAAACCAAGGACCAAGCGCGCTATGAATCACGTGTACCGTGATTGGAGATTTGACCCAATCAGCAGGACAATGGAAATAACGGAAATTCGGACTGCAAGGAGAGAAAATGGAAAATGGAAAGCACAAGGTGGTGAGTTGAGTTGGTTGAACTCTGCAGGGGGGAAGAGGGTGGGTGGGAGGCAGGAGGACGAGGGGAGGGGGGAAAGAAGGAATGCTGGGGGGAAAGGGGACTTCTTGCGGGCGCGAGCGCCTAGTTCTGGCTGGATTGCTGTGCCATGAGCGGAGGGGAATGCGCGCAATTTTTGCCGAGGAAGCGGCTGTGTGGAATGACAGCGGAAGGAGTCTGCGTCAGTCTGAACATGCCAGGTCAACGAAGTCTGCGCAGCGATTGGCCTGGGGAAGGGGCTTCGCGAAAACGAGGACGTTTGCGAACGATTTCCGAGGCTCAACAGAGTAGGACGAAAATTTCCACGCACACGTGTCCCGCACGACACGCGCGAGCGTTCGGTTTCTCAAATTTCTGAAGTTCCCTGCCGAGTCCGCGCTGACAGCAGCCGGACCAGCGTGGAGTCTGTTTGACCAAAGTGACTGACCAGCCGTTGTGATAATCAAACCTACAGTCATATGTGTTCCTGCTGATTGTAAGGAAATTCATTTTTTCCTTACTTCGCATCCCTGCTCAACGCGTACATCACTATACCACCACAGTCAGCACCGTTACCACTCGCGACCCTCGCATCGACAATCAGCCCGCAATTTTCGCACATCGCACCCCAACCTCACGGCTCGGCTGGTAACCCGCCCTCCGGGCCTCCGCTTCGACATTGTCCCAAACCTCAGTCTCAGACCCGTCACGCGACAACCACAGTCCATTACCGTTACCACTGTAGTTTCGCTATATATTCTTCGCTCATGCCTTCGCTCATTGTATCCTTGCTTCGATAGTGCAATTCCCGTTGATTTACTCAATTGCACTCGTAACACTGATCTTACAATGACTGGCAAACGAGAATGCTTCTAATGATATATCTATATCACATCACCTAGTAGTAGAATAAGATACATTTAAGAGGTGTTCTGAAGCATCTCGGTCAAATTGCTACCTTTAACGAATGGGTGATGATATCTGCTGCATCGAGTGTAAATATAGCATTGATATCTACTCATATCCCATACACTGGATTACTACTGTATATTCATTTACCCAGTGTTACAGATGCATTTGCTGTTTAGCCGGAAATCAGGCCCATATGGGTCAACAACTGGACTCGTTTGTCCGACATGGATTCAGAAATCAGGCCATCTGAGATTCTGGAACAGCGAACGAAACGGGGAAAATATGTGAATGATAACTTACATGGGGCTGTATAACACGTACGGTAACGATTTCAACGCGTTTGGTAACTCGCTTAACACGTTTGGTAACTCGCTTAACGCGTATGGTAACTATAGACTAGCAACCCATCACGCGAATGGTAACTAGAAGAAACCCTCGCCCAAAATGACCCTTATTCTAGTTTTTCCCGCTCGCGTCAGACTAAATTGATGAATCTTGAAGCAGAAACCTCGGACATACTCGCCGAGATTCTGAGACAGTTTTCTGATATTGTGACACACTTTCCAAAATCCTGACACACTTTCCATTTTTCAAGGTAATTGCAAAACCGTAAGTGTTTCAAAAACAAAGTTTTATATACAGTTGATATTCTGACGCTCTTTCCGCAAACTGTTTGTTCTTAATTCTATCGTGCAGCGGGGCCAAGCAAATCTATACCCCTTGAAGATGGCAAATGAATTTGGGAGCATCAACCATAAACTCTTTGCGACAAGGCGTATATGGTTCTTTTTTGAAAAATGAAACATGTAATTCTAAAGAGGTGTATCTATCCCACATGAAAAAAAAGGCCAACGTTGCAGTAATTAAAAAACTTAAAATCCCGATGCCATTTCGTGGAAAGTTTTTTGATCATTTTGCAAGTTCGCAACCATGCTATAAAAATATGATTTGAACCGTTTTTGTACGAGCCATATATGTATATATATATATATATATAAACTTTCAAACTTCTTGATCCGTGGTATTAGACTAAACATAATCCTTCAAATTCGCGGCGGGACTTGTTCAAGAAAGATAAAACAGTGCGTAAAGACTTTCAAACTCGATAAATTCCTCAATTTCAGGATCATTTCGGCGGGAGTTTCATGTACTTACCATTCACGTGATGGGCTGCTAGTGTATAGTTACCATACGCGTTAAGCGAGTTACCAAACGTGTCAAGCGAGTCACCAAACGCGTTAAACGAGTTACCAAACGCGTTGAAATCGTTACCGTACGCGTTATACTGCCCCATGTAAGTCACCATAGACATATTTTCCCAACGAAACGCGTTCATTCCTCCACCTCCCATTGGTTGGCATACATCATCCCACTGGAGCTGTTCATCAAAACTCATTTCAAGAACATATCACATCATTCCCAGGGACTTGAGGAGCTAGCGTCGATCGTTCCTTCTCGAGGTGACTTTTGAGTCGACTCAAAAGTCACCCAGCTAGCTTCGATCGTTCTTTCTCACGAAATCCACGGCGACAACTCAGGAGGTGGATTGAGTTTAGATTAGGAGGATCGAGGTGGAAGCAGAGCAGAAATGCCAGATTGCTTCTTGCTGCGAAATTCCTGATTGCATTCAATGAATGAAAGGCGTCGTGGAATCTGAAACGCGTAGCACAGCGTAATATTCCCTGTTCGGACAACGGTGTTACCCGATATCTTGGGAAACGGATGTCGTTGTTTTGTCTGGTAGCAGCAGCTAAGGGAGCGACACACCAGTGATTAGGTTACAGCAGCGGCGTGTGCGGACTGCGTGAGCGGTAGCAGCACTTGTAATCAGTACACCGCAGTCCCTGCATTCTATGCGCTGATCCTTCGCCCTTTCCTGGTTACCATGTTTCGCCGGCGGCGAAACGTCGCGTTGATCGCCGGGGTCCGACATTGGCTCCTCGTCGTGTTGTCGTGCGTCGCGTGCTTGTTCTCGATCGACTCGTCCCTAGCCGCCACCGATCAGAACGAAGGTTCGGCATCCTCTCTCTTAAAGCCTGAGATCTGAGCGCCGAGTTTTGGTGAAAGATACATCTATGGACTCTCTTTCTTGTGCTTCAACCCCCCATCTCCATCCCCGTTGACCACCCTCTCTCCCCCTCCCCCTCCCCACAGCAACCCCCCCACCCTCCTTCCCACTTCAAACTCCTCCCCCCTCTCCCCCGCCGCCACCCTCCACCCTATCTTCTCCCCATTCCAACCCCATTTCCCGCCACACGTGTCCGTCTTTGTCCCCTTTCTCCATGCGCCCCTCTCCTCTCCCTTCAACCCTTTCCCCACCGCTCCCCCTTCTCCCCCGTTCCCCTCCCAGTGGCGGCGCTGCTGCAGCAGAAGGCGGAATGGGGAAATCCCCCCCAGCTGCGCTCGTGGGCGGTGGGGGGGGATCCGTGCGCGGATGGGTGGTGGGGTGTGGTGAGCTGCACAAAGGACGAGTTCAACGAGACGAGAGTCTCTGCACTGTAAGGGGTGTTCTCTAAGAGATTTTTTTTTTAGAATCCTCAAAAACGCCCTGCAAATTCCGTGTGCGGATGGGTGGGTAGGCGTGGTGAGCTGCATACGGGACGAATTTAATGAGACAAGAGTCTCTGTACTGAAGGGATTGTGCTCTTAACGAGTCACTGCAAGGAAGGGAGTGTGTGTCAAAGCACCATAGGAGGAAATGTGCTCTTACATCGCATCACATCCCATCCCATCCCATCCCATCGCATCCCATCCCATCCCATCCCATCCCATCCCATCCCATCCCATCCCATCCCATCCCATCCCATCCCATCCCATCCCATCCCATCCCATCCCATCCCATCCCATCCCATCCCATCCTATCCTCTCCCTCTCCTCTCCTTCGCCTTTCCTGCCCCACCCTCTCCTTCCTTGCACGCAGCATGCTTCCAGGGATGGGACTTGAAGGCTCGCTCTCACCCGACCTGGGAAGACTTTCCTTCCTCACTTTCCTGTACGCTGCCCCTCACGCACACACACACACACATTCTCTCCATTCCCTCCCACGCACCTTTCCTTCATTTACTCGAGAGTTGAGGCGCCTCAAGACTAGGCTCGCTCTTGCCCGACCTGGGAAGACTTTCCTTCCTCACCTTCCTGTACGCCCTCCCTCCACACACCTTTCCCTCATTCCCTCCCACACACGTTTGTGTACGCCCTCTCACACAGTTTTCTGTGCCCCCGTCCTCCCACACACCTTTCTATGGCCCTTCCCTCCCACACACCTTTCCCTCATTCCCTCCAACACACTTCATTCCATCCCACACCTTTCCTTTGTGCCCAGCATTCAATAAAAGCGCTTTCCTGTACGCCTCAGCTCGTATCAGGCACCTTGTTGCACTATGCAGGTCTGCAATAACATCCACGCTATCTGCTAGAATTTGGTTCGTGATCGACCTATCTCCTGAACTATCTGTGCCATTACCCCTGTTCCGGTCCGTACCGGTGATCACCGTTCTCACATGTGGGATTCCATGACTCCAGGGACCTGATGAACAACAACGGCATCAGAGGCACCCTGCCCAGTGCCCTTTCTGATATGAGTCAAGTCAAACTCGACTGAAAACACGACCCACCTTCTCTGTCCCATGCCATGCCATGCCATGCTATGCCATGCCATGCCATGCCATGGCATGACCACAGGGATCTGATGAACAACAATGGTATCAGAGGCAACCTGCCCAGTGCTCTCTCTTCACTCTCGCAACTCCAAGTGCTGTAAGTACCAAGTACATCACTTGTACCAAGTACCAAGTACTAGGTTGTTCCAGGGTACTAGCGTTTCAAACACACTAGGTGCTTGCCTCCAATAACCTGCTAGCAAGGCCTTCCTTCCCCATTTTCTCTCTCTCCGCCCCCCTCCTCTCTTTTTCCTCCAAAGCACCAGCCTGCGCAGTTGCTCCCTGTCTGGCGGCATCCCTGCTGCTTCCTTCGGTGCACTCTCAAATCTCCCCACTCTCCTCCCCCATTCCCTACTCCTTCCCTCTTTCCCCTTCCGACTTCCCCCAAAGCGGTAGCCTGCGGAACTGCTCCCTGTCGAGCCACATCTCTGCTGTGTTCCCTCTGCGCTCCGTCCGACTGCTCCCTCCACACTGCAAGTGCTGCTGCTCGACTCCAACCGCCTGCAACGCCCTTTCCTCACTGCCCCGACTCTCCCTCCCCTCTCTTCCCCACTCTCTTCCCCGTGCTCTCCCCCTCTCTTCCCCCAAAGCAGCAGCCTGCGCAACTGCTCCCTAACGGGTCGCATCCCAGCTGTGTATGGTGCTCTCACCGCGCTGCAAGTGCTGCTGCTCGACTCCAACCGCCTGCAAGGGCCGCTGCTGGGGGAGGAGTCCAGGGGAATGCAGAACCTGCAGCACGTTGATCTGTCGGATAACGAGTTGGAGGGAGGTGTCTCCTTCTTCCCTAGACTTGCGTCGCTCAAGCACCTGTGAGTGTGGAGGGGGCAAGGATAGGAGAGAGCGAGAAAGAAGATGGGGGATGGGAAGGGGTAATCATCATGATTTCGACTAAGCCTGAGGAAGATTGACGCGCACATGCACGCACCACCACTCTCCCTTTCATCTCATGCACACATGAGCTGTGCACGCCTCTCCCCCTCGCCTGTCGCACACATGCACACGCTCCCTCTTTCTCCCTTTCCCAATGCACCCGTGCAGGCTGCTTAGCTGGAACCGCTTTTCCCTTTTCCCAGGAGCTAATTTTTGAGTCGACTAAGGAATCTCTCCCTCTTAATGCGCCCCTGCAGGCTGCTTGGCTGGAACCGCTTTTCAATTCTGCCAGGAAATCTAGGCTTTCTTCCCAACCTCCGCACACTGTATGTTCACTGTATCCTGTGGGCTGTACTGTGTAGGCTGTCAGTAGCGTGTTGCTGGTAGCGTGTTGCTTGTAACGTGTGGGTCCCCTGCGCTGCTGGGAGAACTGGTTGCTCTTTCCGATTCAACATACGCACCCTGGTTGTAACCTGTGGGGTGTTTGTTTGTTTGTTCTTTTTCTTTCTTTCTTTCTTTCTTTCTTTCTTTCTTTCTTTCTTTCTTTCTTTCTTTCCTTCTTTTCCATAATCCTGTGTGTAATGGCACCTCGTACGTTAATGACACAAAATCACAACGTCTTGACATCAAATCATATGGTGACACCATCATGCCTATCCCCTTCCGACGTCAACAGGGTGCTGGATCACAACCGAATCGGCAACACACTCCCTGAGCGCCTCTCCTCCCTCTCCAACCTGCAAACACTGTATGCAAACAGTCTTCAAGAGTGTAATTTTTTACACAGATGCCACAAAACACGACGAGTGTATATATTGTGTCTGAGTACACGAGCACAAAAAAAAAAAAAAAAAAAAAAACCGCACAAACAAAAGGCGGGTACAATGGTTCCACAGTGCCCTCGTGGGTTAGATGCCAAGTTTTTTTTTTTTTTTTTCACAAAGGATTTACGCACGGTAGCATGCAGTTACCACGGAGGCTCTCATACTCAAAGCTCATGCATGTGGTGTGGTTGAAGCCGAGCCGGGTGTTTGAAGAAGTGTTTTGAGACGTCTCAAAACTCTCATACTCATAGCTCATGTCATGCATGTGGTGTGGTTGAAGCCGAGCCGGGGTTCTAATGGTTACACGTACGTGCATGCATGCGGTTACCATGTGCACAGGGTGTTGGACAATAATCCCATCAGAGGTTTCCTCCCTGCTGGATTCTTGAGATGCATATGTGCCGTTACCTCATGGGCGCTGATGGTTGTGCTTCCCATGTTCCCATCGCCTTGTGTTCCCATAACCATGTGTTCCCATCGCCATGTGTACAGTGTTCCCATAACCATGTGTTCCCATCGCCATGCGTGCACAGGGTGTTGGACAGCAATCCCATCGGAGGGTCCCTCCCTGCTGGACTTTTGAGACGTCTCAACACTCTGTTCACAACACCATGTGTTCCCATTACCGTGTGTTTCCATGTGTATCCATGCCATGTGTGCGTGCACAGGGTGTTGGACAACAATCCCATTGGAGGGTCCCTCCCTGCTGGATTCTCGGTTCTCACCAACCTTGTCACCATGTCAGTGTGTGTAGTAACCTTGTCACCATGTCAGTGTGTGTGGTAACCTTGTCACCATGTCAGTGTGTGTGGTAACCTTGTCACCATGTCAGTGTGTGTGGTAACCTTGACACCATGTCAGTGTGTGTGGTAACCTTGTCACCATGTCAGTGTGTGTGGTAACCTTGTCACCATGTCAGTGTGTGTGGTAACCTTGTCACCATGTCAGTGTGTGTGGTAACCTTGTCACCATGTCAGTGTGTGTAATAACCTTGTCACCATGTGAGTGTGTGTGATGATTTGTAACTCTTTGAGTGTGTGCTAACCTTGTCCCCATGTGAGTGTGTGTGGACCCTGTTGCGATATGAGTGTGTGTGTGGAAACCTTGTCACCATGTGAGTGTGTGTGGTAACTTGTCACCCTTTGAGTGTGTGCTAACCTTGTCACCATGTGAGTGTGTGTCGTAACCCTGTCGCAATGTGAGTGTGTGTGGTGATTTTGTCGCCATGTGAAAGTGTGTAGTAATATTGTGAGTATGTGAGACGTAAATTCCACATCTTCCCCTGTCACCTCACTCCCTCTTTCCCCCCAATTCCCCTCACTCCCTCTTTCCCCCCAATTCCCCTCTCTCACCACTGCCTGCTCTCACCACTGCCTGCTCTCACCACTGCCTGCTCTCACCACTGCCTGCTCTCACCACTGCCTGCTCTCACCACTGCCTGCTCTCACCACTGCCTGCTCTCACCACTGCCTGCTCTCACCACTGCCTGCTCTCACCACTGCCTGCTCTCACCACTGCCTGCTCTCACCACTGCCTGCTCTCACCACTGCCTGCTCTCACCACTGCCTGCTCTCACCACTGCCTGCTCTCACCACTGCCTGCTCTCACCACTGCCTGCTCTCACCACTGCCTGCTCTCACCACTGCCTGCTCTCACCACTGCCTGCTCTCACCACTGCCTGCTCTCACCACTGCCTGCTCTCACCACTGCCTGCTCTCACCACTGCCTGCTCTCACCACTGCCTGCTCTCACCACTGCCTGCTCTCACCACTGCCTGCTCTCACCACTGCCTGCTCTCACCACTGCCTGCTCTCACCACTGCCTGCTCTCACCACTGCCTGCTCTCACCACTGCCTGCTCTCACCACTGCCTGCTCTCACCACTGCCTGCTCTCACCACTGCCTGCTCTCACCACTGCCTGCTCTCACCACTGCCTGCTCTCACCACTGCCTGCTCTCACCACTGCCTGCTCTCACCACTGCCTGCTCTCACCACTGCCTGCTCTCACCACTGCCTGCTCTCACCACTGCCTGCTCTCACCACTGCCTGCTCTCACCACTGCCTGCTCTCACCACTGCCTGCTCTCACCACTGCCTGCTCTCACCACTGCCTGCTCTCACCACTGCCTGCTCTCACCACTGCCTGCTCTCACCACTGCCTGCTCTCACCACTGCCTGCTCTCACCACTGCCTGCTCTCACCACTGCCTGCTCTCACCACTGCCTGCTCTCACCACTGCCTGCTCTCACCACTGCCTGCTCTCACCACTGCCTGCTCTCACCACTGCCTGCTCTCACCACTGCCTGCTCTCACCACTGCCTGCTCTCACCACTGCCTGCTCTCACCACTGCCTGCTCTCACCACTGCCTGCTCTCACCACTGCCTGCTCTCACCACTGCCTGCTCTCACCACTGCCTGCTCTCACCACTGCCTGCTCTCACCACTGCCTGCTCTCACCACTGCCTGCTCTCACCACTGCCTGCTCTCACCACTGCCTGCTCTCACCACTGCCTGCTCTCACCACTGCCTGCTCTCACCACTGCCTGCTCTCACCACTGCCTGCTCTCACCACTGCCTGCTCTCACCACTGCCTGCTCTCACCACTGCCTGCTCTCACCACTGCCTGCTCTCACCACTGCCTGCTCTCACCACTGCCTGCTCTCACCACTGCCTGCTCTCACCACTGCCTGCTCTCACCACTGCCTGCTCTCACCACTGCCTGCTCTCACCACTGCCTGCTCTCACCACTGCCTGCTCTCACCACTGCCTGCTCTCACCACTGCCTGCTCTCACCACTGCCTGCTCTCACCACTGCCTGCTCTCACCACTGCCTGCTCTCACCACTGCCTGCTCTCACCACTGCCTGCTCTCACCACTGCCTGCTCTCACCACTGCCTGCTCTCACCACTGCCTGCTCTCACCACTGCCTGCTCTCACCACTGCCTGCTCTCACCACTGCCTGCTCTCACCACTGCCTGCTCTCACCACTGCCTGCTCTCACCACTGCCTGCTCTCACCACTGCCTGCTCTCACCACTGCCTGCTCTCACCACTGCCTGCTCTCACCACTGCCTGCTCTCACCACTGCCTGCTCTCACCACTGCCTGCTCTCACCACTGCCTGCTCTCACCACTGCCTGCTCTCACCACTGCCTGCTCTCACCACTGCCTGCTCTCACCACTGCCTGCTCTCACCACTGCCTGCTCTCACCACTGCCCCTGCTCTCTCACCACTGCCTGCTCTCACCACTGCCTGCTCTCCCTTGCCCCCCACTCCCTGGCCCCCATTCCCCACTCCCTGGCCCCCATTCCCCACTCCCTGGCCCCCATTCCCCACTCCCTGGCCCCCATTCCCCACTCTCCTCTCCCCCTCTCCACCTCTCCCCTTATCCCCCTTTCCCCCTGCCCTTTTCCCCTTCCGCACTTGCAGCTCTATGTCGCGCTGCCAGCTGGAGAACGCCCTCTTCAACACATCGCTCCTCATCAACCTGCAAAAGATGTGAGCGCCCTTCCCTCCCTCCCTCCCTCCCTCCGTCCCTCCGTCTGTCCGTCCGTCCGTCCGTCCGTCCGTCCGTCCGTCCGTCCGTCCCTCCCTCCCTCCCTTCCTCCCCCTAAATCAAGAACTCAAGAATTCTAGCTATACCCTAAATCAATCCCTCGCTGGCAGTGACGTGAGCGACAACGACATCCTCGGCAACGTGCAAGACGCCTTGGAAGCTTCACTCAGAAATCTGCGCCATGTGTGAGTGCATGTGCGCTTGTCATTTCACGCAAGTGCCTGCACTTGTGCATTCCATTTGATTGCACGCACATGCCACATGTGTGGGAGCAGTTAATTTCCTTGGCTTTTTTCCGTTTTTTTTTTTTTTTTTTTTTTTTTTTTTTTTTTTTTTTTTTTTTTGGCGGGCCTTCACGTCACCCGAGCAAGTGCACACATCAGTCAAGGTACCCATCACTGCACCCGTTTACACATGCGTAGATTTGAGACGTCTCAAAAACAGTTCTGAGATGTCTCAAAACATGAATGTACCCATCACTGCACCCGTTTACACATGCGTACATGACGATCATTGGTTGCGTACAGAGTGTTTGCGGTTTCCCTAGATGCTGACTCCCCAGAGTGTCACGAACAATGCATGAGAATATGTTACCATATGCGCCAGATCAGCATAATACCTCTGTCTTACCACCACTTCCCCCTGGCCCTATTCCCCTCCCTGCATCCCCGTTAGTGACTTCTCCAACAACCTGTTTATTGGCTTCTTCCCAGAATCCATGTCCAATCTTCAAGCATTGGCTGTCCTGTAAGTCTATTACCAGGTAACAACACTTGAGCATACTGCTTGTCAGCATAACACATGACCATACCCCACATGACCATACCCCACCCCACATGACCATACCACACCCCACATGACCATACCCCACACACATGACCATACCCCACATGACCACACCCCACATGACCACACCCCACATGACCATACCCCACATGACCATACCCCACATGACCACACCCCACATGATCATACCCCACATGACCACACCCCACATGACCACACCCCACATGACCACACCCCACACACAAGAGCATGCCCCTGTTCCTCCTCTCTCCCCTCCCCCTTCCTCCAGAAACGCGGACAACAACAAGATAAACCTACAACTCCCGGACCTCTCAGCTGCAGCGGCCTCGGGCGCGCTACACTACGTCTCCCTTATAAACAACCAGCTTGACGACACAGGCGGCAAGGTCCGCCGGAAAACGCCCCAGTATCTCATAGACGTCATTTCCAACAACTCCCTCCGCCTTTGGGGAAACCCTTTCTGCAATTTCACCCCCGTAATCCCAGCGCTCGCTCCCGCCTGCAACCGCTCTAACGAGAAAATTCAGCCTCCGGTTTTCCTCCCGTCCCCCGGTTCCTCCCTTGATGATATTGTCTTTACCTCAGACCCGTTCTGTCCCTCCCACACCTGCGATCCTACCGCCGCTGCCGCTTACCCCAGCTTTTATGCCTACCGGGTGGCAGCGGCGTGCGTCTGTGCCAAGGCGCTAAAAGTCTTTCTTAGGCTCGTGCACTCGCCGAATCTGTTCTTCTCTAAGTCGCTAGCAACAGACCTGCAGAGGGGTTTGGAGGCGCAGTTTGGGTGGGAAACCGGGCAGGCGTGGATTCGGCAGGTTCGGACGAAAAGGGACGGCTCTCAGCTGCTGGAGGTTTTGATTTTTCTGCCCGGCGGGCAGAAATGGACGGCTGCGATTGTGAATGCAGTGGTGATGAGGTTCGTACGGCATAATGTCTCCATGGGAGTCAGCTACGGGCCGTACCGCTTCGAAGGTTTCGTCTCGCCCATTCCACGTGAGTCTCTTGCACAACCACGTGTGTGTGCGAGCTGGTTGGGGTGGTAGGTGTGCTTGTCAGAACAAGGGGGTGATGAGGTGAGGCAGCGGCATAATGTCTCCATGGGGGTCAGCTACAGGCCATACCGCTTCGAAGGATTCACCTCCCCAATTCCACGTGAGTCTATTGCACAACCATGCATGTGTGCATGTATGTGCGAGCTAGTTGGGGTGGTCGGTGTGCTTGTTAGATCAAGGGGGTGATGAGGTGAGGCAGCGGCATAATGTCTCCATGGGGGTCAGCTACGGGCCGTACCGCTTCGAAGGATTCACCTCCCCAATCCCACGTGAGTGTTGCAGAGTCTGGTGGGTGCGTGTGCAGGTTCCTTAGTTGATGGTTGCTGGTATGTATTCTCATGTGTGCGTGCACGAACAAGGGTGTATGGTGCGGCGTAATGTCTCCATGGGGGTTAGCTACGGGCTGTTCCGGTTTGAAGGATTCACCTCCCCAATTCCACGTGAGTTGTGCAAGTCAGTCAGGTTGGTTTGCGTGCGGGCTGTTTAGTTGCTGGTTTGCTGGCATGTGTTTTTAAGCGAACAAAGGTGGGAAGAAGGGGGAGGGGGTGGAGGCGGTTTGCCCTGTGCTGTACGTCCCACTCTCCCCTTTCATTCCCTCCCCTCTTCTCTCTATCCCCTTCACACTCTCCGCTTTCCCTCTCTCCGGTTTTCTCTCCCATTTTCCCTCTTTCTCAATTCCTCCCATCCCCACAGCGCCACCACCCAACGTCCCTCCTCCACCTCCTCCCGCCCCCTCCAAAACCTCCTCCATCCTCTTCCCCGTCCTCTTCACCTCACTCCTCCTCGTCATCATCCTCCTCCTCTTTCTCTGCTGGCGATCCAACATCTGGGGACGACCCAACAACACCCCCCCCTCTACAGTCACACTCACAACCCTCAAGATCCCAGGGGTGATGAAAGGAGACGAGTGGGAGATAACGATCAGTCCGTCGGATTCGAAGAGAATCAACGGCCGGCAGACGTTCCTGGTGCATGGGGTTTGTTTCTTCAGATACGACGATTTGATTGCGGCTACCGACCATTTCTCGCACGTGATTGGCCACGGATCCTTTGCTGACGTGTACCTCGGGCACCTGGACGAAAGCCTGCTCCCGGAATCAGCCGCTGCGGGGAAAGACAAAGGGCAGGCGAACGGGCAGATTGAAAAGAAGCCGGATGGCGCTCTAGGCAGTGGTGCTGCTGAGATAGATTCCTCTCCTGCTGCTGGTGCTGCTGCTGGTGGTACCGATACTGAAGTTTCCTCCACCACCACTCCTTCGACTGTGAAAGAAGCACCGTTCGACTCGTCCCAAGGGACACCGGTGGCAGTGAAGCGCGTGCGCGAAGCAGCTCTCCGCTCTGACTTCTCCCTCTCCACCTTCATCAACGAAATCAAAGTCCTCTCCTCCATAAGCCACCCCAACCTCGTACCCCTTATAGGCTTCTGCAGGGAAGCGCAGGAGCTCATGCTCGTCTACACCTACGCTCCAAACGGGTCCCTATTCGACAATCTCCACGGCGGGCTGAAAGAGCAAGGCGGGTTGAGGGACTGGGGGAGGAGGATAGATGTGCTGGTCGGGGCGGCGAGGGGGTTGGAGTATCTGCACGGGGGGTTGGAGGTGCCGATTGTTCATTCCGATGTGAAGCCGGAGAATATTCTCATTGCTGCGTCGGGGGAGGGGTTGCTGTCGGATTTTGGGCTGAGTGAGTTCGTGCGGGAGGCTTCGGTGCACACATCTGCTTCGACAATCGTCAGAGTGAAGGGATCCGTGGTGAGTGGGAGGGTATGGTGAGCAGGAGGGGTCTGCTGGTTCATAGTTTAAATGTTCTCATTGCTGCGTCGGGCTGCAGTCGGATTTCGGGCTGAGTGAGTTTGTGCGGGAGGCATCGGCATCAGTGCACACCCCGGCCTCAACAATCGTCAGGGTGATTTGATCCATGGTGAGTGCAAGGGGTATTCCCATACCTTGAAGGTGCTTCCAAAAAAGACCTCGTGCAGGGGTGTACCTTCGAGTCAGACTGAGTGAGTTTGTGCGGGAGACGTCGGTGCACACGCCGGCCTCGACAATCGTAAGAGTGAAGGGATCCGTGGTGAGATGAGTGTGAAGGGTCTGTGGGTGGATGCTTCATTGAGAGGGAGGGGTTGCTTGCACGGGGTTGCTTGCACGGGGTTGCTTGCACGGGGTTGCTTGCACGGGGTTGCTTGCACGGGGCAGCACAGGGTTGCTTGCACGGGGTTGCTTGCACGGGGCAGCACAGGGTTATGTCGGTGCCCGGAGTACTCATCAACAGGGGCGCTCAATTCCAAGTGCGACGTGTACAGCCTTGGGATTGTCATGTCGTTCGTTGAACTCTCTTTTCCGCTTCTCCCTCTCAATCTCCCCGCGAACCCTACCCCACCAGGGTTATGTGTGTCCGGAGTACTCATCAACAGGAGTGCTCAACTCCAAGTGCGACGTGTACAGCCTTGGGATTGTCATCTTGGAGACGCTCACGGGCCTGCCACCTCAGATAGAGGACCAGCACCTTGGGACCTCCACGCACATCCGCGACCTGGTAATGGGGAGGAGAGTGGTTACCAGGTTATGTAGTTACACAGTACCACTGCACAGGCCTGCCACCTCAGATAGAGGACCAGCACCTCAGGACCTCCACTCACATCCGCGACCTGGTAATGGGGAGGAGATTGATTACTGGGTAGGGTAGTTCCATGGTGGCTGCAATGGTTATGTGCAATATCCGTGGCCTGTTCACGTTGCATGGTTGTGCGAAAGCACACAACCAGCACAATTTTTCCCCAACTGCCCCACCACCATCTCCCACAACAGCCCACCCCCTGCAGGTGTCTGCATTGCTACAGAAGCAATAACAGCTTCTTCATCTGCCTCTATGCTTCTCTGATCTTCCGAGGAAACTAAAAACTGCACTGATCCACCACCATTCTCTTCCCTGTGACGTTGTCACCCCCTGCAGGTGTCTGCATTGCTGAGGAAGCACGACAGCGATCCCTCAGCAGTGCTAGACCCTGCACTGCCCTCCAACCTCCCCAAAGTCCCTGCCTGGCGCCTGCTGCAGCTGGCTCTGCTCCTTCCAACTCAACTCACCGCTCTCCCCCTCTCTCGCCCCCTCTCAACACCAAATCAACCCCCTCTGCAGGTCTCTGCATTGCTGAGGAAGCACGACAGCGATCCCTCAGCAGTGCTAGACCCTGCACTGCCCTCCAATCTCCCCAAGGTGCCCGCCTGGCGCCTGCTGCAGCTCGCTCTGCGCTGCACTGCTCCCACCGGACGCGATCGGCCGCACATGGGGGAGGTGCTATCTGAGCTGCTCTTTGTCCAGAACGCAGTGAGGAAATCGTGAGATTGTGATTCGTCGGTGGCAGTGGGTTATCCGCAGGAGTGATGAATCACAGTGATGGGGCATGTGCGGGGAATGTGCTGCTGTGCTATCTGAGCTGAATTGACTTTTGAGGCGCCTCAAATGTGCATGTGGGGAATGTGCTGCTGCTGTGCTATCTGGGCTGAAATGGTGCAGTGCAGAATGTCGAGGGACAGTATGCTGTTCGTAATATAAACTGAATACAGTATGTTTGACTTTTTGAGTAGACTAAAAACGTGCCTGTTCATCAGCTTCTCTCTATTATTGGAAGCTGCCTGCCAGTAGTTTACCGTATCAAGGTGCCAGCTGTCAGGACTGACATGCAGAGTTTCGTTCCTGCTAGTGCAGCTTGTCTATCACCACAGTGCACTAGTTTTATGTAGCTATGTACATGAATAACCATATCACCAGGGCCCAAAATTTCAGGGTAAAACACCCTGATTACCCTGGGGGGGGTGCTTTTTCAGGATTACCCTGCTGAAATCAGGATTGCGAAATAGTTACCCTTCTCTTAAAAGAGCATGTTTTATTTTACCCTGCTAGGTTCTTAGCTTATCCTGGCGAAATCAGGGTTTGCTGTACACTACCCTGTTACCGAATATTTTCTAACGCGAATCAGACCATAGTCCATGTGGTGGTGACAAAACGTACAACACCTCCACAAACACCCGTTGTCGCTCGTGCCCACGCGCATGGAAACTTGCATCGTAGTTGGCGGCACGCCAAGAATCCTCATTCGTTGATTCTGCCGCAGGACTGCCAACAATTATTGATCCTCGTCACTTATCGCCACGCCCACCACCATCACAGCAGAATTGGCTGTCAAGGACAGCTTCAAGCTGTCCTTAACAACAACTTGCAGCCTCAGTGCTGCCTTGCTGGCCATAACAGAGCCTGCCCCGTGGAAGAAACGGCCAGTTGCGTGTGTTGACTTCATGGACTCTGAATGTGCTACTTGTGTATATCATTAAATATAAGTTAACTCACAAAATATATACAGAAATAGGCTTAGCCTAAAACTACCCTGCTCAAATCAGGCTAGTGGTACATTTACCCTTCTGAAAACAAGGTATGAAATTTTTTACCCTAGGGGTCTGGTTAAGGAGGGGCTGGTACCCTGATTCGTAACGGTAGGCCTAAACCAATTTTGGGCCCTACGTATCACCCCGGATAGAAGTGCCGCCTGATCAAAGGCGCCGGCGCTTCTATCTGGAGCTATGCCCTTATGGCCGGTACTCATTTATAAGCGCACCCCTTAGAATGCCTGTACTTTTTATAAGCGCATCCTTTTCCCCCAAGGGGTAGTCTTTCAACTATTTTTTTTTAATCTAAACATTTTTCCCTACACTAACATGATTTCTACACATGCCTTGATAAGAAACGAGGAATGAATGCATTGAGCAGAATGAGGAGTACAAGTAGTAAACCCTAAAGTGTTGTACCCCATATGAACTGCCCCACTACAGCCTACACAGACTATAGCATATATGCCTGAGACACCCCCATAGGCAAAGTGGGGGAGAACAAGTGGTCACAAGACCAGTCAAGCAAAGCAAAGCAAGCTCAGGGTGGATCACAACGTCACCACACAGTCCGAGCACAAGAGCAAGGTCACAAGGCCAGTTCACATGCAAGATCATATATATAAAGGTAAACAAGCAAGTGCAGGTATAGAAAGAGTACAGTACAAACAAGGTCAAGAAGTCAGCAAATGAGGCCAAGTAGGCACAAGACCTAGCATAGTACAGAAGCGCTGATGATCACAAGGCGGAAGGGCCTTGGTAAAGATATCAGCAGTGTTGGCCTCAGACGCCACGTAAGCAAGGCGTATCTGACCACGCTGCTGCAGCTCACGAGCCAGGAAGTAGCGAAGAGCAATGTGCTTCGTTCTGTGCTCCAGTCTGGGCTCCCGACACAAGGCCAGCATGGCCTTGTTGTCTACGTACAGAACTGGAGGAGAACGAGGCGGCTCTCCTAGGTCAGTCAGCAGGTAGGTGAGCCAGCGCAGCTCCTCTGCAGCCATGGCCCCCGCGTAGATCTCAGCCTCACAGCTGGAGGTGAGAACAGAAGACGAGCGGGTAGACCGCCACGAAACAGAGCCGGAGCCAGGGCTGAAGGTGTAACCCTATGACGACCGCTGCAGAGCCTGGTCGTCAGCCCAAGAAGCGTCTACGTGACCTGTGAGAACCACTCGACGTCGCCCTCCAAGCACTAGCCCCATGCCCGACGTACTGCACACGTAGCGTAACACCCTCTTCGCTGCAGCCATGTGCTCTGGTCTGTGTCTCCCAGGAGCAACATAGCGTGCCAAGATGCTAAGAGGGTATGCAAGGTCAGGTCGTGTGCAGGTCATCAGGTACATTAGGCAGCCAACAAGCTCTGGGTACGGGCCACTCGACTCTACGGACTCATCCGAAGGCAGAGCTGACAGCAAGTGGCGAGTAGACAGAGGAGTGGCCTGAGGCGAGGAGTACGTGAAGTCGAAGCGCTGCTGCACCATGTGTGACTGAGTCAAGGTAATGGTGCACTGTGCTCTGTCCCGGGTGATCTGCAAGCCAAGGTAGCTGCGCAGTTCACCCAGGTCTGTGCACGTATGTCTCTTCTGCAGCTCGGACTTCATGTGGGCGAGTCCAGCAGTGTCAGCAGTGGCAATGACCAAGTCGTCGACGTACACAAGGATGTAGAACGGCGGCAGAGAGGTGTCGGTACGCAGAAACAGCGACAGGTCGGCTGTAGAAGGAGCAAACCCAAGAGCCGCAAGTGTAGTCCTCAGTGTGTCGTGCCACTCAGGGGGCGCTTGGCGGAGACCGTAGACTGGCCACCTGAGGCTCCACTGGGTACTAGGAGGAAACGACCCAGTTAAGCCAGGTGGGCGGCGCAGCCAGATCTCCTCGTGCAAGCTGCCCTGCAGGAAAGCTGTGCTGAAGTCAAGAGAGTGAAGCTCGTAGTCGCACTGAGTGGCTATGTGCAGCAGCACCCGAAGAGTGGTCATCTTCGGGGTGGGAGAGAAGGTCTGAAAGTAGTCAACTCCCTGCCGCTGACTAAAGCCTCGAGCCACGTAACGCGCCTTGAAGACAGGCGGAGAACCCGGCGGCCGCTTCACCCTGAAAATCCACATGCCACTGACGATGTTCGCCCCAGGTGGGGGAACCTCGTCGACGTAGGTGCCTGTGGACTTCCAGGAAGCCATCTCTGCGTCCATGGCTGACTGCCACTGAGAGGAGTAGGGACCCTCAATTGCCTCAGCGTACGATGGAGGAGTCGGGATGTCTGGTGCATCCGGGTCTCCCTCAGGGGCAATTAGCGTGGACACGAGATGAGGCAAAGCAGCAGCAAAACACTGGAACTCCTCCTGCCTGTCCTCAAGGACGTCCGCGCTAAGAGCACACCCACCCACGACAGACGGAGGACAGACAGACTCAGACTCAGCAACAAGACTAGTGGCGTAGTCTAGACGACAGCGAACAGTGAAGTTGACAAGCTCAACCACTAAGGCAGACGCAGCAGTGGACTCAAAGGAAGGGTCAGTGACAACAGTGGCCAGGAGACGCGTGAGAGTAGGACTGGCAGCACGAAGAGAGTCGGACTCAGGGTCAGGAAGGACAGGAAGAGAGGACTCTGGAGGAGACGGCAACGGGACACGAAGGGGAGCAGTGGAAGGATGTAGTGCCATCCGGTGTGTGCCTGGAACCGCAGGAGGACGCGGACGCGGAACATGACGACTAGTGCGAGTAGTGCGAACAGGCGACGCAGGAAGAGACGCAGGCTCACGACGCTCAGCAAGACCTCCAGTAGGACCAGTGTAGGGAGAAGGAGCAGGAAGAGGGGAGGCGGGCTGTAACTGTGACTACGACTTGACGGGCAGTGGACACTCTAAGGGAGGAGCACGACCAGTAGAGGGCGGGATACCAAGAACTTTCTCAAGGAGCGGAACGAAGTACAGCCTAGGCCTCGTAGCGCCTCTAGAAGCTGCAGGGACGGCACCAGTACCCCCAGCAGCAGCACCAGCGCCAGCAGCACCTCCAGCTCCAACAGCGCCAGCTCTAGCACCCTCAGACGCACCAACGCCAGCAAAATCATCAACGCCAACACCCCCAGTAGCTCCAGCTCTAGCAGCTCCAACAGCATCCCCAGTCCCAGCAGCTCCAGAACCGCCGGTACGAGCACCTCCGAAACCAGCAGCAACAGTAGTGCCTCCAGCTCCAGCAGCACGGCTCCAGCGCCGGGCAAACCACTCGCGCACCTCCTGCGGAGAGAGTGGCTCCCGCCTCGACGAAGCACTGCTGGCGGCCACACGAGCAGACCCAGCACCCCCAAGCTCCGCACCCCCAGGCTCCGCACCCCCTGACTCAGCACCCCCAGGCTCAGCACCTCTAGACTTAGCACCCCCAGGCTCAGCACCCCCAGTCTCAACACCCCCAGGCTCAGCACCCCCAGAATCAGCACCCGCAGGCTCAGCACATCCAGACCCGGCACCCGCAGGCTCAGCACCTCTAGCAACACCAGAGTCAACAGCTACCTCGAGAGGCTCGAATGCGTCTACCTGGGACACACCTGACGGGGCAGGACCCTGAGGGGGGAGGGGGTCTAGCGGGGGAGGACCTGGCACAAGGAAGAGTGGCGGCAGGGGAAGGGGCGCAGCGCGGTAGGGGAAGAGACGGTAGTAAGGCACCGACTCGTCAAAGGTGACGTCCTGGGAGGACAGAACACGGCGCGAGGTGGGGTGGTTAAATTGCCAACCAGGCGCGTCAGGGGGGAAGCCAAGGAAGACGCAGGGAACAGCACGGGGGGACAACTTGTCTGCACACAAGTCGCGGACAAACGCCCGAGATCCCCAGACCCGAAACGCAGACGCATCGCCAACCTTCCCCGTCCACCGCAAGGTGGGGGAAGTGTTTGGCAAGGAGATCCGGGGCTGAAGGTTGAGCTGATGCGCCGCGTACTGGACCGCAAACGGCCACAGAAAATGGGGGGCAGCCGCATGGAACATGGACGTACGAGCGACGTCCATGACCATACCAATGCGGCGCTCAGCAATCCCATTTTGCTGTGGAGAGGCCGGAAGCATGAAGGGTCTGGCGGATGCCCTGTGCACGACAGAAGGCTCCCAGACGGGCAGAGGAAGACTCCCCGCCTCCGTTAGAGTGCAGACGCAGAACAGGAAAGTCCGAGCCGAAACTCTCTCTGAGTTGGAGACAAGCTGCGCGGATCCAGTCAAGCAACACCTCAGTGACGTCACCCTTGCTGCGCAAGGGGAAGACCGTGGTGTAACGCGAGTAGTCGTCAACCACCAACAGGAAGTACCGCTCGTGCCCCTGGCCACGGACGCGGGCGGGCCCCACACGTCCATGTGAAGAGTCCGCAACGGAGCCTCTGTCGGAGGAAACTCGGAGGAGTGAGGGGCGGCGCGCTGTCGCCCCTCGACGCAGGGGACGCAGGTAGGGGCAGGTCCCGGAGGTAGGGGAGGGAGAGACCGGGGGAGACCAGAGACAAGGACACGAGAGGCCATGCCTCGGAGACGAGGCAGAGAGGGGTGACCAAGGCGGTGGTGCCAAAGGAGAGTCTGGTGAGACAGGAGACAACACTAGCAGGGAGCAGACTCAGGACTAGACCTGGACGCTGCAGCAAACACCTGATCAACGAAGCGACCTGACCAGGCTCAGCAGTCGGAGGAGACTCAGTAGTGAGGGTCTACAGGCTCGACCCCAGCCGACGGGTAAACGTGGCCAAGTGTCGGCCTGTTCGAGCACACGTGCAGTGGGTCACCCGCTGTCTGGCAGGAGTGAACTGGTCAACCCCCCTATCCTGTAGATCAGCTCCACTCACCAAGTTCGTAGAGAACGAGGGGAGGGAGAGAACTAACAGGGTGCCAGAGGGGGCTGCCGGACACGGTAAGACAGTGGAGAAGCGAGCAAGGACAGGACCCCCAAAGGGGTCTGCCAGGGAGACCGCAACCGGCCGACTAAGCGGCGTAAGTGTGGTGCAGTCGCGAAAGAAGGAGTGGGAAGCACCCGAGTCAAGGGTGAAGGTGTGTAAGGCCTGAGCCGACGTGGTACCTAAGAGGGTAGACTCACCAGCACCTGGGGCAGCAGACGCGCTAGCACCTAGAGCAGCAGCCTCACCAGCACCTAGAGCAGAAGTCTCAATGCCCGGGTCAGGCGGAATACACAGGTAACAGTCACCCTCAACACTATCAGCAACAGCATACATGGCAGCAAGAATAGCATCAAAATCAAGATCAAAGATAGCAAACCCCGCCCTAGACAGCTCTCCCCAGCGAGGGATCTCAGAGGCCTCTGGGAACTGGTGCCGCCACGCGTCCGTCAGGCGGCCGAAGCAGCGCTGGGTGGAGTGCGGGCCTCCGCACTGCTCACCAGCGCGGTCGCTGGTATGGAGAACGTAGGTGCAGGGACCAGTACTCCCACCGCGCTGACGGGCAGCGTACCACTCACGAAGCTGCTGAGGGGACAAGGTCTCGCGGCCGCACTGCTGTTGCTGGCGCGGACCACCACCGGAGCCACTCCTCTTTGCAGAGCCGCGACCAGGTCCACTGCTGTCGCCGCCGCCTCCGCCACCTTCGCCGCCTCCGCCACCTCCGCCGCCTCCGCCCCCTCCGCCGCCTCCACCGCCTCCACCGCCTCCGCTCCCTCCGCCACCGCCGCCGCCTCCTCCGCCTCCACTGCTGCCACCGACACCTCCACCCCCGCCACCACTACCACCACCACCCCCACCCCCTCCATTGCCCCCACCACCACCTCCACCGCCCCCGCTAGCCCCTCCAGCGCCCTTGCCCCCCTTGCCCTTGCCTGTGCGGCGTCTCCCGCTCGGGGCAGACGCAGCGCCGACCGACTCGAAACCAGCGAGGTGTGTGGCGATCGAGTCGCTGCTGTGGCTCTCCCACGTGGTGCAGGCAGCACGGCAGCGCTTCACGGCAGCACATCAGCAGAAGCAACAGAGGGCAAGAGGGGGGAGGGGGAACACCCCTCAAAGAGGGGGGTGCGAGGGTCACCACAAGAGGCTCCTACAGCGACTATGGCCCTCTCTGCTGCTAGGAGGCGCTCCTCGAGGAGGTCAACGGTGAGTGTGGTGGGGCAAACTGAGAGGAAGTGGTCCCTGACTAAGCGAAGGGAGTCAGGGAGGCGGGTGACTATGTAGTAGAGGGTGATGTATATGGGGGGGGGGGGTTCTTGGCACAGAACTCAGCAGGAAGCGCAGCGCGGTAGCGAATGTCACTAGTGCGAAGGTGAGTGATAAGGTCAGCGACTGTGGGAAAAGCAGCAAGGTCAGGGAACAGGTACGGCAGCATGAGGCGGCAAAGAGCAGCAGTGGCAGGGGAGGAGTAGCGTGCAACTAGAGCGTCGTACAAGGTCTTAGCACTCTTGTACTGGCTAAAGTGCGCACGCTGAGCGGCCGGTAAGTGGCGACGCACAGCAAGGCGAGCAGCAGTATCGCGCGTGGCCCACTGTGAGCGAACAGTGCTGTCAGAAGTAGCAGGCGGGGCGGGATAGACACCAGAGGTGAGATCGAACAGAGAGAGTCCGCCTGCCCTATCGCACTGAAGAAACAGCTGGAGGTCATCGACCCAGACCTCAAAGTCAACGGCACGGCCCTCAGCATCAAAAGTAAGGACACCCGGGGTAGCCATGACTGCAGTGGCCTAGTAAGGAGTGACCTCACCAGTAGGAACAGCAGCGGCTCGACAGTAGGGCGGCTCGGCGGCCCGACGGCGCGGCGGCTGGGCGGCTCGGCTGCTGGGCAGCTCGGCTGCTGGGCAGGTGGGCGGCTCGGCTGCTGGGCGGCGCGGCTGCTGGGCTGCTCGGCTTCTGGGCTGCTTGGCGGCTCGGTCGCTGGGCGGCTGAGCGGTGACAGGGCCGGTAGAGGCGGCGACTTGGCCGCTTGGGGAGGGCGACGGGGCCGCAGGTGATGGCGACGGGGCCGCAGGTGGCGGCGACGGGGCCACAGGTGGCGGCGGGGTGGCCGCAGGTGACGCCGACGGGGCCGCAGGTAATGGCGACGGGGCCGTAGGTGGCGGCGACGGGGCCGCAGGTGGCGGCGACGGGGTCTCAGAGGGGTCGCAAGGGGCCTAGACGGGGCCGCAGAGGGGCCGCAAGGGGCCTAGACGGGGCCGTAGAGGGGCCGCACGGGGCCTAGACGGGGCTGCAGAGGGGGCCGCAAGGGGCCTAGACTAGGCAGGCGACGGGACCGTAAGGGACCCAGACGGGGCGGCGACAGGGCCGTAAGGGGCCTAGACGGGGCGGCGACGGGGCCGTAAGGGTTCTAGACGGGGCGGCGACGAGGCCGTAAGAGGTCGTAAGGGCGCCGCGAGGGGGGCTGACGGGCGTCGCGAGGGGCCGTAAGGGGCCGTAAGGGCGGCGCGAGAGGCCGTAGAGGGCGGCGCGAGGGGCCGTAAAGGGCAGCGCGAGGGGCCGTAAGGGCGGCGTAAGGGGCCGTGAGAGGGGCCGCTAAAGGCGAAGCGAAGGGGCCGTGACAGGGCGCGACGGTAGGGAGGGTATACAGAGCGTGACTCGGGCAGGAGCGAAGCGCGCTCCGGGCAGGAAAAAAAATATCGTGGTGGGCCCTAGGAATCGTTCCCACTAGGGAACCTGCTCGATACCATGATAAGAAACGAGGAATGAATGCATTGAGCAGAATGAGGAGTACAAGTAGAAAACCCTTAAGTGTTGTACCCCATATGAACTGCCCCACTACACCCTACACAGACTATAGCATATATGCCTGACATGCCTCTCTACCACTAATCTCTTTACACATTAAGAATTACACCCCTAACTAGAAATCTACTCGTCGTCAGACTCCAGCTCCTCGCAGTTGTTGCCAAAGAAGCCGTTGGCGACGATCTCGTCATCGACGTCGACCTCGCGGGTCAGCTGGCTCCGCCTGTGCGCCATGGCAAGGTTGTCCTCACTGCCGTCAAGCGCGTTGCTGATGCCATAGGTGAGGAACGCCTTCTTGATCAGCTCTAGTGGCACGGCCTTCCAGGCCCGTGAAATCCACCTGAGCACCACCGCAGGGGGGGGCTTCTTGATGTTCCCTGCACCACAAGTCAGAGTGTGGGAGATGCCGTTGCACAAGATACACCGGGAAACGAAGCAGCTAGAAAGGGATAAAAGGTGGGGTTCTTACCTGCAGGAGTCAGCCGCTCCTGGTCGTCCTCTTCAAACCTGGTCCGGTACTGCTGGCGGATGCTTGCTTTGAAGGACTTGTTGATCGAGACGTCCAGGGGTTGTACCTCCGTCGTACAGCCCGACGGGATCACCGCCGGAACGATGTGGAGGTCAACGAATTTCTCCTTCACTTCGTCCGTCAGATGACTGCGGTAGGAGTCAAGGACAACCATGGCACTCCTCTCCTGCCTGCCGAACCGAGGCCGGATGAAGGGCTGTACGCACTCCTCGAGCCAGCGCATGACGCCGTTGGCGTCCATCCAGCCATTCGGGTGCACCGCCACGACCACATCTGCGATATCACAGACAGCCAAGAAACAGTCGTCATTATCACGACTGGAAAACCAAACAATTGCGGACCGTGGTGTGTTCTTACCTGGCGAGAAGTCACCCTTCGGCACCGTCTTGCGCTTGAAAAAGACCCACGGCTTGAGCTTCTCGCCGTCTGCCGTGCACGCCAGCATCACACTCACGCATTCCTTCTGGTAGCCCCCGCTCCTGATGGGCACTGAGCAAACGCCCGTCTCCTCCACAGTCGTCGTGGTGGGCATCTCCAGCCACAGCGGCGTCTGGTCGGCGTTGATAATCCAGCGGGTTTCGATGCCGTGCTCACGCCGCTTGTCACGAACGTACTGCCAGAAAGACTGGCACTGCGCCGCGACGTCTGCGCACACACGGACAATGTTAAGAGGCACTGGTTAGTCAACGGCTGTAAATAAAAAACACAACAACTACACGGTGCTATAATTTGACACTTATGCTCGGCGGTCTTCTGGGCAATTCTCGTCTTCATGCGCACGCTCAGATTCCAACGTTTCCAAAACCGCTCCAACCACCGCTGGCTGCCCTTCCACTTTACATCGGGGAACAAAACCTTCATGTACTCCTTCGACCACTCCTGTAGGCGACCAACGGAGAGGGGAGTTCCTTTGCGGCGCCACTCAAGAAGCCTCGCGTAGACTTTCAGCTCCATCGGCCTGTACCACGATGACCTCCCGCGCCCATGCATCCGCTTCCGTGCTGAGTGCGCTTCCTTGAGCATGGCGGCGGCTTTCTTCCATTCCGCGAGACTCTTGCGGTGGATTCCAGACTCTCGCGACAACGACCGCATCGACACGGCCACATCCATGCGCCCAATCCACTGCAGCTTCTCCTGCACGGTATAAGCGTTGCGCTTATGCTGCGACGGCTTGTGCCTGGGAGAGGGGGGGCGGGAATCACGGTTCTCAGAAGAGGGGTGGGGGCGTTTGCGGTTAACCGGAGGAAACGTAGGAATAGGGAGCTTCTCGGGAAGTCCGTCGCGCGACCAATACTCCACACCGTCGTCGTCCTCGCCGCCTGGGGCACCCTCGGGAAACACATCTGCCGCGTTGCCGGCCTCGGCGTCGGCCTCGACTTCAGACGGGACCCCTGCGGCAGAGATTCAGATTCGTTTTGGGCCACCCTTAGTAATCAGGGTTCTAGGTATAGTCAACCCTGGTGCTTCGGGTAAAATTTTTGTTTCCCTGACAAATGCAGGGTAAAAAAACGGTTAGTCTGTTTGGGCAGGGTATTCTAAAAAAATTGTGTATATTAAAAGTGCCAAAACACCCAATTTCAATGGCTAGTAGTTCGGCTGGGTTGATGGCACATTAGATCTGGAAGATCGCAGCTTCGAATCTCGCTAATGAGATCATTTTGTAGGGACCTGTATAGTGTTTCGTCTTGCTACGGAGCACTCGGTGCCAGTATAGCTGGGATTGTACAATGTACAGTCAGAGTAATGTGCTCCTTATGCTGTTTTTTAAAGGGTATTGAAAAACTTACACTTTCTAGCCTAGGGTAAAAAATCCACTACCCTGCCTGTAAAAGGGTAACAGAAAAAAAAGCGGCCGTCAGTCCGTGCAAAAAGGGTATTTTACCATGATAACGAGAGGCCTGCCCTGCGGGGAAGCGGCTCGCCCTCCTCGTCAATGATAGACGGGTAACCCCACAGCCTGAACCCGCAGAGGATGAAAATGGGCGGCACACATGCTGCGGTGGCGGGGAATATTCGACCCCCTTCTAGAGGGATCGGCTGAGCTGCCCCTGCCTGGCATCGCATGACAGGGGATTGGGCTGCATGGCAGCTTCCGAGTCCGCGTTGGCAGATGCGTTGCTCCGGGACAGGATTTGTGCAGTGGGAAATCGAGTTGCTTCTGTTTTCGCTTGCATTTCATGCACGAAACCGACGCGAACGTTTGATGGGCGAATTCGCCTTAATGAGAGCTTCGATTTGGTACCCTTACAAACAAAACTCATTTTTTTTCCGTTTAATAAGCGCATGCTCTTATGCCCTTTCCTCAATTACAAGCGCCCCCCCTAAAAAAGTCAATCTTATTATAAGCGCATATGGGCTACTGTCCGGGGTGATACGGTACTCATGAATGCCTGCCAGGGGACACGCGCTTGCACAGCAAGATGATATGATGCATGATCCTACATCATGCTTACACTGTCCACTCATTCAGAGCCCCCATGTTCCGTAGTTCGTGCAAAATAGGGAGGCATCAAGGAGAAACAAATCCCGATTGATCTAGTACGTGGGTCAGGAAGAACTATTTCCAGACCCAAAGATAAAACAACACACACAGCAGGGTGGAATCAACATAGAGAAAAATCAACACAGGGCAGATCAACTTGACAGGTTTGACAGGTTGTTGTGCCGATCATGCCGTCACCACCACAGGTTTAAGCACGGGAAAGAGCTCAAGAGAAGCCTTCTCCTTCTCTATATCCCCCACCTCAACAACCACCTGCCCTTCCCTCCATCCCCCACCCTTCCCATTCTTCACGGCCTTTCCAGCCTTTCCAGCTGCCTCTTTTCCTGTCTCCCCAGTGCTCACCTCACTCCTCTCCTTCCACTTGCCTGCTCCCCACACGTGCACCAGCACGCGCCGTCCAAGCACCTTCCCTCCACCATCCCCATTCCCATCCCCCTTATAAGCCTCCACGTTACCTGCCTCCAATGCACCGGCCTCTCCGTTCTCGCCCATAATGCTGTCCTTGTCAGCGCCGTCCCCCCCATCGCTGTCGGCGCCAGCTGTCATGCTGATGTGGCGGTCGAACCATGCACACAGCTCGGCAAGCGTGATGTTGCAGAGCGCCACAGCCTCCAGCTGGCGCGAGTTGAAGAGCGAACTGGGGTGAAGGTGGGGGGGGAGGAGGGTTTGGGGAAATGGGGTTTTGGGGGAAAGGAGGGTGTAAGATTACCCAATCATGCAGCTCAGCTCAGCATGCAAGCGTGATGTTGCAGAGGGCTACAGCCTCCAGCTGGCGCGAGTTGAAGAGCGAACTGGGGGAATGTCGCAGCAATGGTGGGTGGTAAGTGGAGGGGATGGGGGAGAGGGGGAAAAAAAAGGGGGGGGAGATGGGGAAGAGAACAGTGTGGAATGCAATCATACAGGGAGCTTTGGGACCTTTTTCAAATATACCTCGCACAGCTTGAAAAAATACAGGAAAATGCGGAAAATGGAAAAACTGGGGTTCACCTGCCCTCCCAGATTTGCTCCCAGTAGCGGTGCGTTTCATCCCCCAGTGTGTGGTCCTTGCGCATCTTCAGCACCTGCAGGGCCGCCCTGTGCGCCCTGAAATCAGCTTCGGGCAGGGCGCTCTGAAGTTAGAGAGAGAGGGAGAGACATGGAGAGATGGGGAGAGAGGGCGAGGGAGGGAAAGCTAGTGAGAAGGGGAGGAGGCATCTTGATAACCTGCAGCGCTGCTCTGTGCGCCCTGAAATCAGCTTCGGGCAGGGCGCTCTGCTGCGGAGACGGAGAGGGAGGGAGGAAAGGGCAAGAGAGCGTGAGAGTGAGTAAGTGAGCAGGGAAGGGCGCAGCTTGAGCACCTGCAGCGCTGCCCTGTGCACCCTGAAATCTGCCTCGGGCAGGGCGCTCTGAGGGGCGGAGAGGGAGAGGGAGGGAGGAAAGGGCAAGAGAGCGCGGGCAAGGAGGGTGGACAAGAGAGCATGAGCAAGTGCATGCGCTCTGGGAAACAGGGGTGAGACAGGAAGTGGGGAGAGAGAGAGAGGGAGCTAGGGAGGGAGCTAGGCCCACTTGTGGCTGACTGCATCCAAGTAAAGAAGTAAAATACCTTGGAAGTTGCTTGTGAGTATTCTGACACAAGCCAAAGGCAGCTTGTCATCTCAACAGGTGCGTGCAGTACTTACCAGGTTATCTCGGAAGGTGGTGAGGAGAGGACGGAGTCGACTCGTTGCTGCAAGTATTCCGGGCCGTGGTCAGCCGATTGCAGAAACCACAGCCGTCACCACAGCAGGTTCTTACCAGGTTACCGCGGAAGGTGTTGAGGAAGGAGTCAACGCGCTGCTGCAAGTATTCCGGGCCGTAATCAGCCGACCGCACGCGGATGCAGAAGCCAAAGACAGCACTTTCATTCAAATACAGTTGTCACCACAGCAGGGCTCCTACCAGGTTATCGCGGAAGGCGTTGAGGAAGGAGTCAACTCGCTGCTGCAGAAATCCGGGGCCGTAATCAGCAGACTGCACGCGGATGCAGAAGCCAAAGACGCCGTGTGTGAGGCGGGTGCCGCAGTCCACGCGGTACCCCAGCTGCTCCTTGGTGCGCAGCGTGTCAAAGAGCGGCTCTGACATGACCTGCGGTGTGCAATAAGGATGAATGAGGGAAACATGAGAGACGTATGTGGGAATGCATGAGAGATGGACGGGATGGAGAAAACTACTCGATCCCACCCCAAAAAAGAAAGAAAGAAAGAAAAAAACTTCCGGAAGCGAGGTGATTTGAGTGCCGCATTTTCCTCTGTACCCCACATTCATAGATGGCTTATGAACAAAACAAATGAGCAGACTCCTCTTCCTCACCTGCTCAAGTAGATCCACCAGTGATCGGTCTCGGATGGACGCCCTGCCTTGGTCCTGACAGGCCTGGTAGTACACCTGATGTGATGTGATGGGGGTCGGGCAAAAGGGGAGCGGATTGACAAAATTTGAGGACTGCACGCACGGCACAGCAGGCCTGTAAGACCTACTTTATACCCAAATCTCTGGACCAGACATTTAGGTGGGACCTGCTCCACCCCCATCTGCCCCACTTTCACCTACCTCACTCCTACCTGCCCCTCACCTCGACTGCAGAATTCTCCTCGGCCGGGTTCCCCACGGGGCTCTCGACCAACAGGGACTTGCCACATGGCAGCTGCAGGCAGCGCTCTGAAGGGAGGTCCAGCAGCGGAGGGGAGGGCACCGGGAGGGTGTCTGTGACGGCTGAGGCGAGCGCTAGTGCGTCCTCCTCTGTTGCATTCCCGTGAATCAGCATTTCTATGTATGTCTGGTGGAAAAAGTGGGGAGTGGGTGTAGAAGGGGGATGGAGGGGACGGCACCGGGAGGGTGTCTGTGACGGCTGAGGCAAGTGCTAGAGCATCCGGTTCTGTCGCATTGCCGTGAATGTGCATTTCTATGTGCGCCTGGGAGCGAGGCAAGGTGGCGAGTGGGGGAAAAAGGGGGACAGACTTGAGTGAAGTGAAGGCTCGCAGCCTTCAATCACCGGTGGGTTTCAAAGCTCAATCCTTACCATGCCGGGCTCGTTGCCTCCAACAAGACTCAAGTGAAGTGAAGGCACCAATAGGGCTGAAGCGGTTCAGGCGGGGATGGTTCAGGAGGGCACACGTAGCAGCCTTCAATCACTGATGGGTTTCAAAACTCAATCCTTACCATGCCGGGCTCGTTGCCTTTAACAAGTCTCACCCGCGAGAAGAGCACCCGCAGGAACTCGTTCAGATCGTCCACCTCGCACGCAGTTAGCGCCGATAGCTTGTCCGGGATGGTCCAGGCGGGGGTGCGCAGCAGCAGCAGACTGCAAAACCCAATCAGTATCGTGTTGCATCTAACAAAACTTACCCGGGAGAAGAGAGTCTGCAGAAAGGCGTTCAGATCGTCCACCTCGCACGCAGTTAGCGCTGATAGCTTGTCCGGGATGGTCCAGGCGGGGGTGCGCAGCAGCAGCAGGCGGAGATACGCCGAGTGCTTGAGGGGCTTTAAGAGCGCGTTGCGGTACGCGCGGCACCGCTCCTCCTTGAGCGCGCTGAAGCGGTCGGCCGCCGCCCGGAACATGCTGATGTGGCGGAAGATGCGGGCGGCGAGCGTCGGCAGCTTGTGGCTGAAGCCCGTGATGCGGATCTCGATCTTAAAGCCCTGCACGGCCATGTTCGTGTCTAGCTTGGCCACACTCGCCTGCAAAAGGGAGGAGGGGAGAAAAGGGAGGGGAATTGGGGAAAGGGGGTCAAGGTGGGGATGTTAAAGCCCCGGACGGCCATGGAGGTGTCTAGCTTGGTTACACTCGCCTGCAAAGGCGGGGAGGTGGAAGGAAGGAGGGTAGATAGAGGATGTAACATGATGGGGCGATTTGCAGAGTATGCACGCATTGACATGCAAAGATACCCAGACAGGCAGAAAGACACACACACAGGCACGCCAAAGCCTCACCAGGTAGAGGGTCTCGTTTAGAGAGTCTTCGATAAGCTTCACAGCCAGCTCAGTGAGGGCGGCGGAGCGGGGAGAGTCGCAGGCGTGAGGGGAGGAGAGGGCGAAGTGGGCGTTGAGGCGCGGCGAGCGGAACACGTCGTCCTGCTTGAACCACACCTTGCACCGCCCCGCCTCCTCCCTCACCACCCGCGGCACACTGGGTGCACTAGGCGCACTGACAGCACTGGGAGTGGTCCCGTTGAGGGGATCACTGCTGTTGGTGGCAGCAGCCGTGGTGGTGCTGGCGGTGGCGGTGGTGGCAGTGGTGGTGGTGGTGGTGGTAGCAGAGGCGGCAGCAGTGGAGGAGGGGCGGAGGGAGAAGTCGGTGGGGATAAACTCGTTGGGGGGAGGCATGCGCAGGTCGGGGCTGAGCCACGTGTCGCTCGCCCATTGGTCCAGGAGAGCCGGGGAGAGCAGGGTTGTGGTGTAGGGCACATCGAACCACGGCTCCTTGAGAATACCTGTAGCATGGGAGAGAGGTATAGAAGTTAGTGAATCTGTTCTGGTACGTCCCGAAACGAATTCACTATCGCCTGGTTGTGGTGTAGAGCACTCCGAACCACGCCTCCATTGAAATGCCTGAGGGAGATAGGGAGGGAGAGAGAGGCATAGAGTGGGATCAATGAGTGAGTAAGCGATGAGCGCGAGAGGGAGGGAGCAGAGACGACAGAGAGGGTAGAGAGGGCAGCAAGGCCTGAAGCCTAGGCCCTATAAGAACACGCGCTCACCTTCTCTGGTGTGGTCGAAGGAGTGAGTGAGCAGGTCCAGGCGCACGGACTGTGGCGAGAGCAGCGAGAGCAGGTAAGCGATGCGGTCAGGGTCCCACTTGTCATGAATGTAGTCCCCTGCTATCACATGCCGCTTGGGGTAGTAGAACATGTTGCCTGGGAGGGAAAGGGGAGCAGTGAGAGCAGAGAGAGCAGGAAGAGAAGAGAGTGCAGGTAGGCAATGCGATGGAGTTCCCACTTGTCGTGAATGTGGTCCCCTGCTGTCACATGCCGCTTGGGGTAAGTTGCCTGGGAGGGGAGGGGGGGGGGGCAGGGAGCAGAGGGAAGAAGATGTGATCCCTTGCAATGACGCGCTTCTTGGGGTAATAGAACATGTTGCCTGGGGGGGCCAGTGAGATAGGGGAGGGTGGAGGGGAAGAGGTAGCAGGGTAGAAGCGAGAGTAGCAAGAGCAGGTAGGCGATGATGCGATGGGGGAGGGGGTCCCATTTGTTGTGAAAGTAATCCCGTGCTATCACAGGTGCTATCACAGGTGCTATCACAGGTGCTATCACAGGTGCTATCACAGGTGCTATCACAGGTGCTATCACAGGTGCCATCACAGGTGCTATCACAGGTGCCATCACAGGTGCTATCACAGGTGCCATCACAGGTGCTATCACAGGTGCCATCACAGGTGCTATCACAGGTGCTATCACAGGTGCTATCACAGGTGCTATCACAGGTGCTATCACAGGTGCTATCACAGGTGCTATCACAGGTGCTATCACAGGTGCTATCACAGGTGCTATCACAGGTGCTATCACAGGTGCTATCACAGGTGCTATCACAGGTGCTATCACAGGTGCTATCACAGGTGCTATCACAGGTGCTATCACAGGTGCTATCACAGGTGCTATCACAGGTGCTATCACAGGTGCTATCACAGGTGCTATCACAGGTGCTATCACAGGTGCTATCACAGGTGCTATCACAGGTGCTATCACAGGTGCTATCACAGGTGCTATCACAGGTGCTATCACAGGTGCTATCACAGGTGCTATCACAGGTGCTATCACAGGTGTGTTTTGAGTGGACTCAAAACATGTCTCTTGGGGTTGTAAATCATGTTGCCTGGTGGAGGGGGAGGAACGGGGAGGAATGGAGGGAGAAGGGGAAAGTGAAAAGGAAAAGATGGACCCATATGTACTCCACTGCGATCACACGTCGTGTTTTCAGAGTCGACTTAAAACCAGGAAGGGTAAGGGGAAAGGGGTAGGTAGGGAGCAGATGGACCAGAACGTTATTCCCTCCCCTGATATCACATGTCATTTCACCCCTCTACGAGTTGTCTTTTGAGTCGACTCAAAAGTCAACTTGAGGGAGCAGATGGACCAGAACGTTATTCCCTCCCCTGATATCACATGTCATTTCACCCCTCTACGGTGGCCCATCTTTTCCAGTCCCAGTGACAGCAACGTACCTGCCAATCTGACAGCGTATTCATCAGGAAAGTCCTCCTCGGTGAATCGCAGGTCCATGGCAGCGATGGCCTGCAGCTCCTCAAACATCCACCGCTGGGAAGGGGGGGGGAGAGCAGCCACGGCACGGCCACACTGGACAACGTTCTAGCCCTGTGTCCCATCCTTGAGGTGCCTCAAAAATCCACCCACGGACTGACCTGCCAATCTGACGACGTACTCGTCAGGCGATTCCTCCTCGGCGAATCGCAGGTCCATGGCAGCGATGGCCTGCAGCTCCTCAAACACCCACCGCTGGGGGCGAGTGAGAGATGCACCTTCCAATCCGCCTGCCAGCCCCACCCAGCACATGAAAGAACCTACCCGCGAGCCTGACGGCGTATTCATCAGGAGAATCCTCCTCGGCGAATCGCAGGTCCATGGCTGCGATGGCCTGCAGCTCCTCAAACACCCACCGCTGGGGCGGGGCCAGGCGCAGCATGGTGATGTACTGGAACACCGTTCCTACAACGTCTAGCACCTGGTGGGGGTGAGGTAAGGGGGGGAAGTGGTGTGAAGGGACGGGAAAGAGTGAGGCAATCAGAGGGTTCAAACACCCACCGGTGCGGCGGGGCCAGGCGCAGCATGGTGTTGTACTGGAACACCGTTCCTACAACGTCTAGCGCCTGGTGGGGGTGAGGTAAGGGGGGGAAGTGGGGTGAAGGGACGGGAAAGAGAGAGGCAATAAGAGGGTTCAAACACCCACCGCAGGGGCGGGGCCAGGCGCAGCATGGTGATGTACTGGAACACCGTTCCTACAACATCTAGCGCCTGGTGGGGTGGGAGACGGTGTGTGCGGGGAGGTGGACAGCAGGTAAGAGAGTGCGGTAACTGCAGCACTGCCTGGCGCAGCATGCTCATGTACTGGTGGGGGCGGCGGGAGGTGGAAGGGAGAGACCGAGAGGAGCTCGAAGGGATGGAGAGATAGAGGAGGTACCCAAATGAAACCGGAAAAATGATATATATATATATATATATATATATATATATATATATATATGTAACTTTGACAACACAAGCGAGACTCACGTGTTTGAGCCTATCATTGGAGAGTGTGATTGACCAAGAAAGCAAGCAAGTGACGAGGCCAGGTGCTTCAGATTTGTCTTCTCCGAAAATAGTATCTCGTAACAAGCAAGAAGCAGGACTCACGTGCTTGAGGCTATCATCATCATCGGAGAGAGCGTGACTGAGAACCGAAGCAAGCAAGCAAGCAAGCAAGCAAGCAACCCCAGCGAGACCAGGAGGTTCAGAAAAGAAAAAAATCCTTCTCGGAGAAACAAGCAGGACTCACGTGCTTGAGGCCATCGTCAGAGAGTGTGATTGTAACGGTGAAGACAAAAGCGAGGGAGCTCTTCTCATACCCGCTCTCCCCCACCCCCGCTGCCAGCTCCGTCGCCCACCCCTTGGCCTTGAGCAGAGATAGCAGACTGCCACTGCCCTCTGTGGAAGGGGAAGAGTGTGAATGAGGGAGGAACAAAAGAGGGTGATGAAGGAGGGATGGAGGAAGAAGAGCCAGCTCCGTCGCCCACCCCTTGGCCTTGAGCAGCGATAGCAGACTGCCACTGCTCTCTGTGGGGGGGAAGAAGAGAGGGCGATGTGGGAGGGACGGAAGAGGGTGACGATGAAGGGAGGCACGGCACTTTTCAGGAGCCTCAGAAGTCAAGGACAGATCACAAGGGAGATCATCAAGGACAGATCACAAGGGAGATCATCAAGGACAGATCACAAGGGAGATCATCAAGGACAGATCACAAGGGAGATCATCAAGGACAGATCACAAGGGAGATCATCAAGGACAGATCACAAGGGAGATCATCAAGGACAGATCACAAGGGAGATCATCAAGGACAGATCACAAGGGAGATCATCAAGGACAGATCACAAGGGAGATCATCAAGGACAGATCACAAGGGAGATCATCAAGGACAGATCACAAGGGAGATCATCAAGGACAGATCACAAGGGAGATCATCAAGGACAGATCACAAGGGAGATCATCAAGGACAGATCACAAGGGAGATCATCAAGGACAGATCACAAGGGAGATCATCAAGGACAGATCACAAGGGAGATCATCAAGGACAGATCACAAGGGAGATCATCAAGGACAGATCACAAGGGAGATCATCAAGGACAGATCACAAGGGAGATCATCAAGGACAGATCACAAGGGAGATCATCAAGGACAGATCACAAGGGAGATCATCAAGGACAGATCACAAGGGAGATCATCAAGGACAGATCACAAGGGAGATCATCAAGGACAGATCACAAGGGAGATCATCAAGGACAGATCACAAGGGAGATCATCAAGGACAGATCACAAGGGAGATCATCAAGGACAGATCACAAGGGAGATCATCAAGGACAGATCACAAGGGAGATCATCAAGGACAGATCACAAGGGAGATCATCAAGGACAGATCACAAGGGAGATCATCAAGGACAGATCACAAGGGAGATCATCAAGGCACAAGTAGGGAAAGATCCTACTTAGTGAGTCTAGCGGGCCACCCCTTCACACTGAGCAACGATAACAGGCTGCCGGTGCCATTTGTGAAGGGAAGAGAAGCTTTGCGCTCCCCTGCAAGAGAAGTTGCATTTCACCGGCCGAAACGCGCGTACGCTCAGGTTTGAAACTGTTTTTCTGTGCTGCAAGTTTCATCTCACCATGCCCGATGAGGTGCGAGAGACAGTTGTGGGGTTTGCTGGCCTGTCCGCTCCGCATGCAGGGTCTGAGACAACGCAAAGATCTGCCCCCCCTCCCATACCCCCCCTCCCATACCCCCCCTCCCATAACCCCCCTCCCATACCCCCCCTCCCATGCCCCCCTCCCATGTCCTACCCCCCCTCCTGCCTTGACCTTTCCTGCAGGTCTCACTGTGCCTCAAGGGTGTCACACTCACCGTGGCCAATGAGGTGCGAGAGGTAGTCATGGGGTTTGCTGGCATACTCGGCATGCAGCAGAGATCTGCCCCCCTTCCCATGCCCTCCCCTCCCATGTCCTACCCCCCCTCCTGCCTTGACCTTTCCTGCAGGTCTCACCGTGCCGGGTGTCACACTCACCGTGGCCAATGAGGTGCGAGAGGTAGTCATGGGGTTTGCTGGCATACTTGGCATGCAGGCACAGCAGTGTCCACATCAACTACACCTGCTGCTGCCACCTGCTGTGTCTGATGAATACCCTCATGCCACCTCCCACTCCCGCTACGAGTCTCACCGTGCCCGATGAGGTGCGAGAGGTAGTCGTGGGGTTTGCTGGCATACTCGGCATGCAGGCACGGCGTGACCACATGAGCGACACCTGCTGTGCCATGCTAAGCTGAGCTGCTGTGAGTTTCACCATGCCTCATAAGGGTGTCACACTCACCGTGGCCAATGAGGTGTGAGAGGTAGTCATGGGGTTTGCTGGCATACTCTGCATGCAGGCACGGCAGTGTCCACATGAGCGACACCTGCTGCTGCTCCTTCACACTCGCCACTTCATACAGCCGCCCTGCCTCCCACACCCCCCTCCACTGCCCCCCATCCCCATCCCCAACCTCCGCCTCCTCCGCCTTGTCTCCCTTCCCCTTCTCCCCTTTCGCTGCGCTTGTCTCTGTCGTCCCCATCTGCATCCCAGGAACAGCAACAGCTGTAGCGGCTGTAGCGGCTGTAGCAGCAGTGCCAGCAGTAGCGGCAGTGGATACCTCAGATGCTGCTCTGCTCCCTGCCAACACCGCCGCCAGCGGTCCCTTCGTCCTAGCTGTAGCAGCCACAGCACCACCACCATCAGCACCAGCAGCACCATCACCATCACCAGCAGCAGCAGCAGCAGCAGCAGCAGCACTGCTACCATTACCACCTCCCACCACTTCCCCTGCCCCCCCCTCCTCCTGCTCCAACCCAGCAGCACCAGGACCCAGCATCTCCGAGTCCTGGGAGGGTGGAGAGAAGGTGGCAGGCGGGGGCAGCTGGTGCAGCAGCGGGTGAATGCCGCTGCCGCCTGGGGGGATGGGCGAGAAGAGCTGCCTCACCCACAACTCGAGTGTGTCCAAGGGCTCTGGTGAATAGCATGGAGAGGACGAAAGAGAGAGGGGCAGAGATGGGAGGAAAAAGGAGGTAAGAGTCCTGTGCGCTTCTCCCCTATCCACGCACCACCAGCACCAGGCCCCAGCATTTCAGAGTCCTGGGAGGGCGCAGAGAAGGTGGCAGGCGGGGACAGCTGGTGCAGCAGCGGGTGAATGCCGCTGCCCCCGGGAGGGATGGGCGAGAAGAGCTGCCTCACCCATGACTCAAGCGTGTCCAGGGGCTCTGTGGGAGAGGAGCAAGGGTATGTGGCATGAGAGCGGGAGATAACGGAGTTAGTTCCCTGAGTGCCCCCGGGAGGGATGGGCGAGAAGAGCTGCCTCACCCATGACTCAAGCGTGTCCAGGGGCTCTGTGGGAGAGGAGCAAGGGTATGTGGCATGAGAGCGGGAGATAACGGAGTTAGTTCCCTGAGTGCCCCCGGGAGGGATGGGCGAGAAGAGCTGCCTCACCCAAGACTCCAGCGTGTCCAGGGGCTCTGTGGGATTGAATGGAGAGAGAGAAAGGGCGAGGGGGAGATGGGAGGAGAAGGGAGGTAAGAGTCTCAGCCCCCACACCCAGACCCATAAACGCACACGCATCCGCACACTCACCTCCCCCCACTACGACCAGCCGCATCGCCCCGGCTTTGTAGAGCCGAGAACAGAGCTGCAGCAGCCGCACGAGCATGTCCACACCTGTACCTGCCTGCTGCATGCACACAACCACAAGGGATCGCACACAAACCCCAAACACAAGGACTCACCTCCCCCAACCACCACCAGCCGCATCGCCCCAACTGTGTAGAACCGCGAGTAGAGCTGCAGCAGCCGCTCCCGCATGTCCACTCCCAGCTTGGCCGGGTCGTCTATGAGGCTCCTGCGGTTGCCCCAGGAGAACCTGCAGCAGCCGCTCCAACATGCCCAAATACCTGAACCTGCTGCATGTGGCACAACCACACCACACCGCACCACAACCAACCCTCAAACACCAGCACTCACCGCCCCCAACCACAACCAGCCTCATCGCCCCGGCTGTATAAAACCGTGAGTAGAGCTGCAGCAGCCTCTCTCTCATGTCCACTCCAAGCTTGGCGGGGTCGTCTATGAGGCTCTTGCGGTTGCCCCAGGAGAACTTGCGGAAGGGGTGGTCTGGCTGCACGCACGTGGAGCACTGCAGCTGCTGCACCCGACACACATCGCTCTGCAGACTTATGTTGAACTCTGGGAGGGAGGGGGGAGATGAGGGTGAGAGGGAAGGGGGCGGGTAGGCCGGGGGAAGGAGGGGGATCTTGTGCGTGCACAGGACAAGGACTAGAGGCAAGGTTAGAGACATGAAACGTTTTTTAGTTGACTCAGAAACAGGAGGGTAGGCCGGGGGAAGGAGGGGGGTCTTGTGCGTGCGCGCACAGGACAAGGACTAGAGGCAAGGTTAGAGACATGAAACGAATCGACAGAATCGAGTCAACGCAAGTCAACCAAAGTCAATGCAAGTCAACGCAAGTCAACGCAAGTCATTGAAAGTAAACAAACATCAAGGGTCAATACAAGTCAACGGAGGTCAACTCACCCGAGTCCACAGCCTGCACCTCTCTCTCCATGGCATCTGCCTTCACCAGCGGCGCCACAAAGAACTGCGCAAACCTGAAAGGGGGAAGGGAGGGAGGGAGGGAGGGAGGGAGGGAGGGAGGGAGGGAGGGAGGGAGGGAGGGAGGGAGGGAGGGAGGGAGGGAGGGAGGGGGGGGAGGGAGGGGGGGACGGAGGGACGGAGGGAGGGAGGGAGGGAGGGAGGGAGGGAGGGAGGGAAGGGTGTGGGTCGGTCGGGGGGGGGAGCCAGTGGCGGCCCAAAGAACAGCGCAGAGCTGATATGAGAGGGGTGCGATGGGCCAGGATGGGGAAGCGGGGTCCAGCAAAGGGTGGGTCTCTTATCACCTGTCAAGAGCAGGGTCTCTTATCACCTGTCAAGAGCAGGGTCTCTTATCACCTGTCAAGAGCAGGGTCTCTTATCACCTGTCAAGAGCAGGGTCTCTTATCACCTGTCAAGAGCAGGGTCTCTTATCACCTGTCAAGAGCAGGGTCTCTTATCACCTGTCAAGAGCAGGGTCTCTTATCACCGGTCAAGAGCAGGGTCTCTTATCACCTGTCAAGAGCAGGGTCTCTTATCACCTGTCAAGAGCAGGGTCTCTTATCACCTGTCAAGAGCAGGGTCTCTTATCACCTGTCAAGAGCAGGGTCTCTTATCACCTGTCAAGAGCAGGGTCTCTTATCACCTGTCAAGAGCAGGGTCTCTTATCACCTGTCAAGAGCAGGGTCTCTTATCACCTGTCAAGAGCAGGGTCTCTTATCACCTGTCAAGAGCAGGGTCTCTTATCACCTGTCAAGAGCAGGGTCTCTTATCACCTGTCAAGAGCAGGGTCTCTTATCACCTGTCAAGAGCAGGGTCTCTTATCACCTGTCAAGAGCAGGGTCTCTTATCACCTGTCAAGAGCAGGGTCTCTTATCACCTGTCAAGAGCAGGGTCTCTTATCACCTGTCAAGAGCAGGGTCTCTTATCACCTGTCAAGAGCAGGGTCTCTTATCACCTGTCAAGAGCAGGGTCTCTTATCACCTGTCAAGAGCAGGGTCTCTTATCAACTGTCAAGAGCAGGGTCTCTTATCACCTGTCAAGAGCAGGGTCTCTTATCACCTGTCAAGAGCAGGGTCTCTTATCACCTGTCAAGAGCAGGGTCTCTTATCACCTGTCAAGAGCAGGGTCTCTTATCACCTGTCAAGAGCAGGGTCTCTTATCACCTGTCAAGAGCAGGGTCTCTTATCACCTGTCAAGAGCAGGGTCTCTTATCACCTGTCAAGAGCAGGGTCTCTTATCACCTGTCAAGAGCAGGGTCTCTTATCACCTGTCAAGAGCAGGGTCTCTTATCACCTGTCAAGAGCAGGGTCTCTTATCACCTGTCAAGAGCAGGGTCTCTTATCACCTGTCAAGAGCAGGGTCTCTTATCACCTGTCAAGAGCAGGGTGCAGGTACTTGCGTGCCACGTCAAAGTGGTAGCACGTGGACTCTGTCTCTGTGCACACATTGCAGTGAAGGTGGAGATGCGCAACTGAAGCTCACCTTCTCATTTCAGATGCCTCTGGGGCTCACTCACCTGTCGAGAGCAGGGTGCAGGTACTTGCGTGCCACGTCAAAGTGGTAGCACGTGGACTCTGTCTCTGTGCACACATTGCAGTGAAGGTGGAGATGCGCAACTGAAGCTCACCTTCTCATTTCAGATGCCTCTGGGGCTCACTCACCTGTCGAGAGCAGGGTGCAGGTACTTGCGTGCCACGTCAAAGTGGTAGCACGTGGACTCTGTCTCTGTGCACACATTGCAGTGAAGGTGGAGATGCGCAACTGAAGCTCACCTTCTCATTTCAGATGCCTCTGGGGCTCACTCACCTGTCGAGAGCAGGGTGCAGGTACTTGCGTGCCACGTCAAAGTGGTAGCACGTGGACTCTGTCTCTGTGCACACATTGCAGTGAAGGTGGAGATGCGCAACTGAAGCTCACCTTCTCATTTCAGATGCCTCTGGGGCTCACTCACCTGTCGAGAGCAGGGTGCAGGTACTTGCGTGCCACGTCAAAGTGGTAGCACGTGGACTCTGTCTCTGTGCACACATTGCAGTGAAGGTGGAGATGCGCAACTGAAGCTCACCTTCTCATTTCAGATGCCTCTGGGGCTCACTCACCTGTCGAGAGCAGGGTGCAGGTACTTGTGTGCGACGTCAAAGTGGTAGCACGTGAGGTCTGTCTCTGTGAACGCATTGCAGTTGGTGGTGCACACTCCAAGCTCACCTTGTGAACGCACTTCAGAAGATGCTCACCTGTCGAGAGCAGGGTGCAGGTACTTGTGTGCCACGTCAAAGTGGTAGCACGTGAGCTCTGTCTCTGTGAACGCATTGCAGTTGGTGGTGCACACTCCAAGCTCACCTTGTGAACGCACTTCAGAAGATGCTCACCTGTCGAGAGCAGGGTGCAGGTACTTGTGTGCGACGTCAAAGTGGTAGCACGTGAGCTCTGTCTCTGTGAACGCATTGCAGTTGGTGGTGCACACTTCAAGCTCACCTTGTGAACGCACTTCAGAAGATGCTCACCTGTCGAGAGCAGGGTGCAGGTACTTGTGTGCCACGTCAAAGTGGTAGCACGTGAACTCTGTTTCTGTGAACGCGTTCGAGCCGCCACCGTGCCGCCTCAGAAACGAGTCGTACTGCAAGCAAGGAGTGGTGTGTGTGTGAGGGGGAGGGGAAAGGGAGGGAGAATGGAGAAAAGGGTTTGCTCTATGTGGTGTGGGTGCAACGCCAAAGTGATAGCACGTCATCTCCGTGTCTTGTTTTTTAGGCGCCTCAAATATCAACTTGTGTGGGACGCCAAAGTGGTAGCACGTGAACTCTGTCTCTGTGAATGCATTCGAACCACCGCCATGCCGCCTCAGAAACGGGTCATACTGCAAGGGAAGGGCGTGTATGTATGTGCAGGTGGGGGAGGGGAAGAAGTGTTTTGAGACGTCTCAAAACCCGCCTCAGAAACGGGGCATACAGCAAGGGAAGGGCGTGTATGTATGCGCAGGTGGGGGAGGGGAAGAAGTGGCGAAAATTTTGAGGCGCCTCAAAATCCGCCGCCGTGCCGCCTCAGAAATGGGTCGTACTGCAAGGGAAGGGCGTGTATGTATGCGCAGGTGGGGGAGGGGAAGAAGAGATGGAAAGGGGATGGGTGGAGACAAAAAGTGGGGGAAGAGGGGGAGGGTATGCTGTATGTGAGCGACGAAGCAGTGCTTTACATGGTTCAATGGTCACGAGTCAGGGTTCAGGGTTTTAGGGGTCAGGAAGGTTTAGGGTTCAGGGTTCAAGAAGTGTCACTCTGGTGTGTGGCACAGAATAACCCATGACTCTCCAGGAGGGGAGATATGAATACGAATCTAAGGTTTACCATGAAAAGCTTGCTCTAGGGCCCGATTAGGGTTCGAAAGTTACAATAAAGGGTTTGTGGCCTCACCTCGTTCTCGTCAGGGAACTTGACGCTGCCCATGAAGAGCATGTGCTCTGCAGTATGAAGAAGAGAGGGACAGAGGGAGGAGAGAGAATCTGAAACGTCAAAAACTAAGTAAAATCATTTTCAACAGGGAACTTGACGCTGCCCATGAAGAGCATGTGCTCTGTTGTATAAAGGAGAGAGGGCGGGCAGGATTGAGGGAGGGAGGGTGGCAAGAAGAGGAGAAAATGTAACACGCTTCAGAAATTCCATCGGTTATGCTCGAGAATCTGAGAATGCCCGTGAAAATCTTCTCCAGGGAGCAAGGCAGGGCAGCCAAGAGCACCGCAGGGCAACCAAGAGCACCGCAGGGCAACCGAAAAAAAAAAAAAAAAAAAAAAAAAAAAAAAAAAAAAAAAAAAAAAAAAAAAAAAAACCTTTCATTAAAGCCCAAACTCTGGGCGAGTGTGCATTCACTGACCAAGGAAATGCGCGAGGCCAAGAGCATCGGGAGGATCCAAGAAGCTTCCCACACCCACGCACATGGCAGCCGCCGCCAGCTGGAAGAGGTGGGGTGGGGAGGGGTGAGGGGAGGCATGGGTGGGGAGGGGTGAGTCAGGGGTGGGGAGGGGTGAGTCAGGGGTGGGGAGGGGTGAGTCAGGGGTGGGGAGAGGTGAGGCAGGGGTTGGGAGAGGTGAGGCAGGGGTTGGGAGAGCTGGGGTAGCAGGAAGATGCGTTACAGAGGAGGATCAAAATAGAGGCGCAGGCAGCGAGCAAGAGGCAGAGAGGCAGAAGGACGAAGGGAGGGACAGTGGGAGGGGAGACGTGGGGTGGGGGTGGCAACCGAAGCTGGGGAATAGGGAAAAAATGGAATGGTCCATCAGTATTTGGAGCAAGTATACAGTAGTTGGAATTTGAGAGTTCCCAAGAACCAACAAGTATAGGGTAGTTACGGCACCTTCTTTGCTGCTCCTGGTTGATCGTCATCATCACCGTCATCATCCTCCTCATCATCATCCCCATCAGAATCATCCTCGTCTTCCTCATCATCACCCTCATATTCCTCCTCCTCCTCTCCACTCTCCATCTCCTCCTCACTACCCTCTTCCCCCTCTTCCGCCCCTCTTCCCACTGCCCCCTTCCCTGCACTCTTCTCCCCAGCCTTCCCCTTCCGCCCCAACCCACCACCACCCAGCCTAATCCCCCCCACTTTCTTCCGCTTTCCCCCCACCTTCCCCTCCCCGGTCGTCTCACCCCCTGCTGCCCCCGACTCGCTTTCCTTACCCTGACCATCCCCCTTTCCTCCGACCACCTTTGCCTTTTTCTCCTCTGTTCCGCCAGTTCCTGCGTCCTCCGCCTCCCCTTCCTCCTCCTCACTCGCTGTCTCCCAATCGCTATCCTCACCCTCGTTATCGTCACCTCCCTTCCCTCCTTTACTAGCACCTTTTCGTCCCTTGGACTTCCCACCCTTACCCCCCTTTTCCCCCTTCCCCCCCTTCCCCTTTCCGCTGCTTTTTGTCCCATCTCCGCTTCCCTCAGCCTCAGCAACACTCATCTCCTCATCGCTCTCCTCACTCTCTATCTCATCCTCCTCATCCTCCTCCTCATCATCATCCTCATCGTCATCCCCTGACGCGGCAATCTCAGGGTCGTAAATTAACAGGGTAATTAACCCATTCGGGAGCGTCACCATGCGGTACGCCTTCTTATCCTCCTCGGATTTCACAATCTCGGGATCGTGACCGTTGGATAGGGCCACGTCCGCGTCGCCCTGAAGGTTTGGCTGATCCGCTTGGACATTGTCTACCATATCCACGTCAGCATCCGCTAATGGAGCCCTCGAATCCGCCATGGCTGACACGTGGCAACCAAGCGCAGAGGAGAGTGCTGCGCGCCGTTGGTTTCTTCTACCAAGGTGTTCACAAGATGAGAGCCGATTCGGGAACAAATGGGTGTGCGACGATAAGCGAAATGAGATATTACTCCTGGACGATCGGGTTACCGTTTGACACCTTTTCGCAAATCCACCCACCAACGCGGTGGTTTCGATTCGTAAGCTGTTCAGGTATCCTGCGGAATAACATGCGGGATTCGCGGAGATCAGCAGTCTCCCGGATTGGGCAGCTGGTGACAATGCAACGGCTCCGTACATCCGACTTTCGCTGACGGGCCGAGAACCAACCGAAGTACCAACTGGCGATCCAAATCAGTTAAATTCGAACCTAGAGACAGAAGCTTGATAACGCAGCGGGCGTAATTGCTTAGAATCTGCAATGAGCCCGCCTCGCGGCGCGAGAAGCCAATGCGCGAAATGTGTGCCAGGAATCCTGGCGAGAAAGGATGGTGAGGTGTAGGTGTTTAGTTGTAGTAGCTAGCTGGTCTGACCCATGAATTCAAAACTGCCTTCTTCGATATCCTATACGGTTGCTTTTCAGGCGGAACTTCTACACTCTGGTATTCGTGCTGTTTTAACGTAGTCGAACATAGACTGGTTTTAGCAATTTGTCAAAATGTCTAGCTGCACAAACCTAGGTGTGCCAGCTAAGTTCACGTGTTACCGTGTGTTACCGCTTTTGAACGTAGCATATCCAATGGAAACGTGAAACATGAACTGAAAACCGAGCACGCTCCTCCCTGTGTCAGGGAAAGTCAGTAGCCTGGAGCGGGGGCTGGGTCCCAGCAGGGTAGAGGGGGATGGTGTTGTCGCGTGAAGAGAGCGCCGAACACTGGCGAACGATGTCTCGCGATTGGTCGCGCTGATTCGAGGTTCGTGAAGGCTAGCAGCAAGCACCCTGCGCAAAGGCAGACCTTGGTGCTTTTCCTTGTGTTTAATTTGAACCTGTGATCTTTGTTGGCGCAGCGCGATGAAATCGAGACATGATGCACCATCTGCACCCATTAACATCTCTGAAACAACTGTCTTCACCGAACGTAACATGTCAAGAGCCAAACTGCAATCTCGAAACGGCGCTGTCCTCTTCCAGAAACTGCTTTCGGTTCGGCCCTCCGCCAGTTCCCGCTGTTCCTTGCTCCCACGTTCCACCAGCGCCTGGTGAAGCTGTTCCCATTGCGCTGTTCCTCATTGGGCTTCCGCCCCGCCGGGCCCCAGCCTTCAGAATTTTCAAGACCATCCCTATTTGGGGGGAGCTTGTTGGATGGCGAGGCCATGCACAGCACATCGCACCGCACTGCCTCACATTTCTCCCGCCTGCGCGAGCCCACCCAGACTTGGCGGGAGGGTTCCCCCATGGGCTGCCCCATCATGTTCCCGCGCGAGCTGCTGTCCTCATGATGTGATGGTGGTGGTCTCGAATCTCGATTTGACCCTCGGGATTCTCGAAGACAACAGTTCAGGGAAAGGGGGAAATGGGGAGAATGGGGGGAGCGGGGGGAAGGAGCGCGCTAGTTCGTTGGGTGAGTGTGCATACGTGGGGGGGAGGGGAGGACTCAGCCCAGGAGGATGTGGCGGAACTTTTGAAACAGCAGAACCACCCGCTGGTTGGTCCGTCCGTAACAGGGCCTCAGATAGGATTCAGGGGACCCTGACCCATCAGGGCAGTTCCCCCCCCCAAAAAAAAATCGCCCTGATTGATCAGTGCTGAGGTGCATTCAGGATCCTGTTTTGACAGGGTAAATACTAATGTAATCATGCCCTGTCAGGGTAAAGACTAGTGTAATCCTGATTTGTCAGGGGGGTAAAAAACTACTTTACCAACACTGTTATGTATGTGAAACATTTTCATTCCACGTTCTGACAATACAATCATTATTCAAATCCATCTAGCATCCTCCATCAGCACATCATTACCATCACTAGATCCTCCTGCAACATCATCATCTGAGTCATGGCCGCCACCGCCATGGTCGGCCTTCTCCTGCTGCCTGTCACTGCTGTTGCCTTTGCCACCATCAGCTGCACCACCACCACCACGCTTCTTCACGGCATGAGGGGGGTTGCTCTTACGCTTGGTTGGGCGGCGCTTCTTCGTGCTGTGCCACAGCTCCACAAGGTCTTTCCCACTCGACGTCGTACTCCAGCAAGCTCAGCGTCATGAGATCACCAAGCTTCGCGTCGTGCAATCCCGTCCGCTGCCAACTCTTGATGATGTTTTGTCGGGAGAAGCCGCGTTCGCACTCCACAGTGCTAATCGGCAACACCGCCACTGCTACCCACAGCCGCACCAGGTTGGGGTAGCTCCTCGGCCAGTCTGCAGTGGCCATCATCGCCTTCAGGCCCGCATGGAAGGCCTGCTCCTCCTTCGGCGCCCCGGATAGAACCGACAAGAAGGTCCGCATCTCCCTTTTGCACTCCCGCTTCGTCACACCTTGCAGAAGGGACGGGTGATGGATAGCAAGGGACCGTAGTGCAACTCAAGGGGCCATATCACGCTTACTGACACATACAACAAAATCGTATACCGGAGCAAATCACAAAGACGAATACGAGGGGGAGGTTTACTCACCTGGTAGAACTTCCTCTCGCTCGCGCGCGTGGAACATGGTGTAGAGGCCGTCCAGATGCTCAAGGCACTCCGCGTCTCTCGCCTCTCTTCCCCGCGGCCAGGTGCGTGGCATGAAGAGCTTAGCAGAATTGAGGGTTGACAGACTGCCGAGGCGGAAGTTAATATTGTATATTAGCTCCGTCGCGAACGACCGACATGTCCGCACACACGACTGGAGGTCTCCCGCGCTGGTGGTGTAGCCCTTTACAGCTGTCTCATGCAGAGTGAACTCGTGAGTGCATGGCTGATGATCACCGTCCACGCCTTGCACACGCACGTCTCGGCTGCACGGCGAGCTGTGCCGCGCGAGAAACGGCGACAGCATTGCGCTTGCACCGCCCCCGAATTGCTGACCGCAATCGATGTAACGCTCCTGGAGGAACACGAGGATCCGTTGTCGAGGGTACTATTGGCGAGGGAACGACTGGCGCAAAACGAAGGAAATCGAGGCCCGTTAAGGGCTGAATAATTACGGGTTCGTCAGGCATGACGGGGGCTTCACCGACGCCCTGTGGCGACGGTGAAGCCATAGGCGATTTCAGCTTCAGAAACAACGTGTGAGATACGATGTCGAGGAGGTTGCAAAATGCGGGCGGAAAAACACTAACAAGAATGATTCTATCACGTTTCGCCCTGCATCAACAAAGGGATGAAGCAGGAGGTGGAGGAACTGCTGTCGAGAAGAGGAGGAGATGGAACGGAAACCCTCCTTCTGGAGAGTTCCACGATCATGCGCCATGGCGCCCCGTCGTGACCTGAGGTGTGGACGAGGTTGGCCGAGAGCTTAAGCTAAGCGTGGCAAAGTTGCCGCGCGCCGCGTGGGTTCTTTGCTGCGGCGGGTCCTGATTGGTCGAGATGGCAACTTTGATGTGTCGCTGTACAGCCACGCGCGAAAAAATCTGTACAGCGGTGCAAATTTCATCATTTCCCACCGCACATCTCGCATGTTGCGCTGTACCCCTGTCGGTAGTTTTGTATCTAGTCACCAATTTTTTTTTCGTGGTACAGGCTGATTCAGGGTACTTTCCAATAGGATCCTGATGGATCAGGGTCCGGGGTACTTTTAAATCCTGAGATCACAGGATGCAAAATCCTATAAATACTGATTTGTCAGGCCGGTTTTTATACAAATACTGAAATGTCAGTCCTGGGGCACCATGCAGATCCTGAAATCAGGGCATTCAGGATCTTTTATCCTGATACCTGAGGCCCTGGTCCGTAACCTCGTCTAACCACTATTCAACGCGCTACACCCCTGTCAAGGTGACATGCTTGGCCTGCTGGCACTGGGAATATAAATAGGACCAACCAGCCGCTTCATTTTGTAGGGTTTGATTCTCTCCCAGCACGAGACAGCTTAGAGCTTCAGCTCAGCTGCCTGCTAAGGACGAGACGGCCTCTGAATAACCACGCGCTACGTCACGTCACGCCGTCTTCCTACAGGAACGGCGGAGGCGGCGGCGCAGCGGCGGCAACGAAAGAGATTTAAAACGTTGTCAAAGGCGGCCGCTACCGCATCGCGAACTGAGCTGATCGGGAAAGAAAGGCTGACGGTGCTTGACCAAATTCGCATCAGGCTAGGCTGATCTTTTTAGGTCAGGCGAGAACCCTTGCCCTAAATTGGCCGTCTGGGAGAAAACGTATTCAGCGCTCAAGCGGGATACTAAGCGGGAAAGTTGTCACGCGGCTCACCATTAATTCATCGTAGCGACAGTTCTGATCTGGTTTGGAAATAGATTCACTACAGATTTGATTCTGCTTCGATGCTGATTTGCTGATTCGATGTTAACGCGCGAGGTCCATTCGGGAGCGGTCCGGAAATTCGGCCTGTAGGCGACGCTTCGCTCTCCTCATTCGTCGCTGCTTCATCGCGTCACGCTCCTTCCACGGGAGTGATCACGCTTGCTGGTCATTGCTGCTGCAATGCCCTAATTCTACATTGTGCTATAATCCTCGGGTAGCCTTTGGGCGACTTTCGGCGAAGCGGTATTATTCTGCGTCCTGAAGCGATTATACGTCACGGCCGTTTTGTCGTCGGCACCGCAGCAGCCGCAACAGGCGAAAGCCGCAGCACATCGCCTTTGAAGCTCACTGGGGAAGTGGCGTGTCGCAGCCGCTACGAATCCACAACGGGTGCCGCCGCTGATCGCTGCAGCGCCAGTCAACGGCAGCCGAATCTCTTACTATCGCATCGTCTACTATCGCAGCTCCTATCATAACAGCTCCAGGTCGTCGCGTCGCGTCCGATGAGTTCCTCCTGCCGGTGACCTTTCGAGCGTCCAGCAGGCGCCGATTGGGTGATTGCGATCGCCATGTCTCGCTGCTGGCCGTATCCCCCGCCGGGGTTCCAGAAGAAGCCTCGGGATCCGTCTCTAAGCGTTCCTAAGGTAATCCCAAGGGGAATGGGACGTATGGTGGTAGCCGAGGTGAATACTGAGTCGGACTTAAAAAGTCACGCCCAGATTTGTCTCTTAGCGTCCCTAAGGTAATCCCAAGGAACGAATGGGGAAAAGCGTGGTCGTTGTCGGATGGAATGGTTCAGAGAACTGGGGTGTTCGGAACGGTCTGGTGCGGTGACGTGTTCAAGGCGAGTGGCAGCTGTTGAGGTTCTTTTCTTGAGAGGTGGTTCCGAGTTTCCAGAAATTTCTATTATCTTTTTCGAGATAGGCAATGCCGCATTCCCCTTTTTCGGAATGCCGTTTCGAACAGAATCTCGATTGCTCTAACTCCCAGTCGCTCCGTCGTCCGTGCATCTTTCATTATTGCGTTTAGGGTTCTCGTCGTCGCTCTCCGTTTGCCGACTGCGGTATATCGCTACGGATCGGAATGCGTTCCTGTGACCCGTTCTTCCCGATGTTAAATCTTGAAAAATCGTTAATATATTATTGCCCTTCCCTGATCAGTAAATATCTCTATATCCGCCCACCCTGCATTCCCGCCTTTTGCTGCCGACCAGGAGACGAGATCGGAGGGGAAAGATAAAGATCGAGACAAGGATAAGAAAAAGAAGAAGAAGAAGCGGCATAGGGAAGGGGGCGAGGGGGAAGACAAGGAGGAGCGGAAGCGGCGCAAGGAGGAGAAGAAGCGTTCTAAGGAGTCAAAAGAGCCCAAGGAAACTAGAGAACCCAGGGATTCTAAGGAATCAAAGGGAAAGGAGTCTAAGGAGAAGGAGTCTAAGGAGCACCGGAAGCAGTCGTCTGAAGACTCGGCGCGCAAGGAGAAGGATGGGAACACGGAGAGGGGGGCGGGCGGGGAGAAGGGGAAGGGCGGGGACACGGATAAGGGGAAGGGCGGGGAGAAAGAGAAGGGTGAGAAAGGGGAGGGTTTGCGTTTGGAGACGTCTCGGAAAGAGGAGAAGAGCAAGGGAGAGAAGGGTGAGGGTTTGGGTCTTGAGACGTCTCAAGAGGAGGAGAAGGGCAAAGGCAGGGGGGATGACGGTCAGGGTTCGGGGAAAGATAAGGGTGAGGGCGAAAAGCAGAAGAGTGAATTGCGGAAAGATGTGGGGAAGGAGGAGGAGCAACGGGAAAAGGCGAGTGGAGAGGGGAAGGAAGGGAAGGAAGGGAAGGAGGGGAAGGAGGAGAAGGGAAAGGAAGAGAAGAGGAAGGAGGAGAGGAAAGAGGGGAATAAGGAGGAGAGAAGGAAAGATGAGAAGAAGAAGGAGGATAAGCATAAGGATGAGAAGAGGAAGGAGGAGCGACACAAAGAGAAGGAGAAGCGGAGGGAGGAGAAGCGGCGAGACGAGAAGCACAGAGACAAGCATAAAGGTCCGCCTTTCCATGCCCCACCTCGCATCCACAGCTTATGCTCTGCCATTCCAGTTTCCCGTTCCCATGTGATTGTTTTCATTCTACCCCGTGGTGTCATTTCGTTCCCATTTAGGTTCCATCTACCACTTCTGATCCATCATGCCTCTCCTCCCTGTCCCCTCCTGCTCGCACTGCCACAGACAAGAAGCCGGACCGCAAGGCAGTGGTGCCTCAAGGCAACGTGTGAGTCAAGACAAAAGTCATTCTGTTTCTCTTCCATCCTGCCGCCCCTCCATGTTCCCCTCCTGCTCGCACTGCCACCGACAAGAAGCAGGACCGCAAGGCGGTGCCTCAAGGCAACGTGTGATTCGAGACAAAAGTCATTCTGTTTTTGGAGCGTGGTTTTTGAGAATTCTCAAAAACCACCCTCATTCTGTTTTTGTTCCATCCTGCCGCCCCTCCATGTTACCCTCCTGCTCGCACTGCCGCAGACAAGAAGCAGGACCGCAAGGCAGTGCCTCAAGGCATGCCCAACGGGGAGAACGGCATTCCCCGCGCTCCTGCCCCCCCGGATACACGTGGCGTTAACGCATTGGACACACGTGGCACTAATGCGTTGGAGCCACGCGGTGTTAATGCATTGGATACACGTGGCACCAGCACAGCTGACGCACGTGCTTCCAGCAAGCAGGAAAAGCAGGATACACGTGCGTCTCAGCAGCAGGACACACGCCCCTCCGCAACCCTTAACGAACGGATCTCGAAATCAACGGACGGCAATGCTCGGGATCTGAGCTCAGCACCAGGAGCGCCCAAGCCGCTGCACGGGTCAGTCTCAACCCCTGATCTCCGGACAGGTCAAGATCAACGGCTGCGATCGTCCGACAGCCGGGGGCATCACGATTTGAAATCAGAGGACGTGAGACTGGGGAACGGGGAGGGGGAGGTGAGAAGGGAGACTGAGGGGACGGATAGGGACAGGCAGGATAGGAGAGAGGGGAAGGGACGGCAGGGAGAAGGTGGGCAGGTCTCCTCAGGTGCTGCTGTGAGAGCAACATCAGAGCCTTCTAAATCTGGAGGGAAGCCGGGGTTAGAGGAGCTGAGAGATCTCCAATCAGCAATGGAGTTGAGAGGAACGGGAGCGAAAGGGGCTCCTGCTGCAGCCGCTGCCGCGCCGGGCGTGGGTGGAGTTGGAGAGAAGCGGGCCGGAGTGTCGCCAAGCGATAAACCTCCGGTGCACGGAGCAGGGAGGCAGAACGGGCGGGTGGGCGACCTGCTGCAGAGCCACAAGCGCAGCCACGGCAGCCAGAGCAGCCAGGGCAGTTTGGGAAGTCAAGGTAGTCAACCCAGTCAAGGCAGTCATGGCAGTCAGAGGCTCGGGAAGGAGGGACAAGCAGCAGGGCAGGGCACAGGGGATGGGGATAAGGGAGGGCATGGGACTCGTGAGGGTTCGGACCGTCGCCACCACCACCATCATCATCATCCTTCCCGCCTCGCCTCGTCCTCCTGTGTCTCAGAGCCTGGTGCTGGACCGAGCGCCTCTGCTGCAGCTGCTGCTGCTGCTCTGAAAGGGATGGGGCGTTCGGCCAGTTTAGGGGCAGGTGGGGGGGGAGGAGCAGCAGGAGCAGCGGCGGCGGCAGCGGCGGCAGCAGCAGGGGCTGTATCAGGGGCAGGAACAGGGGCAGCAGGGGCGTCGCCTGCAGATAGCAGCAGAAGCGGGGGCATGTCTGGGGCAGTATCAGGTAAATCCCGCAGCAGCAAGCGGCGGCACCACCGCAGCAGAAGCACAGCGAGTGGAGGGGCGGGGCTGAGTGGGGGACCTGGTGTTAGTGACACGTCTGCAGCTGAGGTGCTGTCCCCTCTTAGACCCACAGGCGAACCACGAAACGACACCCGAATTGACTCCGGAAACGAACCCCGAAACGATACCCGACCGGATCCTCAAAATAAGCTTGAAAACGACTCCCGGCTGAAGGCCTTCAGCCCAGCTTCCGCCGCCGCTGCTGCCACTGCCACTGCTCCTTCTGCTGCTGCAGCTGTAGCGAAAGGCATGCCTGCCACACCAGGGGAGAACGGGTTTCATAAACAGGGCGAACGGAGAGGAGTGAAGGAGGGAAGGGAGGGGAGGGAGGGGCGAGAGGGTCGGGAGGGGAGGGAGGGGAAGGAAGGGAAGGAAGGGAGGGAGGGGCGGGAGGGAAAGGAGAGGCAGAGGGAGGGGCGTGAGAAGAGGAGGGCGGAGCCTCCAGTGGTGGTGGATCAGACGTTCCTCGCATTCGACAACGCCACACACGGGCTTGCTGAGGCGCTGGCTGAGATGGAAGCCGAAGTGAGCTTTGCTGACTGGCTCATGCCTGAGCTGGGGGTGGGCGAGAGGGGGGAGGGAGATTTGGGAGGTGTGAGTGGTGTGGGGGTGAAAGATGGAGGGGTGAAAGGTGGGGGTTTGGAGGGGAAGGATGTGGAAGAGAGGAGGGTGAGAGAGAGTGGGATGCAGGATGTGGATATGAAGGATGGTGCTGGAGGTGAGGATGAGGGGGGTGAGGATGATGAGGAGGAAGGGGACGGGGAGAAGAGTGAGAGAGTGGTGTGGGCAAGCCCGAGGTACCTTCCGGAGTTTGACGTCTGTATACTGCCCTTCATCCCGCCCTTCTGACGTCACAAGTACACCGCCCTTGATTCCTCCCGCACAAGTGTACCTCAGCCTGCTATTCGTCCCGTCTGCCCTTCATCCCATCCTTGTGTTGTCACACGTGTGTGAGTGACTCAATCATCAAGCCCGCCCTTCACACACTTGTGAAAGCCTCTCGGTCTTCAAGTTACTAAGCGTGCAGCCGTGGACTTGAGTTTTGCTGGAGGTGACCACTCACTCACAGGGGTCGCATGGGTCATGAGTCATTAGTCATGGGTCATGAGTCATGAGTCATGAGGGTTATGGGTCATTCATTGCCTGATTGTGTAGTTCTCTGCGCTGGGAAGCTGCTGAGAAGCTGCCTGGTAAGGGAGAACTTTGTATTGCATGTTGTTGGCTTGTTGCGGACGGGCTAAGCATGCTGATTGATCCATCTAGTTGATCCATCTAGTGCATCCATCTAGTGCATCAGTTTTGCAGCATATGCGTGCCAAATGGAACAACGTACGGGTGTCAGAGAGTAGTTTCACTCAGGGTAACCGCTGACCAAACTTGCAATCAAAACACGCTGAAAGATGTGGCGTATGAATGTAGCCTGACCTGCCGCCAAGCCAACCTTCAATGTTCCATTTTCCTTTCACAAAATTACATCTGAGCAAGGGAATGTGTCATGAACATAATGGACTTCAGAATTATCTTCAAGTTGACTAGTTGTAAGGAAATTCCCTTTTCCTTACTTCGCGTCCCTGCCCAGCGCGTACGTCACTGTAGCACCTCAGTCAGCACCGTTACCACTCGCGACCATCGCATCATTCATCATCCCGCCTTTTTCGCACATCGCATCCCGACCTCACGGCTCGGCTGGTAACCCGCGCTCCGGGCCTACGCTTCGACACTTTCCCAACCTCAGTCCCAGGCTCGACGCGCGACAACCACAGTCCATTACCGTTACCACTATTGTTTCGCTATATAATCCTTCGCTCATGCCTTCGCTCATTGTACTTTTGCTTCGATAGTGCAATTCTCGTTCCTTCACTCAATTGCACACGTAACACTTGGTATTCAGAGCCTACGATCTCATCTCGGACCGCATCCACACCTTCGCTTCCCACTATCTCAATTTTTTGGGGGGGGTAGACGTCTCTCAGCGACACAGCACCGCCGCTCGAAGTGCTCTCTCGCAAGCACGCACGGCCACGACCGAGGCTCTCGCTGAGCTTGCCCGACACCCCCGCCATGGCCGACCTCAATCTCGCCACGTTGACGCAGGAGCAACTCGATCGTCTCGTGCGACAATTGGAGGATTCGGCGCTTGAAATCGCGACGCTCACGGCGGAACGTGACTCCGCCCGTCAACAGTCAACGGTGAATGCTCCGACAACATCCCACGCACCAACCAATGTCTCTGTACATTCGGAGGAGCCGATTATCATTTCATCCGGCACACCAACGCAACACAACAGCACGGGACAGCGCTCAGGCGCAGCCAGTGACGGCGCAGCCCAACCGATGCCCGGCATGGGAGGGAACAGGAGCACGCTAAGCCCACGGGAGCCCCGAGAAGCCCGTCGGCACGTGGAGTTTGCGACGACAAGTGGTGAAAACGCCATGATGGCCCCAATGCCACTCAAGCCGCAACGCCCGCCCTGCTTCGACCCAAGTCAACGCGGCGGCCCGACAGTTCAATCGTGGGTCTTCACGATGAATGTGTTTTTCGACGCCAACTACGTCGAGTCGGACGCCGCCAAGATTCGGTATGCGGTTTCACTACTCAGGGGCCCCGCCATGGACTGGTGGCGAGTCATCGTGACGTCGCCACGCGCCTACGAGCCACCGTCGCACGAGGAAGGGCCCTCGGGTCCAGCTGTCACCTGGATTTCGTTCTGCGAAACAGCCCAATACAGCACGTGGGATGCGTGGTGCGCAGGGCTTCGGGCGCGTTTTGAGCCGATCGCGGCTTCGATTTCGGCGCGTCAGAAACTGCGCACTTGGCGCCAGCTCGGGTCGGTTCAAGACTACACCAGCGGTTTTCTCGCACTTTGCGAACAGGTCGGCTACATGCACGAGGCGGAGCGGGTGGACCGTTACGTCGGAGGGCTGAAGCCGGACATATCGCACGAGATAATGCTACGCGGGCTATCGAATTTCAACGAAATCCTCGCGCTCGCCGAGAAAATCGATATCCTACGCCGACCGAGACCGGGGTCCTATTTCGGACATCGCCCTCGGGGACCGATCGAGCACGCCACTGTACATGCCGTCGCAACGAATGCAGCTGCCACGCCATTTAGAGGGCGCTGCTTTGCTTGCAACCGGCCGGGCCATCGCAAGAGCGAATGTCCAGAGGAGCTGAGGCGTCGAGGAGCAGAGCAGGGGAAGGAGTCTCAGAGGCAGGGAAACGCCAGCAGTCAGTAGAAGTTGGGCCAACTACTGACGAGACTGCCTGCTCGCCCAACCACACCGACCCTCACCGAGTCACAGTACCGATTCACGCCATCGATCAGGCTCGGATGAATAAGGAGGGTACAGCGACGGATTGCCCGGTACTGATCTACGGGAAAATACAGGGAGCAGCAGTGAAAATCTTCATTGACGGAGGAGCAAGTCACAGCTTAGTTAATACTGCAACCGCACGGAAATTACAGTTAACACTTAACCGATGTTTACCTGAGATAGATGCACGCTTAGTCGACGGCACGCCTTTGGCCATACGCGAAAAAGTGGAGCGAGTAAAAGTCCGCTGCGGGGGAAACTTCGGGTTTACACAGGAAATGCTCGCAACGACGCTGGATGGGCACGACATTTTACTGGGACGTGATTGGCTGCGACGGTACAACCCACGGATCGACTGGACGACGGAGAGCTGCACAGTGCGAAGTAGCGGTAACTGGGTCGTCCTACCTCGCAGGCGGCCACCCGAATCTTCGACAGTCCAGGTCAACGCCATCGCGATGAAACGGGCTGTCGCTGCTGGAGCTGACGTGTACGCAGTGGATATCGCAGTGGTAGAAAAAGACGAGCAGCAGAACGATTTACAGAAACTGCTAGCAGCCGTACCGACCGAATTACAAGCACTACTGAAACGGTTCCCGGGGATATTTCCGGATGATTTACCACAGGGACTGCCACCTCAGCGAGCGCACGACCATAGGATCGAGCTAGAACCGGGGGCACAGCCAACAGTACAGCGGCAATTTCGACTGACACAGCCCGAGCTCGACGAGTTAAGGAAGCAGTTAGATTACCTGTTAGAGAAGCAGTTTATTCGACCGAGCTCGTCACCGTTCGCCGCACCCATACTGTTCACACCGAAAAAAGACGGAGGTTTTCGCATGTGCATCGACTACCGAGCGCTTAACCGAGTAACAGTCAAATCGCGATACCCCATCCCCCGCGCCGACGAACTGATTGACCAACTGCGAACAGCACGTGTCTTTTCGAAAATAGATTTACGAGGAGATTACCATCAGATTCGCGTCGAACCATCGGACTGCGCAAAAACAGCATTTAGGACTCGGTACGGGTCATTCGAGTATACAGTAATGCCCTTCGGGTTGACGAACGCGCCTGCGACTTTTCAGATGACCATGAACGAGGCATTTAGGCCACTTTTAGATAAATGCGTCATCGTTTACCTAGACGATATCCTCGTTTACAGTCGGGATAAGCAGCAACACTTAGCAGATCTTGAAGCAGTTTTTAAGGTTTTAGAGGAACATCGGCTGCTCACCAAGGGCTCCAAGTGCGAGTTTTTTAGGGATAGGCTAGAGTTTTTAGGTCACGTCATTTCAGAGGCTGGGGTTGAGATTGACCCAAAGAAGCTGGACACGGTAAAAGCGTGGCGCCCCCCGACGAACATCACGGAACTGCAGAGTTTTTTAGGGTTTGTTAATTACGTTCGACGGTTCGTGCCCGACATGGCACGTTTAACCGCCCCACTAACTGATTTACTGCGTAAGGGGGTCGCTTTTACGTGGGGGGAGAAAGAGCATGCTGCCTTCTCTGCCCTAAAAAACGTTCTCTGCTCACCACCCGTCCTACGCATCGCTGATCCCCACCGCCCTTTCGAAGTGGTTACCGACGCAAGTGACATCGCCATCGGAGCTGTACTGTTACAGGACTTCGGCAACGGCCTCCAACCCATCGCCTACGAATCACGAAAACTACATCCGCCTGAGCGAAACTATCCGATACACGACCGCGAAATGCTCGCGATCGTGCATGCATTCAAAGTTTGGCGCTGCTACTTGACTGGCGCAGACGTGACAGTACAGACAGACCACCGATCTCTACAGTACCTCCGCGCACAGCCCCACCTCAACCCACGACAGATTCGATGGCTCGATTTCCTCGAGTCGAATTTTCACTATACGGTCACATACAAAAAAGGAGCATCGAATATCGCCGACGCACTGACCCGCCCCACTGCCCAGATCCACGCGATACTACTCGCCCAGACCAGCCCACTGCTTACCGGCCTATTTACCCACGGATATCAAACAGACCCGTTCTTTACAGGAGGCAACTCACAGCAATTCGCAGCGGCAAAAGGAGTCTATTACGTAAAAACTGGAACCGACCGCATCTGGGTACCGGGATACACGTTACTTCGGGAACTACTGTTACAGGAAGCACACGACGGAGTTACCTCGGGACATTTCGGGGTAGAAAAAACACGGCAGCAGCTGCAGCGGTACTACTACTGGCCAGAAATGTTGACTGACGTGCAACGACACGTGGCATCGTGTCCCACTTGCCAGCTCATGAAGACAAGCAGGAAGCGACCAGCAGGGCAATTACAACCCATCCCGCCTCCAGAGCGTGCTTGGCAGCAGGTGACGATGGACTTCGTCACGGGGTTACCAGCTGGGGCGAGTGGGAATGACGCGATCCTGGTCGTCGTCGATCGACTAACTAAAATGGCTCATTTCGCAGCATGCAGGAAATCCATCACAGCCGAGGAAACCGCCCGACTATTCATCTCCACCGTCGTACGCCTGCACGGGATACCCGCGTCGATCATCAGCGACAGGGACACGAAATTCACCAGCAACTTCTGGCGGAACCTGTGGCAGCAGTTCGGCACGCGCTTACAGTTCAGTTCATCCTATCACCCCGAAACCGACGGACAGACGGAACGGACAAATCAGACCATGGAGCAGCTGATTCGAGCCACGTGCGACGACCCGAATACGTGGGAACAGCAACTGCCACTCATTGAGTTCGCATACAATAACGCACCATCAGCCACGACGCAACAGTCGCCGTTTTATCTAAATTACGGACAGGACCCAACAGTACCCATGACACCGAATCCCGACAACCCCGTCCCACGAGCACAACAGTTCGCCGAGATCCTGCAAGCAGCACGGACCAGGGCAGCAGAAGCAATAAAAAAATCAAACAGACCCGATCGACATCATCGCTAAGCAGAAACATCATCGCTAAACGCAACGCCGATCGACATCGCAGACCCGTTACTTATCAGCCCGACGACCTCGTTTTACTCGACACTCAGAACCTTCGCCTGCCCATCACTCCAAAACTTCGCCCCCGATATTGTGGGCCATTTCGCATCAGCCACATGATCACACCCGTCACCGCCCACCTCCTCCTCCCCGCTGACTGGTACGTCAGCCCGTCATTCCACGTCAGCCTACTTCGCCCTTACATCCCATCCACGAGCCAACTGCCACGAAATCGCCCAGCCAGCATGACACGTCCCCCAACCGAACCACTCATCACCCCTGAAAAAATCCTCAGCCACCGCGTCCGCGACCCTCGGGGAGCCCGAAGGATCGAGTTCCTAATTCGCTGGAAGGACCGAACGCCCACAGAAGACAACTGGGTCCCCCTGGATAAAATTGAGAACCACCCTGTCTTCACCGAGTATCTGCGAAGCCGAAATTTCCGCGACGTCCATGCGCTCTCGTAAGAGGGGCCTCCTTGGGGAGGGGGGTAGTGTAAGGAAATTCCCTTTTCCTTACTTCGCGTCCCTGCCCAGCGCGTACGTCACTGTAGCACCTCAGTCAGCACCGTTACCACTCGCGACCATCGCATCATTCATCATCCCGCCTTTTTCGCACATCGCATCCCGACCTCACGGCTCGGCTGGTAACCCGCGCTCCGGGCCTACGCTTCGACACTTTCCCAACCTCAGTCCCAGGCTCGACGCGCGACAACCACAGTCCATTACCGTTACCACTATTGTTTCGCTATATAATCCTTCGCTCATGCCTTCGCTCATTGTACTTTTGCTTCGATAGTGCAATTCTCGTTCCTTCACTCAATTGCACACGTAACACTAGTACATTAAGGGGTGTGGCTACAAATGCACTCCTACTGTGTCGCATCTCTCCATTCGCAGGGCGGTGGACTGCCTTGAATCTCCCTCCCTCCCTCCTGCCTCTTCACAACAGCGTTTCTGAATCCGGCGGCTACTCGCCCGCCTAGACACGGCGGTCTACCCGCCTACCTCCGCGAGCCTGCTTTCAGCCTCGCTTCAACTGCAGCTGCAACCCGTTCTGAAACGCAAAGGCTGCGTTTTCTCAAGAGTGGGGGCTTGTTTGAGACCGCGACAAGGTTTTGGGACTATCGAAGTTGGGTCACTACGGTTCCAAAACCTGTATACTTTGAGGCATCTCTCGATTACTCCGAGAGCTATCGGAAAGCAAGAATTCTTTCACTTAGGTAGAGGGGCTTGGTGAGCGGAAGGGGGTTAATGGCGGGTGGGAAACGGCGATACGTGGAAGAGGAGGAGGAGGAAGAACCGGCTCCTTTCAGCCGGCGACATACTGCTGTAAGGCTTTCCGCTTGAATGCTCTTCGCCTGGATGCTTTTCGTTATGTTGCTGGCGTAAAAGAACCGTTTTTGTACCACAAAATTTCTTCTTTTATCCGTTCACATCAAGCCGGAAATTTCTCGTTGTATGATTATAATATGAATCGGTTGGACGAGCCGTGACCACCTCCCCATACCTCGCCACATTGAGTCATCATTTCATCGCCCTTCGTCCCGCACCTCCCCCTCTTCCTCTTCTTCCTTCTCGTCCTCCTCACCCTCCTCGTCCCAATCGTCACTTCCCGTCACTCCTCCTACTCCCCTTACTCCTCCACTCTCTCTTTTTTTTAACCAGAACCACCAGCAGAAGAGAGGAGCAGCAGCAGACGCACCGCCAGCAACCGGATTCAACGGCTTCCCATCCTTCACCACCGCTCCGTTCCCTGCTGCAGCCAACAATGCAGCAGCAGCATCAGCATCAGCGTCAGCATCAGATTCAGCCGCTGCATTTCCCGACCAGGCCCGAGCACAGGAGTGCCTGAACACTGTCCGCGCACTCAACATGCAATTCGCCAGGTCGGTAACCCGCATTCGCCAATTCGTTGGGTATAGCCTGGCTGGGTCCGACCATGGGAGTGTCTGACCACTGTTCTGTTGACGCACTCAACATGCAGTTCGCCAGGTTGGTTACCATACCACCATGGTAGGCCTGTATCCGTCCTAATGCAGTGAGGTGTATTTTGAGGCGCCTCAAAATTCGCCAGGTTGGTTACCATACCACCATGGTAGGCCTGTATCCTATCATTTTTCCTGTAGATCACCGCAGCTGCTTCACTGCTGACTAGTTTTGAGGCGCCTCAAAGCTAGCTTCACTGCTGACTTTCGTGTACCTCATTGCCTTTTGCATCGCGCATTCCTGTGGTGTGAGTGTGTTCGAGTGCGCATGCATGCGCGCGTGTATACATGGGTGGACGTGCGTGTTTGTGCATGTGTGCATGTGTGCATGTACGCATGTGTGCATGTATGCATGTATGCACGTGTGCACGTGTGCATGTGTGGATGTATGCATGTGTGCATGTGCATGTGCGTGAGTACGCATGCATGTGTGTGAATACACGTGCATGTGCTTTTGCGCTCATGTATGCATGTGCATGTGCATGTGCATGTGCAGTTGGGTGCAGCAGCAGCAGAAGGAGCATATTGACGAGCTGTGGAGCGATGGGGTGCATGACTACATTGACCATGCCACCACCCTCATGGTAACACCATAACACATGCATTGATGAGGTGATTGGGTGCATGACTCCATTGACCATGCCACCACCCCCATGGTAACACCTGCTGTGTCATGGTGGTGTTTCGTGGAATGCCATGGTAACGTTGAGTGCATTGGTCACCCTTATCTTATGGTTACTTATGACTGTAATTTTTGACAGTGGTATCTTACTCATGAGGCTTTGTTTTCTGCTCTACCATCACCTTCACACACACCTTCACACACACCTTCAAACACACCTTCACACACACCTTCACACACACCTTCACACACACCTTCACACACACCTTCACACACACCTTCACACACACCTTCACACACACCTTCACACACGCCCTCACACACGTCCTCACACACCCCATTTAGGCACCTCAAGTCAGGAAACACTTACGCACGCACTCACATACATCCTCACACACCCTCACACACCCTCACACACACCTCACACACACCCTCACGTGCTGTGCAACCCACACCCCCTCCCTTCCCCAGGCCACCTATAAGGATGTAGTTGACTGGATTAAGTCCAAATCCGCCTCTCCACCGCCTTCCACCGCGCCAACTGCGCCTACAACCTCATTCAACGCCCCTGCGTTCACCACATCCCCATTCGCCTTCTCCCCAGCAACCGCAGCAGCACCCACCACTACCACTGCCAACACCACTACCACCAAGACCGGCAACATCCCCACCAGCTTCACCACTGGCACCACCACTGGCACCATCAGCACCGCCACTGCTCCCTCCATTCCCATGTTCGGGCCTGTAGGAGTCAACATGTGGTCCCCTCGACCTGGCGCCCCTCCCCCCTTCCCTCCTCCTAGCGGCTTCTTCTCACCTTCCTCCTCCAATCCCCCCGCTGCTGCTCCTGCTGCCGTTGTCGGCACTGCCAGTTTCGGCCTTGCCTCAACATCCTCTCCCACCACTGGCACTGTCAGCTTTGGACTCACGTCCTCTCCTACTGCTCCTGCTGCTGGTTCTCCCCCTGCTGCTGCCACTGCTGCTGCTTCATCTTCCCCTGGTGCCGGCTCATCTCCTCCTGCTGCTACAGCCGCTACAGCTGCTACAGCCGCTACAGCCGCTAAACCTGCTACAGCAGCGGCAGCGCCTGCGCCAGCAGTGTCCTTCTCTGCGCCCTTCTCAGCGTCAGCCAGTCCCTTCGCGTTCTCGGCTGCACCATCCGCGGCCCCCGCATTTGGATTCTCAGCAGCAGCACCGCTCGCACCCATCACTGTCGGTGGGGCGGCCAAAGGTGAGTGTGCAAGCAAGGTTTTGCAAGGGGGCTCAGGGTAGAGGCACACTGCTGGCGCGGCGCCAGTTGCTGCTGCTGCTGCTGCTGCTGGTGGGGGTAGCATCGGCCCCCTCGCCTTTTTCAGCTGCAGCAGTCCCTGCGCCAGCAGTGTCCTTCTCTGCGCCCTTCTCAGCGTCAGCCAGCCCATTCGCCTTCTCAGCTGCACCCTCTGCGTCCCCCGCATTTGGCTTCCCTGCAGCAGCACCGCTCGCCCCCATTGCCGTCGGTGGGGCAGCCTAAGTTGAGTCGTGAGTCATCTCAAAACTTTCTATGCGCCCTTCTCAGCTGCTCCATCCGCTTCCCCTTCTTTTGGCTTCCCTGCAGCAGCACCGCTCGCACCCATTGCTGTTGGTGGCACAGCCAAAGGTGAGCGGTTTGAGAGGCAAGAGCAGGTACCTGCGAGTCCATCAGCGAAGAGAGCAGAGGAGTGAGAAGTGCTACTCTTCCCATCGGTAACAACAACCCATCCCCCTCCCCTTCCTTCGCGTCTGTCAGAGGACATCAGTGACGAGCGGGGACCTGCAAGTTCATCAGTGAAGAGAGCAGGGTGAGAAGTGCTACTCTTCCCTTCGTTAACAACCCATCCCAACCCATTTCCACTCTCCCTCCCTCCCCCTCTTCCCCCTTTTGCATCTGTCAGAGGAAGAGGAGGAGGAGGAAGAGCAGGGACCCGCGAGTTCATCAGTGATGAGAGCAGAGGAGTGAGACGTGGTTCCATTCCCCTTTACAACGCATCCCAGTACCAACCCTATTCCTCCCTCGCCCCCCCCTCTCTGTCCTTTGCTTCTGGCAGAAGAGGAGGAGGAGGAAGAAGAGCAGGGACCTGGGAGTCCGTCAGTGAAGAGAGCGGAGGAGAGTGGGGTGGACATAGTGCATGAGGCACGCGCCAAGATATACGTGCAGGTAGATGCATGCATAATTCGTTATGAGAACCTGGGAATATGCCATGTGCCATGTGCCATGTGCGTCTTGAGATGCTGGGTGCTTTTGAGAAATCTCAGAAACACCCCAGCCATTCTGCTCTTCCCTCCTGCACCTCCCTCCCTTTGCTGTATTCCCCGAGTGAACACAGCGAAGGGCGAGGAGGGCCCGGCTGGAAGGACAAGGGCAGCGGCACAGTTTTCGAGCTGCTTCAAGCATCAACCTTTACCCACTCACTACCCCTTCTTGCTGTTCTCTCTCAATCTCCCCCCTTGGAATGTCATCCCCGAGTGAGTGCAGAAGGCCAAGGGCGAGGACGGCCCGGCATGGGCAGCGGCACAAACCTTGAGGCAACTTAAACATCGTCTCTTGCATCCCTCACTCTTGTGTTCTCTGAGTGAGTGCAGAAGGCCAAGGGCGAGGACGGCCCGGCATGGAAGGACAAGGGCAGCGGCGCAGTGATTGTGAAGCTGCACAAGGGAGGGGCGTCCCTGCGCGCCTCTGTGCTGTTCCGGAATGATGTGAGTGCAGGGAGGGTGGAACTGGGGTGGTATTGGGGGCGTTCCGGAGTTGTGAGTGCTCAGTGCTCTCGAGGCTTTAGGTCGTGGTGAAGGTGCACAGGGGAGGGGAGACTTTGCGCGCCTCAGTGCTGTTCCGGAATGATGTGAGTGGGATTTTCTGGGAGACAGGTGGCTGGGATTGCTGGGTCGATTGATACTAATTCGGGATGGGATGGGCTGGGATGGGATGGGGTGGGAGGTGAGGTGAGTCGATGTGATGCGGATGTGATGCGGATGTGATGCATGCGGGTGCACAAAGTAGCAGCGCTGCACAAGGAAATTTCAGACATGCCCCTGCCTTTTGTTTTCTTTGTCTCTTGGTCTTCCATGTACATTCTCCGACGGGCAGGTGGGCAAGGTGATGCTGAACGCACCTCTCTACAAGGGCATAACCATCATGCTCAAGAAGAACAACATCACCGCCGTGCTGCAGTCATGTGTACGTCATGCACTCATGTGTGCAATTATCTACCATTCCAACGTGGTCTTTCTCGATCATGCTTAAGAAGAACAATTTCACTACCGTGCTGCAGTCATGTGTCCGTCCTGTACTTGTAATCTTGAGTCCATGCACCGAACTCAACACGCCACCTCATTTGCACACTTCACTTGTGCATGCATGTATGTAACGCTGTGTTTTGTATCTGTCATGTGACTTATATTCACTGGGCTTGGTTGCAGCAAGATGACACTGCTCCTGCCGGCACCACGCTTGACAAGTCCCCGAGGCCCGTGACCTTCAAGCTTGCGTCGGTGAAGGCAGCAGAAGACTTGCAAGCCGGGTTCAAGGAAGCTTGTGATAAACTGTGAATTACAAGCTTCAACGTAGGGAGTATGTTTGGTAGGAAGGAGGGTCCTTCTTAGGAAATACGGGTGTCTGAATTGACTAGTAATACGGTAGTACCGGTATCAGTCCATGCTTTCCAAACATCGACAGTTCATTTTGCAGATTGAGAGAGCATTCAAGTCAACCACCACGCGTCTTCTTTCCTTCAAAGGCACTATACACTGGACGTGGAGCTGTACTACTGGGGATGGCATATTGTGTTTGGTGGATGCTTCAAAGAACCATATTACCAGTGCCCGATTGATTATCGCTAGCTGTATTGGAGCTACCATAGTTTATGAAAATGACATGGCAAGGGCCAATCGCTTTAATATCTGAAAAACTGGTTACATGTTTTTTCTGAATCTCAAAAGTCCATGAGCCTTGCGAACCCAAATGAGCGTGATGAAGCATGATCAACAAATAAGATAATAATTTTTATTGTTAGAAGGGTTTATCGTGTGCTCATCATACATCTGTACCGTACGTGAGTGCTCATTTACGGAATGAGAACTTTCTGTCATCAGTAACATCTATCCACCTGTCAGTTACAGCAGATTGTTTCGCTCGCGATCACCTCATAAAACCCAAGATTTCGTCACCACCATTCGCCACTTCAGGCTCCGAGAACCCCGAGGCCCATCGCAAAGGTAACGCCGAGCCAATCAACGGACGAATGAGATCACGCCAAGCGTGCCTTATCCTCTTCGGGAATCTGGAAATCGCTGGCCTCCCAGTAAGCCTCGCTGATCTCCCCACCACACACCCGCTCCCCCCTCCTCGTGCAGGGACGGATGTGAACTCCAATTTGATTCCCCACCTACACCTCTCAAGACAATCTGTTGTCTGGTCACCGTATACTCTAGCTTCCACACCAGATTCCTCTCCGCAGTCAGCTCATCCAGCCAAAGCCTACTCTCAGCCATGGCTGCCTTCGCTGTCTGCTCTGCCTCCGTGGTGGCTCCCACCAGCCTCTTGGCTAACAAGAGCGTTGCGTCGAGCAAGGTGTCCGCCACCCCCATGCTCGTCAGCAACAAGAGCCGCGTTGTGATGAGGTAGGTCTGCCGACTCAACGTCGTTATTATCTATTAAGCGGGTCTGTCCCGCCAACATCCGCTTCGGCCTCGCTTGTCGTAATGACTGAATTAGTGAAAGCTTGGTGTGGTTATTAGCATAACGTTGATTACTTATCTAAAATCCCCTTTTCCTGCGTTTCGTTGTTTGACAGCGCGAAGAAGGAGCAGAACATCGCTCTCCCCGTCACCGCTGCTCTGATCGCTGCTGCCGTCATCCCCGAGATTGCTGAGGCTGCCCAGCCCGGCGTGTCCCCCTCACTGCAGAACCTGATCAACAGCGTGATTGCTGGCGGTGTTGTCCTGGGAGGCATTGCCGTAGCTATCGTTGGCGTGTCCACCTTCGACCCCGTCAAGAGAAAGTAAATGGTGGATGCACCCCTTGTTCAAATTTTGTGAAACTATAGTACATTGTGCAGACTACCGTCCCTACTTTCGGGTCTAAATATTTAAATCATACATGGGGGTCCATGAAGCCATCTACGTCTACGCTGAGACCGCGTTTAACTGCAATGCGTGATGCATCCGACGTCTTGAATTGTTATTTAGAAAATGATAAACGCACACTAGGAATCGAATCAGACCTTCGTCGAAATAAGTCTCAGCTTTAAAGTAGGAGCACGTGGATGTCGGAAGTCAGTATGAAAGAATCGTCTGCTAGCTAAGTAGGATACGCAGCTACGATGTATTGTGTCAGACACACCAGTCTGGGCACAACATCCAAGAGAAGTCAGCATCTACCATTCATATTCCTACATATACGTTACCTTCACATACCCTCCCATACACCTACATATGCGTACTATGGTACATAATACTGACAAACTTAACTAGCATACTACCAAGTACCACATCTAGCAACTAGAAGCAAATCTTCCCACAGGTCTTGTCCTCCTGACACTGTTAAACAACAATCACATTCGGTCAGTGGTTCTGGCACCCCCAGGAGATGCATCATCAGCAGCACCTGCAGCACCAGAATGAAACTCACTGCTGCTGCTGACACAGCTCCACCACCTGTCAAGCTTAGTACCAGCCAATGAGGATCCAGCACCAGCAACAGTGGCAGCAGCAGTAGCAACAACACTCTCTTCTTCGTCTTCCCCAGTAACCACCATCTCTTCATCCTCTTCCTCCTCATACTCTTCATCCTCCTCCAGCACACATACACCCTCTGAAAACTCGCTAGGCCTCCTCAAATGCCTGCTGTACCTGCTGCTGCTGCTGCTACTAGAGGGCCGTCGCCTTCCCAAGCTGTTGTTGCTGCTGCTGCTGCTCCCACCACCTCTGCTCCAATAATCGAACGACGGCGAAGCTGGGAGGAGGTGCGGGAGGGCAGGAGACGAAGCAAAGCGCAGAACCAAGCCTCCTTTGGGATCCCATTCTTGCGCTGCCACATGCTTCCGGTCCTCATGGGTACCATACATCACATGCTCCCCATGCTGGTGGCTACTAAACACCTCATGCTGCCGATCCTCATGACTACCATGCATAACATGCTCCCGATGCTTATGGCCACTATGCTGCCGATCCTCATGGCTGCCATACATCACATGCTCTCCATGCGGATGGTTATCGTGCATCTCATGCTGCCGAACATGCCTTTCATGCTCACCACCCTGTCCCGCAAGCTTATTGGTCTTGGCCGCAATTCCGCCAAGTGGATTTAGTGCGTGATTCAGGTGTGTGCTGCCAGTGGGTTGAGCTGGATACTGCGACTGCTGCTGGATCTGGCGACAACAGTGCAGGTGTTGTTGATGGTGCTGGTCTAGGTGCTGCTGTTGGTCATGGTGCTGCAGATAATGCTGCTGACGATCATACTGCTGCTGATGATGGTGATGAAGATGCGGCTGATGGTGCTGCTGCTGCAACTGCTGCTGTTGATACTGCTTCTGGTAATGGTGCGAGCATGCTGCACCTGGGCACGCGAGCGGCTGGAGTGAAGCAGCGTGGGACGGCACAGGAATGCGTGCAATCGGCACATGCAGGACAGGTTGTTGTGCCACTGCTTGAAACAGCTGGTGCGGACCCGCCTGGTACACCATGGGATGGTTCGGTATTGCTTGGTACGGGGCAGGCTGGTTCGGTATAGCTTGATACGGGGCAGGCTGGTTTGGTATAGCTTGATACGGGGCAGGCTGGTTCGGTATAGCTTGGTACGGGGCAGGCTGGTTCGGTATTGCTTGGTACGGGGCAGACTGGTTCGGTAGAGGTGGATTTGTTAAGAATGGTTGGCTTGTGGCGTGCCATGGGTGTGGGGTCCAGACAGAATGGGATGCAGCATGGTCTGCATGGGGGTGTGAACGGCCTGCATGGGGGTGTGAATGGTCAGAGTGGCTTGGGGGACCATGGCTGTCAGAAGAAAGTGGTCGGTCGTGGTTGCAGCAGCAGGACTGATGAGACGGATGCTGCTGCTGATGATGATGATGCTGCTGCTGCTTATGCTGCTGATGCCCCAGCGGAAACTGCTGATGCGTAAACTGATACTGATTGTGATGCGGATGGCGCTGCCGCTCTTTGTTCGCATCACCACCCCCATGCTCCATCCCATGTACACTCCCATGCGAACTCCCATGCCCATGCTCCTGCTCATGCCCATGCCCATGCGCATGCGCATGCGCCTGCGACTGCCAGTGCTCTTGCTCACACCACGCCTGGTACAATCCAACACAGTCATCACAGCAGCAGCAAGAACCACCTCCCCTCCCTCCCTCCTCTCCCTCCTCATCCCACCCTCCCTTCCCTCCCTTCCCTCCCTTTGCTCCCTTACCCCCTTTCCTACTCATCCCACACTTCCCTTCTTCCACAGGAAGCTTCTCCGAGATAACCTGTCTGCTCTGTCCTCTCATCCCTGCCCCTATCCCATTCTGGGGTTTCGTGGTATTCGAGTCTCCAGACGTCTCAAAAGCCTGCTCGCTCTTTCCTCTCATTCCCGCCCCTATCCTGTACCGGAGTTTCTGGGTATTCGAGCCTAACCCTCCTCTCTCCCCACTCCTGTCAATCCCCTTGTTGCTCTCCTCCCCTGACTCCTCCCCTGACTCCTTCCCTGACTCCTCCCCTGACTCCTCCCCTCTCACCGCCTTCACCTGCCACTCCTCCAATCTCTCCCTTTTTCCGTCTCTTCCTCCCTCCTTCTCCCTCTCCTCCTCGCTCTCCTCCTCTCTGCATTCCTCTTTCTCTTCCTCTCTCGCTTTCTCTACCTTTTTCACCCGATACCCTGTCCCCCCGTTTCTCTCTCCGTCCCACCTCCCCTTGGCCCCGCACCCCTCGCACAACCACTGCAGCCCTTCAACTTGGCAGCACGGGCACGCCACGCGAGCCAGCAGCAGCACCGGCACCAGCGGGGACAGCGACGGGGGGAGAGCGGATTCATGGGCGGAGGTTTCGGGGAGGGGAGATTTGGAGAGGGCAGATTCGGAAAGGGCAGACTTGGGGAAGGTAGGTTTCGGGGAGGTAGACCTGGGAAGGGCAGGTTGCAGGGCGGTAGCATTCCCCAGCACACACATAGAAGCATTACCCTGCACCGCAGTCTTCTTTTGTGGCGCCTCAAAAGTCGTCCCCAACACACACATAGAAGCATTACCACCCCTCTGCACCGCAGTCTTCTCCCCCTCATCCACCCCTCTCCCCTCCACTGCCCCTCCTCCTCTCCCCACTCCTACCCTAGCCCCGTCCAGAGCCTCACATCGTCCACACCGCATCCTCTGCTGCTCGCTCCTCCCACAACCCCCTCCCGTCCCACTTGCCACCTCTTTTCCTTCCTCCAACCTTGGCCTCTCTCTTCCTACCGTCCTCACTCCGATCCTCCTCCCAATCCCCCGTCCCACCCTTTCGACCCCGTCTCGGTCTCCTGCCCTCTCCCCACCAACCTTCAACTTCAACCAACCCTCTCTCACCCAATGCACCTCCTCCCCGTCCCCCTCTCCTCTCAGCCCTACCCGACCCCCCGGGCTCCTCTGCCCAGCTCCCGTCTGTGCCCCAGCTGCCACACTTCCTGCTCCCTCCCTCCCCATTGCAGCGGCAGTGGCAGCAGAAAACAGCGGAGCAGCCCGAGCAGGGGCAGCAGGAGCAGAAGCAGCAGGGGAAGCAGCAGCAACCGCTGGAGCAGCAGCGGCAAGAGCAGCAGGATCAGCAGGAGAAGACGAGGCTTGAGTGCATCCACAACGTACCAGCCTGCCTGTCAGCCCAGGGGCAAGCAATGCCGCCACCGCTGCCGCAGAAGCCGCAGAAGGATCAGAACCAGCAGAAATAGAAGAACCAGCAGCAGCAGCAGCAGAAGCAGTAGTGGAAGATGAGGCTACAGCAGAAGCAGCAGCAGCAGGTGGGAGGGGGGAGGGCTGGTGGAGGAAGCGGGAGAGGAGGAGAGCCTTGAGGGGTAGGCATGGCAGGCAAGGTGGGGGATAGTGGAGGCATGGCTGCTGGGTAGGCGACGTGGTGGAATGGCGGGGAGAGCAGCCACCAGCAGCAGAAGTAGCAGCAACAGAAGCAGAAAAAGAAGAAGAAGAAGAAGAAGAAAAAGAAGCAGTAGCGGCGGGTGGGGCCGACGGGTTGAGAACGGGAGAGTCATGCAGCGCCTCAGCTGAAGCAAAAGGTAGAGCAGAAGCAGGAGCCTCGACTGGAGCCCTTGGGGTGGATGGAGACGCAGGCCCAGATGCAGATTCAGACTCCGATTCAGAGGCAGCAGGAGGGAGAGGAGGGGCAGCAGGAGCAGCAGGAGCAGACGAAGGAGCAGGAGGAGAGGGAGAGAGTGCGGAGGGTGAATCGATATGCAGCTGTAGAAGGCGAGAGGCGAAGAGAGGGAGAGAGAGGGCGGCGAGGGGAGCCGGAGGAGAAGCGGTGTGCTCTGAGACAGGCGCGAATGGCGGCGTGCTGCTTGCACTGCTGCTGGAGCTGGCACCGGTACTGGCGCTGCTGCTGCTGTTGCTGCTGCCACACGCAACGTTCGCGGCACCTGCAGCACCACTCACGCTGCTGCTCTCTTCCGGAGGCACCAGAAGCGTGGCACAACCCGACTTGCCACATCCACACTCCAGCACACCGCTGCTGCCACTCGCCTCCTTGGCACAGCCCTCGCTGGTGGTATCCTCGTTAGTGCAGCCCTCGTTATGGGAAGCGCAAGGAGTATCATCTAAGGCCAACGAGCATGGAGGGAAATGGGAAGGGTCAGAAGGGACAAAAGAGCCGTAAACGTCCTCTGCGAGGGCTTGAGATGAAGGCGTTTCAGGGAGATCCAACGGCTCCTGAGTCGTCTCAAAAGGAGCAGACGGGTACGCGTGGCCATCGGATGGAAGCACCACCTGTGATGGCGTTTTCGAAAGGTCTGGCAGCTTGTGAGACGTCTCAGAAGGGTCACAGGGGTGTCCGTGGCCGTCCGTTGTGAGAAGGTGCGACGGGGTTTCAGAAAGGTTCGAGAGCAGGCCCGGTGGAATCATAGGGGGGTTACAAGGGTCTTCATGGTCGTCCGATGTGAGAAGGTGCGACGGAGTTTCTGAGAGGTTCGAGAGGAGGTCCGGTGGGAAAATAGGAGGGTGGGAATAGGTGTGAAAGACAGGCGGGTCGGTGAGGAGGTCTGGCGGTAGCAATTCCAGGAGCGTGTGGTGGAGGTAGATTAGGGACGTCTCTAACTCCCTCCGCTGCTCCCGCTCCTCCTGTACCTCCTGCAACGCTTGCCACTCCGAAGACTGCAGCTGAAACACCTGGGGTACGGGGGAAGAAGGGGAAGCAGGGGAGAGGGGGAAAGGGGGGAGATGAGTGGGAAACAGTGGTGAGAGGAGCAGAGGAAGAATGGAGGGAGAGAAGCAAAAGAGGCGCTCGCACAAGAGCTGACTGACCGTCGCTGTGAGACTGACCGTCTCTGTGAGACTGACCGTCTCTGTGAGACTGACCGTCTCTGTGAGACTGACCGTCTCTGTGGGAGAGGAGGAAGCGACTGACCGTCTCTGTGTCTCGCTGGTGCTGCCCCTTGTACCTGCTGACCTCGTCCCTTAGCCTCTCCATCTGCTGCTCTACTGCCTGTGCATGGAGAAACGAGGAAAGGGAGAGACGACGAGGGAGAGCGGGGGAGAGGCGATCAGAAGAAAAAAAGGGTAAATCGGTCTTGACATTTACCCCGTCCCGCACTCCGCCATACCCCCGTTTTAATATCCGCCGCACCTTCATGCCATCCTCCGCCAATGCGCGCAGGATCCGCTCCATCTCCACCTCCTCCCGCAGCGCTTCCACCACACTCGGCTCGCCCCTTTCCCCTTCCTCCCCCTCCTCTCGCTCCTCCCCCTCCTCCCCCTCCTCCATCTCCTCTCCCTCCTCCCTTTCCTTCAGCACTCCGCCATACCCCCTCCCACACTCCTCCCCCTTACCCCCGTCCTCCCTTTTCTCCCCATTCTCTGTTTTCCCGTCCCTTATCTCCCCCCTTTCCCCTTCCTCCTTTTCATCCTCCCCGTCCCCTTCTTTCTCCCCTTCCTCTTCATCCCCATACTCGTGCCCTTCCCCTTCCGCCTCCTCGCTTCCGCCGTCCTCTCCGCATCTCCGCTCCTCCTTGAGCCACGTCAGCCTGACATCAGGCTCCCGCGGCTGCTGCTCTGCGCACTTCCGCCTATTTGCCTCCTCCTCGAGCTTCACGGAATCTTTGTCCATCAGCCTTTACTCCCGGTAGTAGGTCTAAACGCGTTCTACGCCGTGAATCATGTCAGTAGTCATTTAACCTTAATCTTTCATTGCGTGGGAGAGCTCTGGCTACTCCCGAGTCGCCCTTCTGTATCAACGATCGGCAGCATGCTAATAAAGGCCGCGTGGACTTAGCATCTCTGAGTCAGTCTGCGATAACAGTTTCGACGAGACGGCTTCCGTGATAGGAGAAACGCAATTATTTAGTTCCGGTGTCACTCTTCCAGAGCGATTATGAGCTACAAATAAGTTATTTAGTCAACGCAAACGTCACAAACTAAAATATCATCGCCGCGCACGACTGATGAATGCATGCATTAGCCATGGACACAACTTCGGAGAGAACCAGATCGCAAGTGAGCATTCCTTCGCACTGGTGGAGGTGAGAGCAGCATGTTAGTGAACGCATGGGAACCAAGGAGCGTACTCACGATCGCATGGAAGCAAGGTGTCATATTTTCGAGGCTAAGCAGCCGCACCCAATTAGTTGCCTCGCCCCGTGTGTAATGCGGGGCAGCGACGTAGGTATGCTGCTCAGAAGTCAGGCGGGGGAGACGAGCACTGTTGGTGGGATAATAGGCATCCTGCTCACTGCTGGCTCATGTTCCGAACACACCGTTGCACCTCGTCAAAACGTACAGGAACGTGATAGATGTAGTCATTAATGCACTCCACCGCTTATATTGCCGTTAGCACCAACAATTCGATGATGGAGCGGAAAGGAAATACGAAATCGCGGATGTGGTTGGTTCCGAACCGAAGTGGGCTCTGGAACAGACGGACGGCCAGAACAAACCAGCCAGCCTCTAGGGGCATATGAACGGCGGAGATCTGCTGAGTCTGGCACCCAAACGCAGCCTCGACGGTAGCGGGGAAGGTGTTCAGGCGATGGCAGTTGGCAAGGGGAGTGCTGCGCGCGCCTGATCACACAATCGAAGCCTGCAAAGCGATCCATTCCGGCCGGGCCCCGCGCCAATGCGGGGAAGGTGCGCTAGGCAGAATGCAGGGGCCTCCACACGACACGGGGAGGTACAGTTCTGTATGGTGGTTGGGGAAAAGGGGGAATGCGCTGGACCTCGACGTGACACGCACGCACCAGGTTTCACGCGCTCTGGCAATCGCGCTGTTTCGTGGTGTCAGTTCAATGCACCAGATCAGCAACAGGTTCGTCTGGCCAATACGGTGGTGGTATCTGGTCAGCGAAACACCAGCCCCAATCAGGTTTATCGTTTAGTTCCAACTCTACCGGAAGTTTCTGTAACGGCTGGCCCAAACTGGCAACCACATTTCGCAGAACGAATCAAGTCCAAAGATTGTCTGCATTCGTCACTCATGTCACCGTACGATCATCCGTGAAATCTGACTCAACCACTCAACGTCGAGGTGGGGGTCAGATCAGCTACTCAATAGCGAGGACGCGACAGCACTACGCGCCACTCCGGTGACAGGTGACAGGAACACAACAAAGCACGATAACCTCAATGTCGTAAAAGCTTGTGTGCAAAATTCACTCTCCAACTCCTATGTTGGGAATCCGTTATTGGAATGAGGTGTGAGCACGTAGCGGGCAACTTCAATAAAGAGTACACACAGATTCCACTCGCTTTTTTCCTGCCTGGGGCTATCGATTTTACCGTTGGTTCTGCTATTTCCGTTCCCACCATGAAACGCTACTTCAAGCCGGTCGCCAAAGCAACGGCTCCTGAAAGAACCCCAACCGCGTCAGAAGGACATAGAGCAATCGAGGAAGGGAAAGATGGCGGAATGGCGGAGAGGGACGGGGGAACGGCAGAGAAAGGCCGGGAAATGACGGGCGGGCGCAGAGCTGGGGGGAAATGCGCAGGGGAGGGGGAAATTTCCGGAGGAGTCAAACGTCCTGCGGAAGAATCCCCTGCGGAGTACTGTCGCGAATCCTTTCGCGATAGAATTTCGTCGAAAATCGATCACGATAGCAGTCGCGACGCGATTGGTACCGTAATGAGAATGCAGAGAGAGACTGGTTGTGAAGGTCGACTTGGCGTCGGAGTAGCAGCACCGTTTGGAGGTGTGGATCACAATAACCCAAGCGAGGCAGCTTCTATCGAGAGGAATTCATGGGAGAAAGCAGGGGAGCAAGGAGGGGAAGGAGGGGAGCAAAGAAGAGAGCAAAGGAAGGCGCAACAGGAGTCTGGATATGAGGGTGAGCAACGGCAATCCGCAAAGGGCGGCGAGCGCGTGCAAGAAGATTCGGTTGCCCATCAAGAGACATTGAGGTGCGGGGAGGGGACTTGACTGGCATGCAACCGCGAGATTTCAAAGTGATTTTGGCGTTTGAGTTGACTGAAAAGTCAAGAAGAATCGGTTGCTCATCAAGAGCCATTGAGGTGCGGGGACTTGACCTGCTTGCATTCACGTCTTGGCTTCTTCGCAAGTGCGAAGCATTTTCACACTCCCCCCCTCATAAACCCCACACTCATTCCTCCTCCCCCACCACCCCTTTCCCCATTCCCCGCTTCTTCTCCCTCCAAACACTCCTTCCCCCCCCCCCCCCCCCCCCCCCCTCCTCTCTTCTCCCCACACCCGGCTTCCCAGAATTGTGTTTTGGAGAGCCAACAGTTTCCTGCTCCAACTGATTGTTGAGCCGCCTCAAAACTTCAATCACTTCCCCTACCCATCCCCTGTTCCTCCCCTCTAAACCTACCCACCCTCCTCTCCAGAATAATGTCTTGGAACGCCAACAGTTTCCTGCTGCGACTGAGACACAACCGGGCGGAGTTGGTTGGCTTTATCTGCAAGCACTCGCCTGATGTCATTGCCATCCAGGTGATTGCAGCAGAGCGAGTCAGGTGATTGCAGCAGAGCGAGTCAGGTGATTGCAGCAGAGCGAGTCAGGTGATTGCAGCAGAGTGAGTCAGGAGGTTGAGTTAGAGCAGAGTCAATCAAAGAAAGGAGAATCAGGTGCTTTCAGCTGGAATGCTGCTGACTGTTGAAGGCATTAACGTGAATGATCACTACTGTTCAGGTTGTTTTTTAGAATTCTCAAATTAAATCTCAAGTCCTCAAGAATCTCCAGCTGGCTGGTGAAAGGAATAAACATGACTCGACGTGACTGTTGAGTCGACTCAAAAGTCTTCAAAATTTGTACTGACTGTTGAAGGCGTCAACTTGAATTGTCGCCCTCATCAAGTCGTGAATCATCATGGCTCAACAGGACTGTACTGATAGGTTTAGAGGTCGCATCACTTTCTCTTGAACCCCTCCCCCTTTTCCCCCCTATTTCCCTGCCTACTCTTCCACCATTTCCCCCTCCCCCTTTCCCTTCCCCACTTCCCCCTTTCCCCCTCCCCTTCCCCTTCCCCACTTCCCCCTTTCCCCCTCCCCCTTCCCTTACCACCTTCCCTGTCCCCCTCCCTTCCCCCCTTCCCCTTTCCCCCTCCCTCGCCCCCATCTGGGGCGCAGGAGGTGCGCATGCCAGCAGCAGGGCGGAAGGGCGGGCCTCTCAACCAATCAGAGCTCAAGGATGACACGAAGCAAGCCCGGGAGGAGAGGCAGGTGGGTTGAGCAGAGAGGGGGGTGAAAGGGGACGGGGGGTGAAAGGGGACGGGGGGTGAAAGGGGACGGGGGGTGAAAGGGGACGGGGGGTGAAAGGGGACGGGGGGTGAAAGGGGACGGGGGGGGAGAAGGGGAGGGGAGAGAAGGAGAGGTGAGGGGGGAAAGGGAAAGGGGGGAAAGATTAAATATGGACCAGGGGATTTTGGAGAGAATGGAGAGCTGTGAGAAGAAGTGGAAAATAAAGTCTTATTCACTTACAGTCTTCACACCCTCTGAGCTATAGTTCAGTTTGAAGTCCTTCTATAACTGACTTCTGGTTCTTTACCCCTCTCCCCCTCTCCCTCTCTCCCTCTATCCCTCCCTCCGCCTCTCTCTCCCCGTCTTCCCCATGTCAGTTTATGCAGCATGCGCTGGCATCACCACCGTTCTCCCTGTACCGGGTGTGGTGGTCCCTCGCCCCCACCAAGTATGCCGGCACAGCCATGCTGCTCAAACGCTCCCTGCTGCCCCGCCTCCTCTCCGCCTCCTTCTCCCTTGACGTGAGTGAGTTCAGTGCGGTTCAGTGTGGTGCAGTGCGCAGCAAGCAGGTAGAGAGCGTCGTTGCCATTCTCCCTGTACCAGGTGTGGTGGTCCCTCGCCCCCACCAAGTATGCCGGCACAGTCATGCTGCTCAAGCGCTCCCAGATGCCTCACCTCCTCTCCGCCTCCTTTTCCTTGGATGTGAGTTCACTGCGGTTCAGTACAGTTTAGTGCGGTGCAGTGCGGTACACGTAGGTAGAGAGCGTCACCACCATTCTCCCTGTACAGGGTGTGGTGGTCCTTCGCCCCCACCAAGTATGCCGGCACAGCCGTGCTGCTCAAACGCTCCTTGCTGCCCCACCTCCTATCCACCTCCTTTTCCCTCGATGTGAGTGTGTTCAGCGTGGTGCAGTGCGGTAGACGCAGGTGAGGTGGACTTCTCCCTCTCCTTCTTCCATCCTTCCGCTCCCCTCAACACAGACGTGCCAAACAATGGCTTCTCCAAAGACTCTCTCAACTTCCCTCACTCCTCCATCCTCCTCCCCGCATCCCTCTCTCTGCAGGTGGGAGCAACGGAACAGGGAAAACAGCGGAGGCAGCAGCACGAGGCAGACGGGAGGGCGATCATTTTGGAGTTTCCATCCCTGCGCCTCCTCAACACCTACGTGCCAAACAATGGCTTCTCCAAAGACTCTCCCAGCTTCCCCCGCCGAGCTGAGTGGGACGATCGCATCCGTCGGTTTCTCACCAGCGACGCTGTGCGATCCAAGCCGTTGATCTGGCTGGGCGATCTCAATGTGAGGTGTGGATGTGAAGGGGTGAAGTTGTGGGCTCGTTTCCACGCAGCCTGGTCTACTCCTTTCCTTTTCCTCGAGGGAAAACAAAGCCTTTGCAATATCAAATAATCCTTTTTGTTTTGGGGGGGGGGGGGAGGGGAGTTTGTCTCTTCTGTAATGGGGTGGTTTTTGAGGCCTCTCAAAAATCACCTCAATATCCGGGGGGGGGGGGGGGGGGGGGGGGGGGGGGGGGGAGGGGGGGTTGTCTCTTTTGTAATGGTTCACCCTCTTTCCCACTTCCATCCTCTCATATGCGAGTCACTCTAAAGATTTCTCGTACGTCGACCGCTCTTCCGCTACCGTCCCACCGCCCTTCCTTCTCCCCTCCCAACACCAGTCCAACAGACGATGACGTCAGCGACCCTGAGTTCTTCCGTGCGGCGACCAATGGCGAGCCGGCCACTGATCCCGGGGTGAGACTCAGTAGACGCCTAGCATTGTGATAGACTAGAACCAGGATAATATATATATATATATATATTTATATATATACATATATATATATATGTATATATATACATATTATCCTGGTCTTAGCTTTTGCTGATGGGATAGTTTGCAAGTTTCTGGAAAGCCCGCATCCCTTCTCCCGAACTCTCTGTTTCTTCCCTCCTGCCTCTTGATGCGTGTGGGCCGCAGGATCGGGGGCAGCCAGGGTTCTCTCTCAACGAGCGGATGAGATTCGCCGAGACTCTGAAAAGGTGTGCGTGTGTGTGTGGTAGAGGAAGTGTGTCAGTTGGTGCAGGTCAGAAGGAAGCGGGAGGGAGAGGGTGAGAAAGGGAGTGGAAGGGGGCGTCTCTGTTTAGAGGAGAAGGAAATGATCGGAAGTCCTCTCTTGGTCTAACCCATTGACTGTATTCCTTGTGCTACCTGCCCCCCCCATAACTTCCAGTCCTCTTCTCCCTTCCTCTGTTCCTCCTATTTTTTCGTCTCCTCCTCCTCTCCTCCTCCTCTCCTCCTCCTCTCCTCCTCCTCTCCTCCTCACCTGACCAGGGCTGGCCTATGCACCCAATCAGGGACATGCAAGCGGGCTCCACGTGGTGTGGTAACATCATGCAATGCACGTCCTCTCATCCTCATCTCATCCTCATCTCATCCTCATCTCATCCTCATCTCATCCTCATCTCATCCTCATCTCATCCTCATCTCATCCTCATCTCATCCTCGTCTCATCCTCCTCTCGTCTCTTCTCCCCCCGTCAGGGCCGGCTTGACAGACGCGTATCGCCACATGCACCCCAGCAAGGACATGCAGGCAGGCTTCACGTGGAGTGGCAACCCTGTGGGGAGGTATGTGAGCAGAGAGAAGGTTGGGAATCATATGCAAATACAGTACACGTACAGCACACACAGCAGCAGCAGTGGTCGGTATTATGCATATCTCGCCACTTGCACCCCAACAGGGAGAGACATGCAGGCAGGCTTCATGTGGAGTGGCAACCTGTGGGGAGTTATGTGAGCAGAAGGTATGTGCGTAGAGAGAAGGTATGTGAGCAGAGAGAAGGTTGGGGCTCATGTGTACGTACAGGTACATACACAGCAGCAGCAGTGGTCTGTATTATGCATATCGTCATCTGCACCCTGATAAGGACATGCAGGCAGGCTTCAAATGGTGTGTTTTGAGTCGATTCAAAACTTGCACCCTCTTTTGAGTCGACTCAAAATAGGCTTCACAAGGTGTGGCAACCCCGTGTGGAAGCATGTTTTGCCCCCTGAGTCACGGGGCTGCCACACCTTGTGAAGCCTGTTGTTTTGAGTCGACCCCGTGTGTGTGACGAGTATAAGGTGCCATGCCCACACACACACACACACGCACACACACACACACGCACACACACACACACACGCACACACACGCACACACACACACACACACGCACACACACACACACACACACACACACACACACACACACACACACACACACACACACGTGTGCACATGAAGGTTGAATCGTGAGGCTAATCTTGCGTCAGGTGCGCATCATTCCAATCCTCTCATGCTCGCCCGTATGCTGTGCTGACATGCCATGCCACGGCACGTGCCGAGGCAAGCGCATGCGGGTTCACTAATTCTGTGCGTCAGATGTACTCCAAACCAATTGGCAGCCCTCTTCCCGCTCCCCCCCATACTGGCCCGTATGTTGTGCTGACATGCCATGCTATGGCAGGTACCGGGGCAGGCGCATGCGGGTTGACTACTTCTGTGTGTCCGATGCACTCTAACTGGCCGCCCTCTTCCCTTCCCCCCCGTGCTGACCCATGCCAGGTACCGAGGCAAGCGCATGCGGGTTGACTACTTCTGTGTGTCTAACAACCTTCTGCCCCGAGTGGCTGCATGTGACATTCACGGGCAAGGTTTCGAGGGTGAGGGTGAGTATGGATGCAGGGGAGTGGGCTGATTGTTGACGTCACTCGAAAGACAAGCGCATGCGGGTTGACTACTTCTGTGTGTCCAACAACCTTCTGCCGCGAGTGGCAGCATGTGATTTACATGGGCGAGGGTTCGAAGGGGACGGTGAGCATGGATGGAGGGTTGGGAGGGGTGAAGGGGGGAAGGGGAACACGGTCTTTTAGGCGCCTCGGAATGCGAGTTGACTACTTTCTTTTATCCAGCGACCTTCTGCCCTGGGTGCGGCATGTGATATGCATGGGCGAGGGTTCAAAGGGGACGGTGGGTATGGATGGAGGGTAGGTAGGGGGGGTTGACTGCTTCTGCTTGTCCAACGAGTGGTGGCACGGGATGTGCCGGGAAAGGGAATTAGGGTGAGTGTGCGATTCGAGTCGACCCTAATGTCACCTTTTGGCTCAACTCAGAAGTCAGCTTTCGAGTGGTCTTAGAAGTCACCTCGGGTTCTGCTTGTCCAACGAGTGGTGGCATGTGATGTGAAAGGGAAAGGCGAGGGTGAGTAGGGGGGTGTGGAAGGGAAAGGGGGGGGGGGAGGGAGGGAGATGGCAGGGAGTGATGGGGCGCGTGGGGGGTGCGTATTTATTCTGAAGTTGCTGTAGGTGTGTGGTTACTTATAACAAACAAGGGATTTCATACTTCACCAGGGCTCTCCCCCCTCAATGTGCCACCTTCTCCTAAGTGCAGGGTTTCTTGGAAGTGACCATTGTCCCATCACCCTCACCCTTCGGCCAAACTGAAGCAACTTTACGTTGCAAACCGCCAACCACATTTCCCCGAAAAAACTGCACGATGAGTGTGTACCTCCGTTATATTATAATACATTTGAGATTGCGAGCTCTGTGATACCATTCAATTAGACCGGGATTCTTGCCAGGATCCATCAGATGGCCCACTAGGCTTTCATGATTGTTCGATTGTTAGGAGTGCAATTGAGTGAGCGAGCGAGAATTGCACTATCGAAGCAAAAGTACAATGAGCGAAGGCGTGAGCGAAGAATATATAGCGAAACTACAGTGGTAACCAGGGGTTTTTTTATCAGAGTAAATTACTCTGTTTCTCTGAAAATCAGAGTGGTTTTTAGGGGGTCACTCTGATGTGTCTGGGTAATTTTTTTGGAGGATAAGTTTTCTCTGATTTGTCAGGGTTCTGAATTTAGCTTCTCTGAGAGACCAGTGTATATTTGTGGCGGATGTACTTCTCTCTGTACAGGGTATAGGCATTTCGACCGACCCGCCCCACCCCCCCATTGTTGGAAGATGTGTAGACCTAATGGGATTTAACAAAACCGTAATCTAGCAGAATGGTGAGCGCGTAGCACAACGTGTAGTTTTCTGGATGGAGTGCAGAAGGCTTGGGATCAATACTTGAGAGGAACTTAGAGTTGGAAAAATAGGTACACTGGGTGCCCAGAGTATATTTTTCAGAAGTTAAGTTTTCTCTGACAAATCAGAGTAACGCTCATAATGAACCCTGAATCTCAGAGTTCTCTAGAAAACAGCTCTGGAAATCCGAGTAGTGAAAATAAAAAAAACAGCCCTGGTGGTAACGGTAATGTGTCAGAATGTTATTCTTATGTTCTAGCCTGTAGTGGGGTGCTCTATAGCGAGTACAACCCTTCTAGGGTTTGCTATTTGTATCCCCATTTCTGCTAGTTCAATCCTCTTTCTTTCTTCTAATTTTGTCATAATGGACTGTGGTTGTCGCACGACGGGCCTTGGACTGCGGTTTAGGAAAATGTCAAAGCGGGGGCCTGGAGCGCGGGTTACCCGCTGAGCCGTGAGGTCGGGGTGTGATGTGCGAAGGTGGCGGGATGATTGTCGATGCGATGGTTGCGAGTGGTAACGGTGCTGGCTGTGGTGGTACAGTAGTGTACGCGCTGAGCGGGGACGCGAAGTAAGGAAAAGAAATTTTCCTTACACTGCCCCCCCCCCCCCCCCCCCCCCCCCTAAGTGTCAAATTCATATGCTTTAGTCTCTGTAGGCTGTAGTGGGGTAGACAATATGGGGTACAACACTTTTAGGTTTTCCTACTTGTACCCGCCTGCTTGCTAGTTCATTCATTCCTCTTCACATGGTATAGAGCAGGTTGCCTAGTGGGAATGCTTCCTTGGGCCCACCACTGATTTTTTTTTTTGTGACCGAAGCGCGAGTCGCCCCTGCCCAACGCGCGCCCCGTGGGCCGCCCTCTCGTCGCGTCCCCTGCCCTTAGAGGTCCGTCGCGCCCCTCTAGAGGCACCTCTCACGGCCCCTCGCGCCACCCCTAGCGGCCCCGTCGCCGCCCTTAGCGGCCCCGTCGCCACCCTAGCGGCCCTGTCGCCGCCCTTCGCGGCCCCGTTGCCGCCCTTCGAGGCCCCTCGCGGCCCCTTCGCGGCCCCGTCGCCGCCCTCCGCGGCCCCGTCGCCGCCCCTAGCGGCCCCGTCGCCGCCCCTATCAGCCCCGTCGCCGCCCTCCGCGGCCCCGTCGCCGCCCCTAGCGGCCTCGTCGCCGCCCCTAGCGGCCCCGTCGCCGCCCTTCCCGGCCCCGTCGCAGCCCCTATCGGCCCCGTCGCCGCCCTCCGCGGCCCTGTCGCCACCCCTAGCGGCCCCGTCACCGCCCCTAGCGGCTCCGTCGCCGCCCTCTCGCGGCCCCTGTGCCGCCCTCTCGCGGTCGCGTCACCGCCCTCTCGCGGCCCCGGTGCCGCCCTCTTGCGGCCTCGTCGCCGCCCTTAGCGGCCCCTTCGCCGCCCCTTGCGGCCCCGTCGCCGCCCCTTTCGGCCCCTCCCCGGCCCCTTCACCGCCGAGCCGCCGAACCACCGAGCCGCCGAGCTGCCGAGCTGCCGAGGCCGCCGTCGAGGTGCCACTACCGAGGTGCTGCCGCCGAGCTGCAGCCGAGCCGCTGCCACCGCGGTTGCAACCCTGTTCCTACCGGCGCGCCTCGGCCCTACCCACCCGGACTGATGAGAGCACTCCCTGCTAGACCACTACTGTCATGACTTTGATGCCGAGGGTCGTGCTGTTGACTTCGAGGTCTGGGTCGATGACCTACAGCTCTTCCTACAGTGCGATAGGACAGACGGACTCTGGTGCCTCTCCTGCCCCGCTTGCTGATGCTGACAGCACAGTTCGCTCATAGTGGGCCACACGCGATGCTGCTGCCCGTCTTGCTGTACGTTGCCACTTACCGACCACTGAGCGTGCGCACTTTAGTCAGTACAAGAGTGCTAAGACCTTGTATGACGCTGTAGTTGCACGCTACTCTTCCCTTGCCACTGCTCCCCTTAGCCGCCTCATACTGCCGTACCAGTTTCCTGACCTCGCCGCCTTTCCCACTATAGCTAACCTCGTTACGCACCTTCGCACTAGTGACACCCACTACTGCGCTGTGCTTCCTGCTGAGTTCTGCACCAAGAACCCCCCCACCATGTACATCACTCTCTACTACATAGTCACCCGAATCCCTGACTCCCTTCGCTCGGTCAGGGACCACTTCCTCTCTGTTTGCCCCACCACACTCACCGTTGACCTCCTCGAGGAGCGCCTCCTGGCAGTTGAGAAGAGTATAGTCGCTGTAGGAGCCTCTCGAGGTGACCCGCGTGCCCCTGTCTTTGAGGGGTGCTCCCCCTCCCCCCTTTTGCCCTCTATTGCCTCTGCTGCTGCTGTCGACTTCGTTGGCACCGAGTCGGTCGGCGCTGCGTCTCCCCCTAGCGAGCGACGCCGCACCGGCAAGGGCAAGGGGGGCAAGGGCGCTGGAGAGGCTGGCGGGGGCGGTGGAGGTGGAGGTGGAGGAGGCAGAGGGAGTGGGGGTGGTGGTGGGAGTGGTGGCAGGGGTGGTAGTGTTGGTGCCAGCAGTGGAGGCGGTGGAGGCGGCGGCGGTGGCGGAGGGAGCAGAGGCGGCGGAGGTGGTGGTGGCGGCGGAGGTGGCGGAGGTGGCGGAGGGTACTGGTGCTGTCCCTGCTGGTTCTTGAGGCGCTGCGCGGCCGAGGCCGTACTTCGTTCCGCTCCTGGAGCAGGTTCTTGGTCTCCCGCCCTCTCCTAGTCTTCCTCCTCCCTTAGAGTGTCCACAGCCTGTCCAGTCGCAGTCACAATTACAGCCCGCCTCCCCTCTACCTGCTCCTTCTCCCTACACTAGTCCTACTGGAGGTCTTGCTGAGCGTCGTGAGCCTGCGTCTCGTCCTGCGTCGCCTGTTCGTGCTGCTCGCACTAGTGGTCGTACTGCCCGTCCGCGTCCTCCTGCGGTCCCCGGCACACACGAGATGGCGCTGCGTCCTTCCACTGCTCCTCTGGGTGTCCTGATGCCGTCTCCTCCAGAGTCCTCTCTTCCTACTCTTGCTGACCCGGAGTCTGACTCTCTTCGTGCTGCCAGTCCTACTGTCACGTGTCTCCTGGCTACTATTGTCACTGACCCTTCCTTTGAGTCCACTGCTGCGTTTGCCCTAGTTGCTGAGCTTGTCGACTTCGCCGCTCGCTGTCGTCTAGACTACGCTGCTAGTCTCGTTGCTGAGTCTGAGTCTGTCTGTCCTCCGTCCGTCGATGGTGAGTGTGCTCTTAGCACGGACGTCATTGAGGACATGCAGGAGAAGTTCCAGTGCTTTGCTGCTGCTTTGCCCCATCTCGTGTCCACGCTGATTGCCCCTGAGGGAGACCCGGATGCACCAGACATCCCGACTCCTCGATCGTACGCTGAGGCGATCGAGGGCCCCTACTCCTCTTAGTGGCAGTCGGCCATGGACGCAGAGATGGCTTCCTGGAAGCCCACAGGCACCTACGTCGACGAGGTTCCCCCACATGGGGTGTCACATTTGCATGAATGTGAAGGGTAAGGTGGCGCGGGAAGGAATGTACATACTGTAGATATTGTACATAGCGAGTCGAATGGTATCGAGGAGGGGAGCTGAGGAGACACATGACCTTTCGGAGATGAAGAGGGGTGGAGGGGAGCTGGCAGCTGCCGAGCCTGCGGGGTGGTGGGTTGCATGGGCGAGCGAGGGCAGGAACTTACGTAAGCAAAGTGGGCGGCTGTAAGCACAGAGGCAGTCGAGGCAGCGGCAGCAGGAAGCAGTACCGCGGGATGTGATGGATGGGTGAATGTATGCATGCTTGTTTGTTTCATGTGTGCAGGATAGGTTCGGGAAGCCAGCTGGATGCGTCAGTACCAGCTGGAGGTTAAGCAGCAAGGGCGGGGTAGTGTGGGTAGAAGCAGGACGGCTGCAAACCTGTGCCAAGCATCTCATAGCTGCTAGCATAGGCGGGGAGGCAGGAAAGGAGAATGGCGGAGGTAGCGCTGGTAGAATTGGAGGATACCCGAATGTCCTATTCATTGCTTGTATGTTTCCTTTTAACACGAGTGCTATGCTGTAAATCAGAGCAAGCAGTGACCTTAGGGAGATATGACGAGCAATGGAGAGTAGGCATTGGAGGTGTGAGCTGGTGTGTGACGGAGCTTAGAGCTCATCAAGAGAAGTAGCAGAGTGTCAAGCATACCAAGGGGATGAGCAAGAAGAGTGGAAAGGGGGAGTCAGCTGGCAGAGAAGAAGATGAAGGCTAACTGGGGCAGAGAGGGAAGGGAGAAAAGGGGAGGTGCAAGGGGGACAGAGCAAGGTTGGAAGGGACATGAAGCAGACAAGGAGGAAGGTATCCGACAGGGGCGAACATCGTCAGTGGCATGTGGATCTCCAGGGTGAAGCGGCAGCCGGGTTCTCCGCCAGTCTTGAAGGCGCATTACGTGGCTCGAGGCTTCAGTCAGCGGCAGGGAGTTGACTA